AGTGATTCGTCAGCTCATCTTCTAAATACAGCAATATACAGATGTAATGTACATTAGAAGTAGTTTACGAGTTTGCTTTTGCTTTTCGTATTGGAATTTAAGAGGCTTGACGGGCTTGACGGGTAAGCGCATGGCGAAAAGATCGTCACTAGCACTGCCAGCCACGTCCACATTTCGTATATACTATCATAGGCAATCCCACCAAGGAAAGGGGACGATGACGATATTCTCTCAAATCAGGCTGAGTAAACCCACCACTACTACTTTTGACTGAGAAATTCTTCAGTTTTAAATGCAACACTGTTATTAATGATTAGCAGTAAAGTTAAGGTGTTATCCGTTGATACATATGATACCCATGTACGAAGTAGCAGCAACCATGTACATATTTACGTATGATCAGTGGTCAACTGGAATTTTAACCCATCCTAGTATAAGTGTATGGATTATCACAAGCCACTATTCAGCCGGCGTCACTTAAAACATGTTGCGGTACATATGTAGTAAACAATAAACGCCCCATAATGACCCATACAGAGTCTTACATACAAAATCTTGAAAATATGTAGGTAGTTTGTAGTGTAAATAGGTAAGTAAACAATAAGTTCAACTTGGGAGGATCTACAAGCCGACCGAAGCATGCTGTAAGTCAGTGGCCTATCAAACGAAAATACTGTCGACTATGCTTCTATGTCAATGTGCGGTGTTGCCGCGCTAGGTAATATACACCCTATCAAGGGTCAGGGCAGTTTATCTCATTGATGTATGGTATACACGGGCCAGATAGAGGAAATGCTCTCTAGCCAAACAAACATCAGATATACATCTTCGATCTGCCTTTGTTCTACAACGCCATGCGATATGTATAATATAATATGTACAAGACAATATTAGACAATACTACATATGCCCGAACCTCTTCCTTAAGCCGCTAATCAATCAAGTAGCTCATTGGAACGCAGGAACGCATAATCCAATTGACTTTTTTATTATTATTCTTGAAAGTTCAACTACATATTCGATTGGCTCATTTACACGACCCGCTCTTTTCCAGGGTTTCCTTATTTCTCCTAGGCCCTAGTTATCCTAGCTTTTTCAAGCCTGTTCTCTCCTTGCTATCGCAGTTTCCGGTTTGCCCATTTGCCCACAGGGCTACCTCCCAGGATAATATCCACAACAGGGGATGTACCGCATACCTACCTAGGTACCATACCGAATGGTACCCCTCGATCAGCGGATCTAATACAAATCCTAGCAACCCCAATTTATCATGCCCCCCCTAATCGTCCGCGCCTGTTCTATTATGGCCATTTAGCAATTACGTACCTGGTACATACGCAGCTGCATACGCTACATACCCTACGCTGCTGCGTCCTCTAGCTTCCGCTTGTAGTACGGAGGTGGTTCCCCCTGTCAAGCTTGTTTCTCTTCTTACCTCTCTACCTTACATACTTTGCCTTGATTGATCCCTCCTTTTTTCCTTTTCTACTGACGAATTCCTCCCTCCTGTCTTTCGTTTTGTCCTTTCTTCTTCATATTGGAAATAACCATACCCTCTTTACTCACCTAGTTTTGAGAAGTGCCTTACACGTAAGACGGGTGTGAGCGTTTGCTTTCTTTCACACGTCTCACTTTTTCCTCGCTTTGTTGCGTGAGGTGTCATTCGTTACCACCTATCTAGGTACTTTTTTGGATTGCGAAAGCTTGAGAAATTCTCAGTAACAAGAGCTCTCGTGACATAGACTGTCAACTACCGCGCCGCATGCTAAATCGACAGACACCGAATTCTCTAATAACCGTCATAAAGTAATTCCGCAGTTGATTTACTTGCTTGGATTAGAAACGAAACTAGCGATACCGTTGAGACCAGCCCGATTTATAGTCGAGACGATCCTCCCCTGGCAAGTTGTCGTTGGGGGAAATTTACGATGGGAGCGAGAATGCCATCTCCGCATCAAAGGTTTTTCAGCATGCGGAACCCTTTCTCGCGATGCGTTCTCTTCGCTGTCGCGTTACTACTGTTACTCGGCGTTACATGGAAATCCGACCGCATAGAAGATGTTGGTTCACGAATTGTGAAAGCCGCCTCTACCCATAAAAGCGATACTTCGCAGCAACCGCTTGGCGATGGACCACAAGTAACCGACAAGGATGTTGCGCCTGTGTCGAACCATGTAATGGATTGCGGTATCAACTCAACTCATATGGGTGAGCTTAAGGCAAAATATGAACTTGGGGATACTTTCCAGTATTTCAAGCGATATGTCAAGATCAACCGCAAGCCTATTACACGAAAATCAATTACCAAGATTCCTCAGTCATTCCTTCCTGATACTTTCACCACGATTGATATGCAACACCCCAGCAACTACGGGAATGAGCAGTGTATTGAGCCTCTTGAAGTTCCGGTTCCTGAATCACCATATCCTGCGACCGGGAACCTGTCTGATTTCATGTTCGGCGTGTCTACAACGTTTAAGAGATTCAGCTCCGAAAAGACTAGCCCTGTGAATGAATGGACATACTGGTTGACCGATGGCAAGGGCCATTCTAATGGTGGCAAATTGGTCCTATTACTTCTGGACGCGACCGAAGATCAGATACTTCACGCCAAGACTATATTACATCACGCTGGAATTGATGTTGATGTCTATCACTCGGACTCATCAATGGAGATGGCCGTTCGCTATCTCACACTCATTCCGACTCTATATAATCATCCTGAGCGACCGTCCAAGAAATGGCTCGTGTCATGCGACGATGACACGTTTTTCCCTAGTGTCCACGCACTCACGAAGAAGTTTGAAGATTACGATCCTAGCGAAATGCTTTACATTGGGACTTTATCTGAGGATGTTAACAATGTTGATCGTCATGGTTCGCAAGCTTTCGGTGGCGCTGGCGTGTTCCTCTCGGTGCCATTGGCAGAGCAAATCGCCAAAGACTATGACAGTTGCAAAACTGATGAGAAGATTCATGAATCAAACTCGGGTTGGGGTCCTCAGGGTGATATTTTACTTCGCAAGTGCATCTACGAAAATACAGATGTGCGTCTGTCTATCCTCCGTGGTCTATACCAGCTTGATCTATACGGCGACCCATCTGGTTTCTACGAGTCTGGCATCAAGCCTATCTCTCTCCACCACTTTAAGGGTGGCGGGTGGCATTCGGCTCTGCCCTGGGAGTACACCAAGATTGCTCACATCTGTGGCGAGGACTGTACTCTGCAGCGATTCCGAACCAGCGATAACTTCATCATCTCAACGGGCTTCAGTGTTGCTCACTACCCTCAGGGTGTCAATTTTAACCTTGCTCAGATGGAGCGAACGTTTGCGGCGGCGCCTCAAGATAAGGGGTGGAATCTGGACTACGTTTTTGACCCACAGCGACCTAGCCTTTTGAAGACAGGCCGTAAGGTTAGTTGGGATCTCCAAGAAGCACACGTAAACGAAGATAATACCGTCACCCATGTCTACGTACGAAAGGCCAATGACTGGAGATGGGTTGATCGAAATGGTGAACCAATGTCTCACGTCGATGGCATAATCGAACTTGTCTGGGTCCCATAAAGACATCACGCAGCGCGTAGCGAACGATCTAATGATTCTTGTATGATGGGATAGGAAAAGATAGATGCTCATATTCATCTACTTGACTTGGAGAAGGCCGGATTGGAAACACCTATGAGACTTCGCTATGGATGTGGAACGAACACTCCAGGCATCGCCAATTCGCTGTTTTGCGTACATAGTCTTTTTGACTTGTTGAACACCCACCAATATTGGCCTAGCAGAATGCCTTCTTTTGAATGCTGGTTGGGCCAAGAACAGCAACCTACTATTTTGCATTGATGCAATTTGTTGGATCGCATATTACCAACATCATCATGCGTTGCTCTTGGGATCGTGTTGGCGTTAGGCAGATTTCTGCCAGGCTTTACCCACGTCCAAAATATACATTTACCCGCGCTGGTTATCGCATTCCGACTCAAAAGAAAATCCGATAATGCATAATTGTCAACAGTCAATCGCTTTACTATTACCATCATCACCATATACCTTCTTGATTGATTCCGGAAGAGGAATTAACTTAGTACATTTACATCGTACTACACTTATTGCTTGCTATTCGGAACCCAGCATTAGTGGCGACTGAACGCCGTTTTCAGCATTTACAACAGGCATTTTTATTTCTTCATCTCAGTATGCTGTCTGAGAATATCTGGGTTTTTTTGGGACTTACATTTTATTCCCCCTGTCCATTTGTATGATACAGTTGCTCACTAGGAAGCGGAGTTATGAGCATTAGATGTCCCGTGAGGAACATGGTGTAGTGTTTGTTGTTGACATGGTCAAGGCTGGCAATTTTGGGTTGATCTTTTTCTTGGGGCCAGATGATGGTGGTTATTCAATGTCGCACTGGAGGGCGTCGCTAGCTCGGAATCGAAGTGCTCGAGACGAAGCTGGTAGATGTGTCGCTTGCGACTGTACATATTTAGATAGGCCAAGAGAACATGACCTAAACATGAGTGTTTCATTATAGACGTGACATACTTGAGTGGCAATATTTAAAATAAGATTTCGTGAATATTTGGAGTATAATGAATGAGATGACCATATGCCTTGTAATATTATGTAGAATTATGAAGTAGTTTACTTAGAAGCTAAAGGTGGTTTCTGTACCTAAACCTTTGTTTCACTTATGTAAGATCTGCCCCGCACCCCACTAAAGAAACGGCTGCCCAAGGCGACCGCCGAATGTTTCTTTGCTTTAACGCGGCTGGGATGAAGTCATTTACTCAACTCGCTCTATTGACTGACTTTTACCACCTACCCAGGTAGTATATCCCGACGCAAATAACCACCATTAAACCACTTCGAATTAAAAGGTCATGGCAACAGCTGCATACATATCCTGACATTACACTGTCTTCCTTTTATGTATCCAATCTTGTCTTGTTTATGACCTAAGTACTTGTTCGTGTGATACACCGGTTCGCTATGCAAAACAACATTCTCGCGGTCCCCTTTCGTAAGGGGGCCCAGCTCTCGCTCTCGTCCGCTATTCGACAATATATATCTACCAAATATGACCAGCATCCGGACATGTTCCGCCAAGATCTAGAGGTAATCGATGCGTTGAGACGTCAGGCCGTGAATGTGCGCGAGCCGCATCCTACTGGTGTCGCGAGATTACAGGCCTACATTGGACAGCTTGTCTGGATCGGGGGAAAATTCCCTATAGATGTAAGTCTCAAAGAGACTATCATTTCCTACCAGCCATGAATGATAGTAGCTTTATACTTACAGATCCTCTCCGTATATAGATCGGTGCAGACTTCACATGGTATCCCGCTTTAGGTTACAATACCGAACGACCCATAGTACATAATAATCTAAAGTTCGAACTTGCCAACATCTTATACAACCTCGCTGCCCTATACTCCCAGCTAGCCATAGCAAGCAACCGCGCTAGTACGGACGGCCTCAAGACCGCAGCGAGCTACTTCAGCCAGTCGGCAGGCGTACTAACACACTTGAAAAATGAGGTTATACCTGAGCTACGAACTACGCCACCGGAGGATATGGATGAGCACACGTTAGACTCGTTAATACAACTGCAGCTAGCGCAGGCTCAAGAATGCTTCTGGCAAAAGGCCGTTATGGACGGCTACAAGGATGCATCAATAGCTAAGTTGGCTGCCAAGGTTTCTGATTTCTATAATGAAGCGAGCGAGGCAGCTATGCGGTCACAGGCTATCAGTAGTAGCTGGATTCATCACATGAGTGCTAAACACCATCATTTTGCCGCCGCCGCTCAATATCGTGCGGCTTGCGAATGTCTAGAGAAGCGAAAATATGGTGAGGAGGTAGCGAGATTGCGTGATGCTGTTTCCTGCGTGAACGAGGGTCTTAGGGAGAGTCGCGGCGGTTACTTGCACAAAACAGTAGCAGATGATTTAAACAACCTGAAGCGGAGAGTAGAGGAAGATCTTAAGCGAGCTGAAAAAGACAACGACGTAATTTATCTAAGTAAGTATCCTGGCCATTACTCTAATCAATTAGCACAGACAGACCGCAGTGCTAACAAGGCACCTATCTATAGACCCGGTGCCACCAAAGTCAGAGCTCAAGATCTTAGATCGAGCTACCATGGCAGCTGCACGAATACCGCCACAAGTGTCAGCACCTCTAAACTATCTCGGAGAGAAGGGCGAATTTGGTCCTCCACTCTTCACAAAGCTCGTCCCATATTCCGTTCATATTGCCGTCTCCATCTATGAAGAGCGAAGGGACCGTCTGGTAAATCAGAACATCGTAGCTGAACTTGAAACACTAAATGAAAGAATACATGAGATTCTTTCGTCACTTAATCTTCCAGGCTCACTCCAGGCCTTCGAAAAACCGCTCGGCTTGCCTGGGACCTTGGTTCAGCATGCCGAGGAAATCCGACAGGCAGATGCTTTGCATCGCTTGCAAAGAAGTTTCGCTGATATCGACAAGCTACGCGCTGCTGACTTGGCAGTGTTCGAAGAAGGCAAAAGTCTGTTGCAAGCAGAAGAGGAAGAAGATGCTCAGCTGCGTAGAAAATATGGCACGGAACGTTGGTCGCGACCTGAGAGCCGTTCTGAGCCGAATCAAGGTGTAAAGCTTTGGAAACAAGTAACAGATGCAGAGGGCTGGTTTGCGAACAGTGAAAGCAGCGATAAGGTTGTACGCGACAAATTCTATAGCATAGAACCTATGTTGGCCGTTCTTACAGGACCAGATCGTGGCCTACTAGACTTTGTACCCTCATCGCGGCGCACTGAAGTTCCAGAATCACTCAAGCCTGCCATTGGTCGTCTGCGTACAGCTTATAATAATATAGCACGTCTTGAGGGCCGTCGTCGCCGGAAAGCTGAAGCTCTTCGCGAAAAGGCCCGTGGCGATGATATTAAGTCTGACATCTTAACCGAAACGGCAAGAATAGAACGCGCCCAAACGGTGGCGACTGCTATAGTTCCCGCACACTTTGAAGAGTTCTTTGAAAAACGGCTGGACTTGCTTTATGAACCAGACCTTGAACTTGTGCAAGCTGAGGCGACTGAACAGGAGAGGCTTGTTTCAGAGCTAATACGAGTAAACCGTGACTTTGAGAGCCAAAAGAAGACGGTGGGGGACAAAGGAAACAAGGAAAGGGAGCAAGCTCTTCAAAAACTCGAAAATGCCTATTACAAATACAAGGAATTGATCAGCAACGCGGAAGCGGGACGCAAATTCTACAACGATCTCAGCCGCATAGTAGGTGGCTTCCGAGACGGAGCGCGGAACTTTGTAGCCGAAAGAAGACACGAGGCACGCATGCTTGAGGACGAGCTAAGTATGCCGCCGCTAAACAACTTGAGTCTCGGAGGACAACAAGATCGTGTACAACAACCTGTGCAACCAACCAGCTCTTCAAGTGGTTGGAATGGTGGCACAGGTTATCAAGATCAGCTGCAGCAATCGCAGCAGACCTCATTCTTGCCACCACCTGCTCCATCCAGACAACATATTCAAAGTCCTGCCGAAGCGCACATTCAGTCATGGGTGCCGGCTGGTGAGACAGTGGCGCCGCAACCTCAACCGCCGAGGGCAAATCCCATGCAGAGTGTATGGAGCCCAGGGACAGGCATTAAGTTTGCCAGCACGCCACCTCCTACTGGCGCCGCTGTGGGTGGCGGGGGGAACATAGGAAGTAACACTCAGCAGGAGAAACGGCCGCCTGTTGCTGGAACTTGGGATCGCAATAGCGCGATAAGGTTCGGTTAGGAAGCGAATACATCGCGTCCTCGTAGGACGTCACCAGGCCACTACATGTTGTCCTAATGCCGGTTAGCTATCATAACACTTCGGGTTCGTCACTCGATCATATCCCGGTACGCACCGTTACAAGAAATGCTACATGATTTTTAAATAGAAACACTGCATAAAACTAATTAAAAGAGCGAAATTATACCCTTCATTCACAATTTCATGGTTTCGATAGACTATGGGCTGCGGAGTTTAGACGATGGTCGACTCTTAAAATTATGTGGTCGGACTGTGCGTAGAGTTATTAACTATTAGTAAGACTGTCTCTTTAATAAGGTCGCGAATACCATAGCTGAATTTCTCCTAGTGTAGTATGTATTCACGATAGTATCTAATTTAGCTTTACAGGTGACTTAACCATAAAACGATCCGCGTACAAGAGGATAACACTAAGTCATTGTCTCATTAAGTCTATTTTCATTATTGGTAGTATACAAATATCATACAAGTCGCCGCTTTGTCATTCCTCGCGTAGTGGTGCGATTATGCTAGTATTAGCTGGGATGGATACGAGAGCCCCTATTTGATGTTCAGGGTAGGTGGTCGAGCCCCGTGTTTGCTACCGTAAGATAATCCTACACGCCGTCACTGTTAACATACTCATAACCCTAAGTTTAGATAAAAAGTGAAAATAGAATAGGAGAACTTACTACTACACAAGTCGGGAACCACGTCGTCATAATACGTATCATAGTCGACATGTTACCAACATGCAGCCTGCCCGAGGCGCCGCGCAGCAACTTGCCGACGAGCTCGCGCGAGAAATCTTCCCTCGTGCCGAGCCGCTCTCCGACATCCTGCCCCGTTGCCCGGGCTGCGATTTCCTTCTCGGCGCCCTTGTACAGCGAGTTTGGAGGCAACTTGTGCTCGGGCGCGTTAGCGAAGATGTTGGTGTGTACGGCGCCGACGATGATGGTGGCTACTTTGACGCCGAAGGGCTTGAGTTCTAGACGCATGCCCTCGCTGATGCTGATTAGGGAGGACTTGGTGCCTGCGTAGAAACCTGGGGGCAGTGTGCTCGATGGTTAGTGATGGTGGGTCTTATCGAAATCGCCGCCCTGAATAAGGGGCAAGATAAAGGGGGGAGGGTGATATTAACTCACTCATGTATGGCGGGTACATGAGCCCGGTAATAGAAGTCATGTTAACGATCGTGCCCTTCGCGGCAATGAGTAGAGGCGCAAAGGCCTGGACAGCAGCAGCAGCGCCGAAGACGTTGACATCGTACATGGCCTTGGCCTGCGCCATGTCGAAGTCGAGGAGCGGCATGATGATCTGCTGACCTGCGTTGTTGACGAGGAAGTCGAGCTTGCCGCTTGTCTCCGCGGACACGGCGGCTGCGGCTGCTGCAAGCGACTCGCTCGATGTGACATCTAGCGGTAGTAATGTGACGTGAGGTAAGGAGCCTAGAGAGCTCATCTTGGACACGGAACGTGCCGTCGCGAAGACGTGCAGGCCTCGCGCTTGGAACTCCTTGACGAGAGCGTGGCCGATGCCGCCTTCGCTGCAGCCTGTTATGAGGGCGGTCTTGCGCTGTTGGGATACCATGGTTGCTTTTTGTAACTTTTGGTTCGAAGAATTGATATAATAATAGAAGAACTAGTGGTTAAATTGCTAGGGAAGGTTTTACGGAGACTACAATGTCACTTATATAGAAAACAGAAAGACTACCTCCTATATATAGTAAGAATAGACAACCAAGGCGAAATGCCGAACCGCCACCTATAGCGGAGACATACCGATTCTTCAATTATCCCACCATCCGGCGCAGATAGTTAATTATGTTGAGGTTATACCGGAGTTGGCGGCACAGCTCGGAGACTTCCTCTTGTCGGGCGGATTGAACTTACCGTATCATCTCGGGTTGGCTCCCCGAATTAACCAACTGCATATTCCGTTTCGAGTATTTTCATAATGGACACGTAAGAAATTGAAGTTTTCATGTTGTTGGGACTAGTAAATATCTGTATTGTGTTCGAAATTTAGAATGTTGGAACAATTGACTTCAGTTAAATTGGTATGATCGCAAATCATATAGAAATCGTCTTGGTAAATCTGACCGTCCGAATAGGTATATTTTCCCCCTTTTCATTATAAGAGGTATCTATCGCTGCGTAATGAGTGCCTCGTGGGAATTTACAATGTTTCTCTTCCCCCATCGTAAAATTCATAACTTCCAATATTGGACTTCAGGGGTCCTTTTTCTAATTGAGAATGATTAACAATGAAGTCAGGAAGCTCATAGAAGTCATGTCATATAGAAACCAAGAATGAAATTCAATTCAGATGGATATCAACTAGCACGCAAGCTATAAGCCTACTGCAAACGCCCCCTGTTGGAACAAAAATAAAAAATAAAGCGCTGAACCTATCTACAGTATGACAAACGAACTGGAAAAACGAAGGACGTGGTACGAGGACGTTCTGTGGTATAATCAATAATCATGAACAACGCTCCCGCCCTTATTTGCCGTTAACATTTCCTTGGATTTGGTCACGTCTCGCAACCTCGTTGTTTGGCAACTTTCCAAACTGCCACTCAGGTAGGGTGATGCCTGTCTGATCATGAATCGTCGACATCAGCGGAGGGAGGAGTTGGTATACCTGAGCAGCTCTATATTAGCACGCATATATCAGTACCTTATATAGGCAAATGATAACTTACGTTTCTCAGCGTCGCAGCGCTATCTTGACCAGACCCTTGGCCGCCAGCGCCGGACGAACCGGCTTCGGCCCCGGTATTCCAGACGCTGATCTTGGGTTGCATGCCGTTGATGGCGCCGGCGTTGGCTTTGGCGAGTTCGACGTATGTGCCCTTCTCGATCATCACTGTAAAAATAGCGGTTAGTAATAATTTTATTGAGTCAATAAAATAGGGGTCTCATGGAAATTTTTAGAGTAGGAAGTTTTAAACGAGTTTTCGAAAATCTCAACTTCCCGGGCAAATTTGACAAAATAAGGAGAGATCGTCTTAGGAGTAGCTTACTGTACTGAAGGAGTCCAGCTGGGCCACCAAAAGCATTGCTCATCTTGGAGTAAGCATCAGCCATAGCAGCCATACCCTCCGCCTCTTTCAGCCTCTGTTGCAGACTAGCCTCTGCCTTCTTGATGGCTGCAAAAGCCTGCGTCTCGGCGTCGATCTTGGTCCTGTATGCCGCAGCATCCGTCGCCTTGTTTGATTTCTCGAAGTTGGCACGGGCCTCGGCCTCTACTTCGTACGCCTTTGCGTCGGCAGCTTGTTGTTTGCTTTCTCGGGCAATGGCGGCTTTCACGACGTCGACGGCACGCAGGCGCTCGAGTTCGGCGGCTGCGCGCTTGACCTGGACCTCTTTCTTTAGATCCTCGTCCCGTGATTCAGTTGCACGGGTCGCTTGAATACGCGCGATCTCGACATCTCGGCTCAGGACGGTCTTTTGCGTGGCGAGATTGGCTTCTGCTGCCGCGCGCTCAACGTCCCGATCAGTCTTTTGGACTGCCGTTTCCGCATTGCTTTACGGGGGACGAGTCAGTTTTACAGGAGTGAAAATTTTGAGGTGCCGTAGCTACGTTAAGGGGACACTTACATCTTCGCAATTGATCGCTCTTGCTGGCCATGTCTTTCTGCCTCGCCGACATTTCCACGGAGCTGTGCCTCTGCTACATCGATACGGGCTTGGTTGGTGGCACCTTCGTGGGCCTTCTGGGAGAGCGATTGGAAGTACGTAGAGCCAGCAGCATCTTTAAGTTCCTTGACGTTGGCATTGTAAATCTTAAGACCGAACTGGTCGAGCTCGCCCTGAATGTTTCGGAAGATACGGCGCTTGAATTCTTCGCGCTCTGTGAATATTTCTTCCATCGTCATACTGGATACTAATACTCGAGTCTCGCCCTCGATAATACCTTTCACGATATTCTCGAGATATAGCGATCCCTTTTTCTGGGAAGTAGACTCGGCCAATAGCATGGCATACTTCATTAAAGAATCCCCACGGTCTTCATCGTGAGTGTGATCATGTACGGAATGACCCTCTTGAACATTTGCTGCGGGTCTGTGGGCCTTCGAGTTAGCTCCTCGATTGTTTACATCCCTATCATTAGGTTATTATTTTCTGAATTACTATAATAGCTAGACGAGGACCACACGTACGGTCCAATGGTAAACACAACAGGGAGAAGGAACTGAAGTTTCTCCTTTGTCATGGCTACATAGAAGTTAGTAAGCAGGTTAAGCAGTAGCTAGTATTAAGAGGTACCTTGGAGATTCATAGCATAGTCGTGAGGCTGAACCGAGAAGCGTGTACATCTTTGGAATGGCCAAACCCATGCGGCTTTCGTGATGAGTACACTCTTCACGTTCATGCCAGTAATGGCAAGGTACTCATCGGGGGCGGCAATCTTGAACGACATGGTGGTGGAACTTCTGGTCAAGCCGAATATATATCAAGTAGGTGAGTAGAATTAAAACTTGAGACGTCTTTCTAGACTTTAGTCAAGAAGATAGTGAATGGGCAAGGTGAGGTTAAATAAAGGGATGAAAAGGAGATTGAGATGCGGCTCTTATAGCACTGGGGTACTATCTATTTATATACCTATGTGATAAGAGAACGGTATAAAACGAGTGTGTTAAAAAGTGGAAAGTTAACTTATTAAATGAGGCGCAAGTAAATTTTGTGAGAAGCTGAAGTAGGTAGTCTACACTTCAGTTGACAGGACGAGTTTCTTGGCGAGGTTTTCGTTAAACTTAAGTTGGAGCTACCGAGAAGACAGACGGGCTCGGTGAAGGGGCGATGTGAATGATTGCCAAGTATGTAGGTAGCTCTAAAGGAAAGAAAACTATGTAGTCAGAGTATGTTTAGTATAGGTAAGTGCCTCTTTAGGCATCAGATATTGATAATCCTTTATTTTCTACCATGGATGTTTATAAACACGATAATTGTCAAGAGTCAGATGGTCGTTTAAAGCCACCACAAGTCGATTACAGGCAGAATGAGTGAATTTGTTTGTGCGTACTCTGATCAAGTGAATACTTGTATTATTGCTAAATCACATATCACCAACCAGCTTTCGCTACGTAACCTTGATAGCTCGAGGATCTGATGCTTAAACGAACGATACGCCACTGTGCTGCTGACAGGGATACATAAATATTGAACGCTAGAGGATGCGGAAAGCCTTACGAGGCATATAGGTAGTATGGATATCGCATAGTTTTACTCGTAAAGGATTTATTACTCACTCCACCATGTGCTTTAGGTTCTTGGATAGGGTAGGAATTTACAAGCATTTACAAGCCATTTACATAGTGGTCGGGCGTAGCTGTAGGCTTGGTTTCGCGTCACAAGACCTAATAATCTGCCGCGTTTGATTTGTTACCAACTAAGGTCCAAGCTCAAGTGGAGTTACCAATTGCACGCAAGTGACAGAATAATTCTGGAAGCTTTCTAAATATCTCTTAGGGCTGCATTTAAGAGGTACCTATCGAGCCCGAGCTGAAGTTCAGCTCCGTGACCCGGGCGGTTTTGGTTACTTGACTATGACTTATAGCTTCCCTGGCTAAGCTTCATTTGCTTATTCTTACTAGATTATTTCCTCATTGTCTTGACTCTTTTGACTAAGAAATATTTACGAAGTATCCGTTTAAGCATAGCCCTCTCTACCTTGTAGATCAGTAATTGTTTACCTTTAATCCTTCTCCCTTTCTTCGTTAATATGACACGGTTACTACACAGTAATCTGTCCGCTACGGCGTATTCCGAACTTTGATAATGAAACCCTGATTTTGAACCTTGCATGCATTTGCGTGGCATACATGCCATGCAGTTCTAGGCTATCCTATTATTTCGATTCCCCAGAGTCCTACCGTTCCCCCCGCACTTATACATATGTTGTGTTAGGTATCGAGAGATCGAGACTCATGCGTCCATCTGAAACCTCGTCGTCATCTATAATTCGAAATCTCGATTCGTCAATTGATAATTCATTCATTCGTTGCAATCAAGTGCATAAAAAACTTCTCTACGTAACCAGAATCCCGTATCATTATCTTCAGTACTCCCAACGCTGCCAAGTGAGGCTTAGACCCCCGTTTTACTTATCCCCGTGCACGGCGGATGCAAGGCTAATCTTGCACATTAGCCCCAAATCTGGGTATTCGGTATTCACGGCTGACTGGCGTTGTCTTCTGACCCCGAATGATCCCGAACGTGAGCGGCGGACAACCGGCAGTCACGGACTTGTCTTCGATCGAGGTTGGGCTCCTATCATCTTTTTCAGGGGTATGATCAACCCCCGTGTCAACCCAAGCTATGAATCATTCTGGCTAGGTATGTTCCCGGACCAATGACAAGAAACCAATCATTAAATCTAGCTTGGAACTGACCATTATCTAGTTCCTATCGCGTTTTAAGCTCTTTGATAAGCATCTACGCTTGGATGGAGACCCTGTGTGCCTAACGTTAAATCACAAGTATCCAAACAAGAACAGACTAACCATTTCCTTAGTTCTAGCCCTGCCTACATAGCTACCTTCATCCACTGTTCTGTCAAATCTCCGAATAGGTTGTAGTAAATATGAATGGCAAAGAGCCTCTAGAGGCACCTCCTCCTTATACCGCCCTTCCAACTAATCCTGACACTCAAGATGAGTTGCAGTTAAACTCCCTAACTTCACATCTTCAACATCATATCACCTCCCTTCCAGATCGCATCCGGGCAACGCAACAAGCACGAAAAGTCGAACAGTCATTTAGTGATGCATCTCTGCTAGACCATATTGTTCCCGTCCTCGAGGAGTTCCTGGTCGACTTAGGGGCCCGACATACTCCCGTTCCGCTGGCGACCCTTACTTTAGTCCCGAGTGTCACAGTTCCTAAGAATGCCATTCTTAGCGGTTTAGAAGACATGAAGCGACGTGGGGAGATTTGCCGCGTATCAAGAATTTCTATAGAAAGACCCGGTAAGGACTCTAAGTCTGGCTCTGGTACCCTTAGTTCCCCAGAGATAAGCGAAAACCCGAGCTGGGCCACGGGACAAGAATTTAGTGATTGGGGACGGTTTGATGAGCCTAGCTCTTCGTTAGATGGTACTGCCGAAAAGATTAAATCACTCTGGTGGCATGATGAAGAGATGGCACGCCGTCTCGCCAACTACCTACAGCCCAGAAAGGAGAAAAGGTCAGAAGTGAAGCTTAACTCGGTAGTCCAAACTGTGGTTGAGCAAAGGCTACCACCGAAAAAGGAGAAGAAAAGCTGGTTCTGGGGGAAACGCATAAGTGAAGAGAAATCGCCGGAGTCAACAGTACCAAACCTCTCACGAATCGATGCTGTGAAGGATAACATACAGGAAGAGCAAGAGAAACAAGGGGCTGATATGACAGTTATGGCTCAGGAGGTTGCATTCCGCCAGGAGAATGATCTCGGAATATGGGAAAGCGTCCGTGGATGGGGTATCGTCGTTACAGTTAAAGTCAGAACTTGATAGTCCCGCCTTGATATGCTGATTGGTGTACAAAGGAAAACTCACATTGGTAGAACTACATACCTATATGCAATTATTTTACACCCTCTACGACATACTTGTAGCAAGCTATAGATGTGGTAATCCTAACCCGAGTTTCGATACAAAGAACCCCCTACTAGGGAACAATACTATCAATGTCATCTATACCTTGCTGGAGATGATATTATTACCACAACTCGGAGTTGGAGCCATGTGGAATACCTAACATAAAAAACATTAACGTCGTACATATTAGATTTAAGTATAGTAACAAGCACCTGGAAGAAAACTTCAAGGTTCAAGGGCAGTACCGATTGAATCATATCTCTAATTTAGGCAGGTATCTAGCAATATGAGTTGCTACTCCGCGGAAAATCATAGATCTAGTAGATTCATTTGAAGAGGTGATTCAATAATTAGTTGTGACGATGAAATACGCGTCAGTTCATGACTAGGACTTGAGTAAAGTTTCATTTTGTACTACCACTGAAGAGCATTACAATCACCGTGTTGCCGAGAACTACTGACTTTGAATCGATTCATCTATGACTCGTCCGGTACGAACCTTTGAAAGAGGCCGCTTTAGATCTCGGCGTCCTAGTTGTCGAGGTAGTTTGGACGACTTTGTCATCGTGCCGCAAGATGTGATATTACACTCACAGCAATTCACACCGCACGCAACATATGATCGAGACCTTACGCACCAAAGGTCATCATAACTCAAAATTAGCTTAAGAATTCGGCTTGGGAAGATGGATTTCGTTTATATAAACAGAAGGCTACCCTCGTCTTTTCGCTTCTTATCCAAACCCCTATCACAACCTACTAAATATCACCATACTACTCCTAATCTCAATATCAGACTTACCTATCTACCTACCTACCTAAGGTACACAACCGGACGATTAGACAACTAGACAACTGGTTACCGCAGTACATCGACGTGACAGCGCAATGTGTCCGTGCGGCGCCGCTTGTCGATGCAACCCTTGCCGTTGCGGCAGCGGCCGCTCCCATAATGGCGGACGTACACATGGCCATAGGCACTCCCATAACCATGGGCACTCTCACAACCATGGACACTCGCATGGCCATGGGCACTCTCATGATCACAACTCCCCGAGTTTCCAGGGCCAGGGTTACGTTCTCGGCCATGTCCACGATGGCCATCGTACCGGGCGCGGCCTTGGCCACGCCCCTCAAGAAGACATTTCTTCACAGCTAGGACGAATGGGCATTTCCAGGGGACCTTCTGGCCCCCAAGCCCAACTCCAAGAATATGAATGCTTCTTCAGCCGACAAACAGGTCCATACGACCATCGAAGACTACGCGAGTTTCTACTAGGAGAATTGGAGCGCTGGCTACATTCAGCTTCAGCTTCAAGCGATGGCAACCCAGTTCCCCTGACTCACCATTTCTTTTGCGACGAGCATATGCGCGAGCTCTTCGGCGGGAATTACGCGGCTTTTCAACCTGAACAGTGTATGTAGCACCCATATTTTACCCCCTTTCCTTTCGATGTGTCGGGAGCTATGGCATTCTGATCAAGCTCTGTTGGAAGCTACTACTTCGGAGCACTACAAACAACTAAATGTATTACAAGATAACTGCTAACTTTTGGTGCAGATATGCGTGCTTTGCAGATGGCCGTGGAGTCTGGTAACGCTTAGCTTAACGACCCCACGTAGACTCTAAGGGATGCCGATGGACTGGAGATCGACTGAGAAAGACAACAGGAAGTATGAGTATCAGTTTGTGGACGAGGTATTACTAGCCGAGACAATGCCTAAGGAGGAGTTTGTTTGTTAATCATTATTGGAAAATTTTGATTAAGGATGTATTTAGTATTGATTTAGACAACGACCAAACACCAAAAAAAAATACTATCATTATTAACCAAGTAGAAGTAGTAACGTGGAAGGACTGATTCGATAATAATGATCTACTACCCACAAGTTGCTATCCTGAACGTGCATAGGGGCTAATTATCGGCCGCTTCGTAAACGGGCATGTTCTAGAGAATTATTCGAGAGACTGACCCTCAGCCCACCACTGCCTCAACCCCTCGACATCGCACCAGTCGAATTGCGCCGGATTCTCGTACCACCAGCTATGTCCGGCCACCGGGCGGTCACTAGCATACTTTTTGAGGCTTCCACCATCAAAACGATGGTTCTTGACCCCGAGTAGTAATACGACGCTTCCAACTGCTGGTAAGAACTGTTCCGGATCGAGGAATACTGTCAAGAGCACATGCTTATCGGTAGAGGGGTCGGCAAGTCTGGCCTGTCGCTGGCTATACGGTGGTAGACCGGAAGGTTCGAGACCCGAGATTGCTGAAACTACTGCTAGCACATTGACACTCCAATTTTGCTTGTATGGTAAGTTAGGGATTTTGCGTAGCTCGGTGAGTTTCAAGGGGTTCCCAGGGTTGTTGCTCGACCAGGGAAGATGGTTTGCGTCCTTAGATTTTGCTGCGAGATCGAGCCTATTCTGGGTTGCTTTCGACATAGCGTTTGGCATGACTTCGAAGTCATCATCCGCATCAGCTAATTCTTTCAGTAGACCAACGCCACTGTCGAAAGACTGCGTAGTGCTGTTGCCTGGAACCGATTTAGCCGTGATGGAAGTCTGGGCGTTATTTTCAACTCGATCTTTTGGGACTTCAGCGTCTGCTTGGGCACTTTCGATGGGCGTGGTATCGACAAGTGCGTTATTCCATCCGACGAGTGCAAGATCCTCGACAACCAGGTAGACCATCCCGTTTTCTGCACTATGGTCATCGCGCTCTTTTTCCTTTCCTTTGGTAGTTGGCGAGCCCCCATCAGTCCCATTAGGGAGGTTCCTCCGTTCGATTCGGAATTGTTCCAGTTTAACGTAGGACCCAAAGGCGAATTCCCCCTCATCTACATATCTATGCATCTGGGCTGATAATAGGGCCTGGATACACAGCTCCCCATCTCCGAGTAACAGGCGTACGGCACGCCATCTCTTGGATCTAGACGTATGGACGGAATCGACACCCTCAACTAGAAATACTGAGCCTGGAATGCAATATCCGGTACGCACAATGTCGGCGATTAGAGGTATAGGTTCGAAAGGCTCTGGCGCGATACATGTTATATCGGGCGTTTCATGCGATTGGCGGGGCGAAGAGGCGGACATGAATTTCGAGTTGGTTCAGTCATGATTTGTTTTAGTTTTCCCGCGAGAGGCGCGAGAATAAAAGTAACAGCCCGGGTTAATTGGATTAATTGAAATTTAATTGGAATCTGAATCAGATCAAAGAAAGTTAAAGTTACCTAACCTAAGAGTTACCTAACCTAAGGTCCCCGTAGTCCGTAGTGACGTTCCACATGAGTGGGGCAAGCGAGAGTTTGTCCTTCCTTTTCGAGGAAATTATGTTTTATGCAATATTAAGCACATTTAGAGCGGTTATAAACATATACGGTGGACTATTAGTCCAACTGTGCCAAAATTAAAAAAGTCAGTCGCATTATATCAAATAAGGTAATAGTAACATTAAGATTATAATATAAGTTCGGCTATTTCTACTATATACACAATTTATAAGGTAATATATACTTTTTATATAAGGATAACTTTATTAATATACGTTTGAATTACTTAAAACTAATATTGGTATTTTTATTAAAAAAAAACAAAAATTTTAATTTTAGTTTTATATAACTTGACTTTAGATTCGTAAAGATATTAAAAACACTATATAATTATAAACATTATTAAATATATTACGGGCTATTTTCCCTTTTTCCACGAGTTAAAAATAATAACCAATTAAATTTAACCTTTATTTTAACTTTAAATATATATAAATACGTAAATATATAAAGTATAATTTATACATTATAATAATTTCGCAAATATCTTATTTTAAAAATTATAATTGGTATTATTTTATAGTTTCAATTAATGTAAAAATAATAATTTAGGTTACATTTTTATATATTTTTAAACTAAAGTATTATATTAATATTAAATAAGTATTAAATAGGTATTATGTAAAAAAATTAACACGTAATACCTTTTAAAGCCACTACCTTAAAAATGCTATAAATAGATATTTTAACAATAAATAACTTATTTAATACGTATTTTATAAGCATGTAAATAAAATCATTATTTTTACATTAATTAAAGTTATAAAATAATACCAATTATAATACTTAAAACGTAATATTTATAAAGTTATTTAAATATATTGTATTATATATCGAAATATATAGTAATAAAATTAATAAAATAATAAAAAATCTTATATTTTAGGTATTTCGGGATACTGTGCACCTAGCGTTGCTTATTAAATTACCCTTTTTGGATAGCTCCCACCCATTTTCTTGATTTTGGCACAGTTGGACTAATAGTCCACCGTAACATATACTATTCCATATTTTCACTGGAATGAAGCCATCTCCTTTTACGGACTGCCCCGGACAATGCCGGCTCGCATGCCACGACACTTACAACTACGGAGAGGCTACATTAATTCCATGTTCAATGAATTTAACTAAAGCAGTGAGCCCAAGATTCCCCGTCTTATATACAGTTCAAAGTAACATTCTGAGCCGTGTCCGCGTCGCCGCCGTGATTTAAGAGCGCGAAAGTGTACGGCCCTTTCTCCAGCTCCCACTCATTTCTCCTATTTAGGATAGTTAGGTACCTATCAACATCCAACTGCAGCGAAATCATAACCTCTTCACCAGCTGATACGTCAATACGCTGAAAGGCGACAAGTTGCCTTATCGGCTGAGTGATAGACGAGACGCGACTAAGCACGTATACCTGCGCAACATAGCTCCCAGCTACAGTGCCACTATTCTTAACAGAAACTGAGAACGTAACTATATCCCCAGCCTTGAAACCTATCGCATCCGTACCATTTATCGAGGCTTCAAACCTAGACACTTCAAATGTCGTGTATGATAGTCCGTACCCAAACCAGTATGCTGGGGATGATTCGGTATCCAAATAGTTCTTCAAGTGGGCAGTTGGCTTGTAGTTGTAATAAACGGGGATTTGACCAACGTGCTTCGGCACGGTTATTGGCATCCGACCGCCGGGGTTGACAGTGCCGAATAACACATCCGCGATGGCTTGGCCACCAGATTGGCCAGGAAAGAAAGTATTTAGCACCGCAGCGCTTTGGTTATAATAGTCGATTGCGAAGGGCCGGCCGCCTTGAAGAACGAGCACGACTGGCTTTCCCAGCTTATAAATCTCTTTAGCCAATAAATCTTGGCTTAGGGCCAGGCCAAGCGTGCCTCTATCTCCACCTTCTCCGTCACTATTCCAAGCAGCACCGACTGCTAGGACCACGACGTCTGAGGAACTTGCTAACTGGACTGCCTGGTCGATAGCATCACCATTCCGGCTGATGAGGTTCCAAAAAAGGATGAGTTGCGAATTAAGAGAATTCACGTTCTCTACTTTCTTATATAAGTTGAATGCCTGATATTCGATGCGAATATGATAAGTTTCCCCCTTCCTAAAAGTGAAAGGTGCAGACCCTTTAGGAGGCAACGTAGCATTAGCTGTAATATAATCATATTCCATGATATTACCCATAATATTGCTGGAATCAAGCAGCCCATCAACTCCGTTTGATACAATCAAATTCCCGTCTATAAAGAGCTTAACGGTCGTATTAGGGCTAACTGCCGCTCCAATCCAACCATCAACATCTGTATCAACCGGGGATTGTAACTCACCTTCCCAGATGGCACTAAAATTATTAGATGTTAGACCGTCTGGGGGATAAAGCCCCCAATCAAGCGCCGGCAACTCTATTCGATGCGCTGCAGGTTGAGTAAAATTGGTATCAGCAAAGTACGTTGCTGAAAGGCCGCCTATAGTGCCATTTGACGATAAAAGATATGATGGAATCACATATTGTGCGTTATATTCCCAGGTATTCGTTCCCCAGCTTGTAACTAGTTCAAACTCGTCGTTGCTCGCATAACCCAGGATTCCTTGTCGGATTGTCCGCGCTGCTTCTGCGGGATACTGGCCCCATTGACCGGAATAATCGCCATAGTTAAGCACATCAGCGAAAGGTCCGATTAGAGCGATCCTAGAGACATTCTGAGCCTTAGGTATTAATGGTAACGTCGAGTTTTTGTTCTCAAGGAGGACGATACTTCTTTGAGCAGCTTCGCGTGTCAGGTCGCGATGACTCTCGACAATGTGTGGGGGATCTATCTTAGTTTCGATAAAGGGGTTGTCAAATAAACCCAAATCCCACTTGATACCTAGTATCTTACGTACATGAGATTGTAGGGTTGCTAATTCCATAGTGCCATTTTTAATTAGGTCTATTGTCGTCTAAGTCTGTGTTAGCATTATTGGTGTTATTAGGTCCGAAAGGGGAACTTCACATTAAGATAGACTTCTAAAGGGAAGTCATAAAATTGAACCATCCCTCCAGCATTAAACCATTGCTGTATCGCATCTGCGGGAGAACCTGCCACTCGATGTACTGTTTGGATCTCAATCATACCTGTTATATATTTAGCATAACGCGCTTCAAGATTCCCTTGGCATGTATTAATACCGGTATCATCAGCAATGATAAATCCATCGAACCCCCAGTCGTCAAGCGCTTGGTATAACATAGGATGCACGTGAGCCGGTATATCATCAAGTTCGTTATATGCCCTGTAACACATTTAACGCCCGCTACATAGGTACCTAAGGTAACTAGGTCATAGTCAACTTACATCATGACTCCTCTCGCTCCACCAAGCTGAATCACAGCTTTGAATGGCATGAGAAGATCCTGTATAACCTGCCGGTTTCCATGACCCATGAAAGGGGCAGTATTGTGTCCAGACTGCGGAGCCCCATGGGCGGCGAAATGCTATCGGGTGAGATAAATTATTAGCACTGCTTATAGTATGGAATTTGATAGATATACCTTCACCACTGGCACCACAGCATCCGGATCAGACCAAGATCCGTTTTTGGATAGTCCGCGCGAAAAGGCGACGCCCATATGCGAAGTCAACACCTTATCTTCACCCCAAGCCTCTACATACTATCAGTACAGAAACAGGCCTCATGCAATACAGAGAAGCTATACCTTGCATACGTCCCCATCGCGGATCCTGACCAATATCGAGAACAGGGGATAAACAAGCATGGATTCCTATCGATCTAGCTTCTGTTCCAATTGCTCGACCGACCCGATATGCAAGGTCAGCATCGAAACTAGCCGACAAGCCCAAGCTTTGAGGGAAAATGGATTGTTTAAAAGAGCCAACACCATGAAGACATTCTCCCACGTGTATGAACGGGATCTTTAGTCGTGATTTCTGCAGATTTAACTCCTGGACAGAGTTGTAGTGAGAGGTGTTGAGCGGGTACCTATACAACGGTAAACTAAATGCCCCTTTCTACGGAGAGTTCCGGGGCTCACCAATCATGCATCAGACCTATTGGTGAGTCCGGACTGAAGCGCATCGTATAGTCTAATATTCATGGTAGCGTAGGAAGACTCAAGCGTAGTTTGTGAGCGCACCTACCATAAAGCTCATTTTTCGACTCGACCCCTACGATGTCGCCTCCGAACATAAGATGCAATTGTAGGACTTAAATACTTGTTAGTTGAGATATAGAAGGAGATCTTTTAGCTCCTATATAAACTAACCGAGGTCCTCAATCGTCATGTTTGAAATCAAGCCATCTACATAAGACTGTTTATCTAGAGAGATCGCATAGTTGTCGCTTCCCCCTGGTAACTCTTCTCTCCCCGCGAACCCAAGTACTTGCGCATTGAGCCGCGCGAAGACATCTAAAAAGATCAACAGAAATAAATATAGCATCACCAAAGTTAACCCTTAGGTACACGACACCGTAATTTGAGTACTAAGATACGAGCATACCTAAGGTATAGATATTCAACGCGAGGAGTCTTAATAGGAATAGTATATCCACTAACAGTGTTACATTATCCTCTTCTCGGGCTATATTAATCAGAGTACATGGAATTATTCCAGGAAACCTTGCCGATACCGAGCCGTTAACCCCGCGCCATCGCAATACTATGATCTAGATCTACTATGCGCTCACAATTCCGTTGACGTCTAATAAACGTTACAGTAGCCAAGCATGAGTCGGATTATTTACCATATATGGTAATATGCCTTGTTTAGTTACTTTTCGTCCCCCCTCTCTTCTCAACTAAGACTGGTAACATGACATTTAGTACAACCGTGACATTATGCCAACGTTTACTTGGGCAACCCAAAACCAACTTCTTCGTATAACCTCCAAAGTCCACGCGTTAGGTGCTTCCCTATGCACATCATTATCCAATTCCAAACGCCCATATACCAACCCAGCCCCAAATTCATGATTAGATTAATAAAATATTGGCACGAGCCGATAGATACTCCTTGCTTTTGCTTCTGAAATCATCCGCTAACAAGTTACTCTTATTATTCCAAAATTGCATGAGTTCCCTCTTCTCTTTCCATTGAGGCCACTTCGCGATGCTGGAACTCGTGCCCTCGTTAGGATCCATCGTGTATAGGAAGGAGATGTAATAGCTTTGAATAGCCTTGCTGGCGTAATTAGGCAGGATTCCGTAAAATACCTGCAATATATCCGAGGCGTGGAATGTACCCAATATCGGGGTACCGTAGTCGTAAGACGCTAGGTATGACCACGAAGGCACATTGGGATTTGCGGCAAGAGCTGACTCCAAGAAGATTCTCCGCGTGAGAGTGAACACCATGTCACCCAGGATTGCCGCAAGGCGTTTGAACTGTGGGTATACGCTATTCAAAATGCCGGTGTTGAAGGGGCTGCCGGCGGTGATTGATGAATCGTATGTGTTGACAAGGCCTACAATATCATCTCTCGGGACTTCGGGGAAAAACACCTTCCAGATGTAGTCGACGAGCTTGTCGGTGGTAGTAATGTTGGGTTGAAACAAGCTAAAAAGCGTTCCCTCATCTTCTTGGTCTCCAATAATCATAGGTACAGCTGCATATTTGCCACTGAGTGCGAGGGCGTCGGGGCTTTGGGTCAAAACGACGCCGTCCGGTCGTGGGAGATATGATAGAGAGATAGAGGTGTAGCCTATGATACCCGGAACGCTATTAGCAGCGTTGAGGAAGGTATTGTAGTCCGCATCGCGAAGACACTCAAGCGTATCAGCAGACCCGGCGCAGCCCGCCGCTTTTACCACCGTATCATATAGATCCTGGCAACGGGCACAGTCTACTGGCTGAGCCGGAACTATACTCCCGCTATTCATAATAGCTGCGCGGAAAAGCTTCTTCCCATTGTAGGTGTTGTTACCATCGTAAAGAGCCATCTGATCAAACACGGAGATAGCTCCGGCCGATTCTCCCCAGATGGTCACCTTTTCAGGGTCTCCACCAAATAATGCTATATTGTCTTGAACCCATTCTAGACCCATACGTTGATCTAGAAGCCCTAAATTCGACGCCCCGTCGGCAAGGATCTCCTTTCCTGCTAAAAATCCGAACCCACCGACTCGGTAGTTCACGGATACAAATATGAACGGCTTATTTTGATCAATACCGTTAGAGACCAGCAAGGAGGCATCGTACATCTGCGGGCTGCCAAGTTCGAATCCGCCGCCAAATATCCAAAAGAGGACAGGAAGTTTGGCATCTGCTTTGGTACCCTTGGGCCGTTGAACTCTCATGGTCAAACAGTCTTCAGTCTGCCCCGTGACAGTCTGAAATAGCGGTGTATTGATCAAGTCGCCTAGTACAGATGTGAGGAGATCTCCATCCGTAGAGAAGAACATCTGCGGGCAAGCGGGACCTGCTCCGGTGGCATCAAAAGTACCGAGAGAAGAGGTTAGTCTCTGCGGTGGCTTTAGGCGCAACTTTCCCACTGGAGCTTGGGCAAATGGTATGCCTCCAAAGTTCTCAACCTTGCTAGAGACGGAGCCCACGATAGTCCCTTGCGGTATGACTACTGAGGTCTTGATAGCTCGCTCTTCTAGGGTTGGGCTTGGTGCCGGGAGAGCAGCAGCCAAGCTGGCCAGCACAGCGGCTGATAACAGATGGGTGAGTACCCTATACATGGTGTCTGAGTCGCAGCACACCAGAACGAGGGAGAGAGGAAGATAGGGAGAAATCCAAGGGATAATTGTCTCCTTCGTTAATTAGTACTAAGAACTGAGAAGAGATTTTTTGGAGTAGAATCCCATCGTGACTCCTGGATGGCATGTCAATTTTATACTGACTCGCGTAGCGTGCAGGTTTGCTTCTTAGAGGTGGCTTAAATCGGAGCTATCGTAATTTCAGCCTTTTGTTTATTGTCTCTGATTCAGGTGACCACCACAGGCAGGGAGATTTTGATGTGCATCAAACAAAGTGACTGGCTTGCATTTACGAATCCTTACCCAATTCCGTAAGTGCTCCAGAGTATTCTATCGAAAACCCGGCTTCTGGAAAGGAAATCTAGACAAGAATCTCTTAGCTTGTCCCCTCCCCACGGGGTAAGAACACCGGCTTGGGTCCTCGTCCGGTTGATAGAAGCTTGGCCCTGCATAACTCAGAACTGGAATGCCATGTCTAGATACTCTTTGGGTGAACATCCCCGATGCCATGTGAAATCTACACCGATCTTTTTTGGTCTTGCGGCTGGAATAGCCGAGGCCCAGCATGTATGCAATATATCGGCGCGATTTGTTCCAGATCGGAGCGCCTGATCAGCCGTGAATAGTTTCGTAAGGGGTGGGCAGTGCTAAAGGAACCAATAATAGATGATCCTGCTGACAACGTATTGCACATAAGTAGTCTATAGACCGGGGTATGTTTGCTATGGCTGGCTGGATCCTTCAGCGGATCGAATTGGCAGGTAGGCACCTTACCCACAGCGTTTGAAATATTTATGTGGTTGGACTGTTAGGGTAGTTAAAGAGTAGATCAAAGGGCGACGATCCAAAGCTAACCCAATGACGACATCACATTACCCCAGAGTAACCCCGCCAAAGTGAGTTGTGGGGGTGGGACTAGATGATGGATTGTAGGCCCGAAGTCAATTCTAGCAAAGCGTCGGTCTGGTTTTGCGGGGTAGCAAGGGGGAGATGTGTTGACGATGATATCTCATGTGTAGGTACCGATTACTGTACTACTTCCACGTCGTTTCTGTAACCTATCGTAGGATTGTCCCTATTCGAAATAAGGGATCTGGGACTGGCAGGTCTTAATCCAATCTCCGTATTGGTAATGAACCAATGTTTGGACAACGGCGGTAATAGCTGCCTTAGCACAATTACCGATTTCGCAGTCATGACCGTTCCTAGCCCCGGTTCGTTCGGCATCGATCTTAAACGGACGGCGATTTACAACTTTCCTGAACTGGATGTTAGCCTTCCTATGTCTACGTTAATCTACGTGCCCGTCTCTATATCATTAGCAAGACTACTATACGTTCCTTTGCATATAAGAAAAGGGGCATGGCTATCTACCCAACTATTAGCTTAGCTAGGGATTATTTATTGGGACATTGAGAGAAACCTGATGAAAGGATTTGCAAGGATATCAACCGTCACTTACATATTATCTTTTATAAAACATTTCTTCCAGGGTAAATCCTAAACAATGCTTCTTGTAATATCCCCGTCAAGTCAAAAACCTTGCCTAATTTTATGTAGGTGTCCGACTTGCTGTCTGCCTCCCATGGGGAGCGAAGTGTTCATGCTGTAGTAGTACGGGCCGTCCCGTATTGCTAACCAGGGCCCAGGTAACGACCCACAGAGATACGATAACGCCGAATATTCGTATGCTGCCAAACCCATACCAGTAACTAGAAAGTTTGAGTGAAAACAAGTCTCGGCTTATTGCACTTGGTCAACTAGCTTGCCTCAGAGATGAGTTTCTTGCTTAGGCAAATACTCAAAGCGTCTCGTGGCATGGAAAATACACAAGACAGATGTTTTCTTAGCCACCGTGCTTCGCATATTCCCTGTCCAGGAATCATACGCCATTTTTAAATTTGAACCCCAGTTGAAGGCTAAAAGCTGTAAACTTGTTGCCATGGCACTTGATTTTAAAGTCTAAGTCGGCATCTTCTAGAGGAGCGCGCCAGCCAAATTCTTCGCGATCAAACGTCTCGATTCTTGCTGTAAACTGTCGCTCGTAGATGTCGAATTCAATAAAGGTTTCATATTGGTGGGGCTCTAAAATCATCGATAGAGGGTGACAGTACCGTTCATGGAACCCGATGATATCGCGGCGGTAAGGTAGGACCTTTTCTATGTCGACTTTAGGGTCAATAAGGTTTCCGCGATTGTTACCTTTGGCGGGGAATTCAAATTCAAAAGTCTCTTTATGATCTCTATCCTTAAACTCGTAGACTACTCGTCTAAGAATTGCTTTAGGGTATTTAGACCCAGGGATGGTGTAGCCCGATGCTAGGAGAAGCGTTCTGTTACACGTAGGGTGGAAAAAAACACAAAGGTTCGACACCCATGATTTCAATGACTCTCCATGGAGTCCTTGACGTTGTTTCAGAGGAGCTGTTGCAATCGTCGACACTTTGCCACCGAATTCCCATAAGAAGGCATCCCCGTTATAGAGTACCATGGCAACCCTTGGCCCTTCCGTTGCAGCACATTTGATGGGGCCTGGTAGTCTCTTTTCCAGAAACTCGTTCGTTGTGTGGTCCCATGCGACTCTATTCGATTAAGTTAGACAAAGGAAGGAAAGCTATATCTAGATGTTCATACAAATTATGATTCATAGTACAAACCACGAGTCTATTCCCAAAGGCTAGAATCCGGAGTGTTAAGCCAGCGAGAACACCTGTTGGCATAGAGAAAATCTTTCGCGTCCGTGCCCATAAGTTATCGACTACCACGATGCGTGGTTTAGCAAGCCATGCTATCTTGCCATGAGAATATAGAGTCCACGAGTATGCCTGGTTATTTGGCTCGGAGTCATTGTCATAGTGGCCAAATTGCGCATAGACGGTGGACGTGTTATCGTGATCGCCGTGATACACAGGGTCCAGCTTAAAATATGATTCATGTTCCCAACAAAATTCTTTCGTTAGACGGGCTTGCCAAGACTTCCAGCGCAATCGTCCTATCCTGTGAAGGGCGTTGAGGTAATTATCTGGATTCACTGGATTGCCAGAGTGTGTCAATGAAGGACAGTATTTATCTGTAATAGCGCCTAGTATAGACTGAGATAAAAACTTGCTACGCCATCGTCTAGATATGGCAAGGCAGCAAACAAACTCATGGAGGTCTAGTAGCTGTGCAATTTGGCTTACTATTTCCACTGGAAGGTCGCCAATAAGATCTACTTTGACCTTGGAAAGAAGAATTTTTATATAACGGTACTCTTGGTCAGTGAGTGAGCCACTAGAAAAGAATAGACGTAGCTTCGTAAGACGTTCTAGGAGATCAATGTCCCCCCCTGCAGCACTGAATGATAAGTGTTTGGGATCCATTGATAGCGAATTCTAGTTGAATGAAGTTCGCATTAAGGATAGAAAAATATATAGCTAAGGTTGTCTTGTTCTAATTTTCATTTTGCTCTTGTTCACCTCCTTGTGGTTTGTTGATATGATAAATGGTGGTTTTGGTTTTGATGACCCTTGATGCCTTCTAAATAACGAAATAAGGACATGATATTATAGAAGTCTGTCGTTGTTGCTTCATTAGTTCAAGAGGCAGTTAAAGCCCTTCGTTACATTCATTCTAGCTTCTATGTATTCGGTTAGCACTATATATGGCATATGTACTTAGGAAGGTATGACTCCACCATGAATGGTCAGGTCACATATGTGTATGTCAGGAGGTAACCAACAAGGGAGCGTAGAGGAAAAATGTACCTAATTTATTTGAGTTAGCCACCCGACTTGTTGTAGTTGTGGCTGAATGATATTATGGCGTAAGCATCATTCCACCAGACCAGACCTCATGTTCAGACGCTAGGGTAGAAGGCATAAGGTTAGAGGTAGGGTAGGTAGGAGGTACCTACATGAATCGCCTGCCCCTCTAAAATGCACCATAGCTTATGGGTACATTCCTCACTTTGGGCGCACATAGATAGGGCACCTAAAAACAGGAAGTAGAAACCTGCGACGGGCCACGGCATTCTTCACACTAATTTCGAGCTGACTGTCGACTACGTATATGCGTATTAGGGTGCATGTGGGCTTTGCAGGGTCCTAATTACATATGTAGCGGTTATTAGTCTCCTTTTTATTCATTCATTCATTCATTCATCTGCGACCTTCGATAGTAGCCCTCTCTTTCACATTTTCCAATAAATTCCCATTACGACAAGGCAAGTCCATACCACCATCAATAATGATTCTTTTTTGATTGTTAACTAACCCTCTCTCTCTTTTATTAGGTATATCTCGGTTACTTGTAAACTCACTTCTCTACCGTTCACCTTGTCCCCTTCGTAATCGAAGTCGGTTGTTTTTCCCATCTTGTCTACCTACTACATAACTTATAGGTAGCCATAGAGAGGGACAAACATAAGACCCCTCCTCCCTCAGTCGCTATGGCTGGCCCCGCCTCTCCCAACGAAGGCCCTACGTTCGAACCACCACAACTTCCACCTGGATGGATAGCGCAGTGGGATGGTGCAAGCAAAAAATATTACTACGTTCAACTCTCGACCGGAGTCTCCCAATGGGAGACTCCAACACAAGCTGCGCCGGGAAACACACCCGCTCAAGTCAACGAGCACCCGTACGGGATACCTGGCCAACAAGAAGTCATCACGCACCCGGACGGTACACAAACTGTCAAACATCCAGACGGCCGGATGGAACCCGTATTGGCGCCCGATGGTAGTCGAGGACTCGGTGGGCCATCTGGAGAAAGGGGATTCGGTGTGAGTATACAAGTCCTGGCAGATTTTGCATTCTAACAAAAAGATCGCTAACGCGGCTTCTAATTGCAGAGCTTTGCTGCCAACACGTTATTGAGTCAGTTCTCTGGAGGTCATGGAAAGCCACAGAGTGGTAGCAGTCATGGTTCGAGCGGCATTGGAGGTATTGCTGGTCAATTAATTGGTGGTCTTGGTGGAAGCCATGGTGGTAGCCACGGAGGTTCGTCTGGTGGACATGGCGGAGGAGGTCCCAGTCAACTTGTTGGCCAACTTGCTTCGAATTTATTTTCCTCTGGCAGCAAGCCTCAGCAACCACAGAATTATCATGCAGGGCAGCCACACCAACCCCAACACTCATCAGGTCTCGCTGGCTCTGTGATGGGAGGCGTCGCAAGCATGTTTGGAGGAACGCATCAACCAGTATGTCGTTTTCTACCTACGACATTTCGATGACCCCAGACCTAACTAACGCGTTACATAGGGTCAGAGCTATGGCTATTCGAACTCGGGCCATGCGGGCGGATACAGTGGTCAAGCTCCTCCGACATCTTACCAGTCACCGAGTGCATCAACACCATCATATAGCGCTCCGCCTCATCAACAGAGCTCTCCCTCGTACAACCCTCCTTCTGGTCAACATGGAACGCCGCAATATCCACCTCCGCCCGGCCAGCATGCCGCAACATCATATCCTCCGCCTCCTGGCCAGACAGGAGGACACCAAAATCCCTCCTATCATAGCCCGCCGCCCGGTTCACAGCATCAAAACCCGCCTTATGGTGGTGCCCCATCATCGGGCCACTCTAGTTATGGACATAGTCCAACTCCCCAAGCAAATGCTTATTGTGAGTAACCCTTTTTCATGGTGAATTGCTAGCTTAGTTAACATCATGACTAGCACAACAACCGCAATACACGTCACCACCACCAAATCAACCCCAATACAATGGTCACCAACAGTACCCTCCGCCTCCGTCTACGTACGGTAACCGACCGTACAATGTGTCACCTCCATCGTCAGGTACTCACGGATACCCGGGACAACCCTCGTACGCGAACGCCGGGCCACCAGTTCCTTCGGGGACGCATCCTCATGCCCAGTCTGGGTATCCCGGTAATTGGTAATAGGAAAGTTCGAAGTTGTTATTGTATTGGCAAAGTTTCAGGCATATAATAGACCGCAGGGTTTATTTTAACCATTCTTGGAGCATTTCCATCATATCCATTATGCTAAGGAGAATTCTGCTTTGGCATTGATCCGCGGTTGTTTATAGCATAAATCGAGTTATGGACAAGATAAAGATGTTGTGACCATATGCTCGTTTAGGATTATATTGGACCGCATTCGCGAACGCGTATTACGAGTTATGATGATTAGGATTAGGTGATGCTCTCGTTTGGATTTAGAAGGCAAATATAAGAAGCTGTGGCTGAAATCTTTTTACCACGTCACTGAATTTTCTTCTCGGGAGTTGTTTCTGCTGCTAGACTGCGAATGCGTACTGAGATATATTGCGCGATAAACCACGATACAATGGCTACCACAACAACATAGCCCACAGTTGGTAATAGTGAACGAGGAAGTAAACCGAAGACAAAGGGATCGAGAATGATATCCACATGAACCGGCGGAACATCTCTCATCAGCGTCTTGTTCATTGTGTAGTAATCTGCCGCTGCTAAAATTTGGAGGAAAAGGACTGATGTCTTTCTCTCAGATCTTAGTGCTTGGCCGCCTCCGGTGGACCTAGATTGAGATCTAGGATTGTTATCTAGATACCGACGGAACTGTGAGTACCCTGAGAGCCCAGATAATAGTTCTGGGGTCTCAAGAAGGGTTTGTAGCCCATAGGTGACGACTCTAAACTCGGTGGGTTGCTAGGAACCAGTGAGCTTTCTCTGGTCCAAGTATATTAAATTATAACATAATAGCATGTCTACTCACGGTTGCAGCCCAGCATACTCTTATTTCGTAACGCTGACCCTCAGTCAGCTCATCTAGAACGAGCCAAGTAGCTCTGCCATGCGGCAACGAGATATTGGGAAATTGGGCCTCGACATGGGTCCGTATTGCCCCATTAGTAGGTGTGAGGGTATCGACGTGTAAGTCGCCCAGGGTCGGATGGGAAAAGGGGATACTAGCTGTAGGTGGTCCTAAAAATATTGCCTTTTCGGTATTGGCAAATACAACTGCAATCAGCGAATATACAAGAGCAAGATGAATTATTAACATTATGACCAAATATTATTATGAGTATTATCATGAGGTTATGTATATTTAAACTGGGCGGACAGCAGTTTGTAAGTCGATTTTAGGTAGTTAGTTGTATTTCGTATGAAATTTAATTATTAATGAAGATCGGATTTTGGATGGATTGTATTGGGCAATTGCCAGCTGCGTTACTACCGCTAAGCTTAGTTTGTCAAGTTTGTCATCTGCGAACTGGTCCGTGTACTTTGTATAATAGGTGTAATAGGTGTAATAGCCGACCCCCCCTGTTTCTTCTTGGGCAACAACGTGGTCTGTGTGCCTTCCCGAACCCCCCGAGTCCAATCCGGTCAATCAATCTAGGCAACCTCATAAACAAGCTAGACCGTGGCTGGCCACTAGACATGTCAACATTGGAATATTGGAACACTAATTGCTCCAACCAGGGGTGAATTTTTAATCCGCCCCCCACTTGAACTTTTAGTTAACTTAGGTAAAAAACGTCCCGTCCAAAGCATCAACAGAACTCCTTTTGACTCGATCTCAACTCCTACATCTCATCCACTCACATATCCTGCAAAGGGGCTATTTTTTCAACCTGCCCACTCCCGATTCTTGTTCTCTCGTTTCCCTCTAGTACAGATTTTCCATTGTATCTGCCTTCAAGATGCGTGAGATCATTAGCATCAACGGTATGTTTTTCTTATTTTCCCCTCGACAGCACGCGTTTTCCTTCACCGCATAATCCATGTCTCCTTATTGCCAGCACCTTTTGACCTTTAGATTATGGAAACGCGTTTATACTGATTGCTTGTTTTGTATACAGTCGGCCAGGCAGGTTGCCAAATCGCTAACGCTTGCTGGGAGGTAAGTCTATTCACTGCGCAGGATCTCGATGTCGCATATATACTACGCAACTCGGACCTCGACAGCGCCTTTCGCGAAACCGACTACAGATGGAAATTAAAACTGACCTGCTTTTAGCTTTACTGCCTCGAGCATGGTATTCAGGTATGTTTACATTTGAAATCAAATAGACCAAGGACTTGACTGATGCTTATCGTGTAGCCCGATGGATACCTGACCGAAGAGCGCAAGAAGGCGGACCCCGACCAGGGATTCAGCACTTTCTTCTCTGAAACTGGTATGCTTAATATGCTATGTGGATAATATAAAGTATTCTAACTTATTGATTCCTTTAGGTCAGGGCAAATATGTTCCTCGCACTATTTACTGCGATCTCGAACCCAACGTCGTCGATGAGGTTCGAACTGGTACCTACCGCAGCCTTTTTCACCCCGAGCAGATGATCACAGGCAAGGAGGATGCGTCCAACAACTACGCTCGTGGTCACTACACTGTGGGCAAGGAGCTCATCGACCAGGTTTTGGACAGAGTGAGACGTGTTGCCGATAGCTGCGCTGGTCTCCAAGGTTTCTTGGTCTTCCACTCCTTTGGCGGTGGTACTGGCTCTGGTTTCGGTGCCTTGTTGATGGAGCGTCTGTCGGTCGACTATGGTAAGAAGAGCAAGCTAGAGTTCTGCATCTACCCTGCTCCTCAAACCGCTACTTCGGTCGTCGAGCCATACAACTCTATCCTTACTACACATACCACTCTTGAGCACTCCGACTGCTCCTTCATGGTCGATAACGAAGCTATCTACGATATCTGCCGCCGAAATCTTGGCTTAGAGCGTCCCAACTTCGAGAACCTGAACCGCTTAATCGCCCAAGGTAAGATATTATCTAATAGTATTATGTTGCTAGTAGCTAACGTTGTCTAGTTGTTTCTTCTATCACGGCTTCTCTTCGATTTGATGGCTCTCTCAACGTCGATCTTAACGAGTTCCAGACCAATCTGGTGCCGTACCCTCGTATTCACTTCCCTCTGGTTGCTTATGCTCCAGTCATTTCGGCTGCCAAGGCCGCCCACGAAGCCAACTCTGTTCAAGAGATGACCATGTCATGCTTTGAGCCGTACAACCAGATGGTCAAGTGTGATCCCCGTAATGGAAAATATATGGCTACATGTCTGCTGTACCGAGGAGATGTCGTTCCTAAGGACGCTCACGGAGCTGTGGCTACGCTTAAGACCAAGCGCACTATTCAATTCGTCGACTGGTGCCCAACCGGATTCAAGCTTGGTATCTGCTTCCAGCCTCCCCAGTTCGTTCCTGACGGTGACTTGGCCAAGGTCAACCGTGCCGTCTGTATGCTTTCCAATACGACGGCTATTGCTGAGGCTTGGTCAGCTTTGTCTACCAAGTTCGACCTCATGTATTCCAAGCGCGCTTTCGTCCATTGGTATGTTGGTGAGGGTATGGAAGAAGGCGAATTCTCAGAGGCGCGTGAGGATTTGGCAGCGCTAGAGCGCGACTACGAGGAAGTTGCCACCGATTCCATAGACGCCGAGGGAGATGCTGAGGCTGAGTACTAAACTTGAGGTTACTCATGCTACGTGTCACGACTAAAGGGCATCTAATATTCTACTCCCTCCGTTGTGTCTGACCGAGGCCTGCCGCAATAGTACCCTATTATACTGAAAGCCTATTAAGAGTGCCGGTTATACTTGTGTGGCGGAGAAACGTGGTCCTGTCCGTAGGAATAGTAGTGGAGAGACAGCAGGGAGGCTTTTAATTCGATTGTGAGCCTGGTAGCAAGATTAGTATACACTTTGTACATCCGTCCTACAACTTTTAATAGCAAAAAGTTCACTCGGGCATTCCCCCCCAAGTGCCTTCGATACCAAAATGAGAAAAATACGTGATTAATTTTCATCATTTCTGCAGCTCCGTTTTCGTGTCGCTTGGTATAATCTATGCAGTGTGACAGACTCTAGACCAATAAGTTGAAGGATGAACTACTGACAATGCCACTCTACTCGTCAGTGACCTTTCACGCTATCCGCGGTTGAACCACCGGTTGGCCAATTATGGCTTCTTTCGATTGCAGGTCGCAGCAGCGTGCATGTCTAACTGTCCCCTAAAACGACAGGATCCATATTTGGATGCTGCAGCGCTCGTGACAGGAAGGGAATGTATTAAGCTGGATTGACTCATTACAAAACGTTCGCTTGTACGTCTTCAAGTCTGGTTACAGAATAAATGGCTACCTAATTTGAATGTACCGGCAGTTGAGATGAGGAGGAACCTAGAAAGGGGGAAAAGCCCTTCTTTTTGTTTTCCTTTCATTTCTTTTAGAATATAATATTGATTTATATTCTCATCCTTGTTTATAGAATTTCGATGCATCTAGATATATTATCTAATTAGCGTTGAACCGTAGAAAATATTGACCTAATGCTCTGCAATGTAATGCGAGAGATATACATACATATGTACCCGTATGTATTATGTATGGAGATACAGTATATGTACCCGGGACCCCGGAGCTTTGAGGAGCTAAGCTAAAAGTGGCCCCGCATACGTAGTCCTGAAAAGTAGGGGAGGTAGGGGCAGTAGGGGCAGTCAAGGTTACCCTGTACAGAAAAGTAGACTCCAGACTCCAGACGCCAGCCTCCTACGAAAAAGCGTAGTTGGAGACGGAAACCTCAAAAACATTTCCCACTCATCACTTACCTTACCCTTCCTTTCGCCAAACACGGCCAAATCTCCGACCGCCTTTTGTCGCCGAAGCTGTACACTACATGCTTCTCTTGCTATTACATAGTAATTCTATGCTAACCTTAACACATCGTTAATTGACTTTTCGTGTGCGCCCGAAACGTTGTTCGATATCCTCAAACGCCGAGCTCTGTCTTAAATCGAAGCCTGGGTGAGCTCGGCTGCGCAATAATGTCCGCCGATTCTAGTGTTGATGCCGGTAAGCTACGGGAACTCCTATCTATATGCTATGAAGCATTCATCTATCATCGAGATCCTTCTTTTCGTGTATATATATTATAACCAACAGTGTTGACTAATGCACATCGTCTTAACAGCCGCACCGGCGCTTAACCTCACTCCCGAAGAGAAGCGAGCATATGGTCAACTCTTCAAACTAGCAGACACTGATAATGTCGGTGTTGTGACGGGCGAAGTAGCTGTGAAATTCTTCGAAAAAACAAGGCTAGACTCGCGCGTTCTCGGCGAGGTAAGTTTCGTTATGTTATACTTCTAAATATCAGATGAATACGCTAGATATAAGAATATGCTAATTTGATATCAACGCCGGTAGATCTGGCAAATAGCAGACAAGGAGAATCGTGGCTTTTTAACGCCTGCTGGCTTCGGGATCGTCTTGCGACTCATCGGCCATGCTCAAGCTGCACGCGAACCAACCCCTGAACTGGCTCTTCAACAAGGCCCCTTACCGCGGTTCGACGGGATTACCATCAGTGCCAACGTCCCCCCTGTTCCACCACCTATACAAGCCCAGGGGAGTGGCAGCGGCCCTATACGGATACCACCTCTAGCACCCGAGAAGGTCGCTCAGTATGCTGTGTTATTCGAAAGGCAGAATCTGCAGAATGGAGGCATACTACCAGGTGATCAGGCGAAGAGCATCTTCGAGAAGTCCGGCCTACCCAACGAAGTTTTAGGACGCATCTGGCAGCTTGCCGATACAGAGCAAAGGGGAGCACTTGTAATGACGGAATTTGTAATTGCAATGCATCTTCTCACTTCTATGAAGTCCGGTGCTTTGAGAGGCCTTCCAAATATTCTACCTGCCGCTCTCTACGAAGCTGCTACAAGGCGCGGTTCGGTGTCAGGACGAAGCCCTACAGCTATAGTCCCGCCTGTACCCGCTATACCGCGACAACTGAGCGGACAGGCGCAACTACGAACGACGAGTCCGCTAGGAAGACCACCTTTTAGTCCTCAGCCTACCGGTGTAGCAGGCGTAGCCCCTCAAACAACTGGAAGTGACTGGGTAATCACGCCTGCAGATAAGGCAAGGTTCGATCAGTTTTACGCCGACTTGGATAAGACAAACAAGGGATTCATCACTGGAGAGGAAGCTGTTCCGTTCCTAAGTCAATCTAGCTTGCCTGAGGATGCGTTAGCCCAGATTTGGGATCTTGCGGACATTAATTCAGAAGGCCGGCTGACGAGAGACACGTTTGCGGTTGCCATGCACCTTATTCGCCAACAGCGAAGCAGGCGAGATATGCCACTGCCTACGACCCTTCCACCAAACCTCATTCCTCCGTCCCTGCGAAACCAGCAACCTCGTCCCCCGGTCGGCCCGTCTCCATTCGATGTCCCAGCTTCCCCGACGCAGCTACCACCTCAACCTCAGCCGATACCCCAACCGATACCCCAGCCGAAATCTGCCATTGACGATCTATTTGGTCTTGATGCTTCCCCTAGCCCTGCTCCGTCCCAAATTCCAGTATCAACAGGAGGTTCAGCAGCGAGAGATCCGTTCGCTAGTGGACCGCCAGCCTCCCCACTTCGCGCTTCCCCTACCGCTAATACATTCAAGCCCTTCGTTCCATCTTCTTCCTTTGGTAGAACTTTGACATCTCATGACACCGGGGGATCGAGCGGTTCCGCGCAGCCTCCAAGGGGACTTGCTCCTCCTATTGCCGCTACCGAAGATCTTCTTGGAGACAATGATCCTGAAATTAGTAAAAAACTCACAAATGAGACAACTGAGCTAGCCAACCTGTCTAACCAGATTGGTTCGTTGTCGAAGCAGATGCAACAGGTTCAAGGACAACGTGGATCAACACAGAATGAGATTAACCAGGCGAGCGAGCAGAAGAAGAACTTTGAACAACGCCTATCTCAACTACGCGCATTATACGAGAAGGAAGCCCAAGACGTCCGGGCTCTAGAAGAGCAACTTAGAAACGTGCGCGAAGAGACCAAAAAGCTTACCAATGAGTTGATCGTAATCGATGGCACCTATAAGGACTTGCAGAGCCAGCACCAGCAAATAGCCCAGGCTCTCCAAGCCGATCAACAAGAAAGTGCAACTCTCAAGCAACGGATCAGTTCTGTCAACACTGAGATTGCGCAATTAAAGCCACAAGTGGAAAAATTAAGGTCGGAAGCTCGGCAACAAAAAGGAATGGTTGCTATTGGCAAGAAGCAGCTTTCTACGGTTGAGGGTGACCGAGACAAGCTAAAGAGCGAAGTCGAGGACCTCACAAAGAGCAACGAGGAGCTTTCCCGACAGATTAACAGCAACTCTCCAGTAGCGACCTCCGCCCAGGTAGCTAGTCCAGCACCGTCAACTACCAGCGCAAATAATCCATTCTTCAGGCGGACCGGAAGTACAGACATAATGGGCACATTCACATCGCCTCCTGTGAAGCCGTATGGCGAAAAGTCTTTTAACGACATCTTCGGTGACTTCGGGGCCGAGAGTACTTCAACTCCTCCGGTAACTTCATTTAAACACCAAGACACTGGTGGCTCAACAGCTAGCATTGGATCTTTTGCTACACCGACAAGTTCTACGCCTACTGTGAGTCTCCATTCCACTCCCGCACCCGAGCCCCCCGTCTCAACTGAGTTGTAGCAGCCTAACCCGAGTTTCGCACCCTTTGGTGAGGCGTCCGAGACCCTATCGCCTTCACGTCAAGTTTCTCCCCCCGTTAGTAGGTCTGGTGAAAGCGCCGCAACTCCCTCTGCTTCGGTTTCTACTCCTGCCCCGTTGGAGTCCGCATCCACTGGTCAAAGTTTGGCCTCGGCGTCGGACACCAACCAAAGATGGTCTCCTACGCAAAGCGAAGAGAGATCAAAGACCCCTGGTGATGGATCTATGCCTGGCGCATTCCCTGACGAGACCCCCACAGCCCCTGCTCCTACCACGCCTTACGCTAGCAAAAGGGATAGCGACCTATTTGTGAACATGAAAGATTCTGGCAATGCGAAGGTAGATTTTGATTCTGCATTTGCAAGCATGGGCAGTACTTCGGGTAAGCCTCAAGAAAAGTCGACTCAGGACAGCTCCAAGGTATTCTCAACCTTCAACTCGGAGTTTCCTCCTATTTCCGAGCTTGAGAGAGATGACGAGTCAGACTCCGCCAGCGAGGGTAATCGATTTGATGATGATTTCGCACCCGCATCCCCCGCCGACAAAAAGACCGAGGCCAAGGAGCTCCAAGCTCCGGCCTCTCCGGCAGCCTCGAAGTCTAGCGCTGCCGTAACTGATGGCCAAGCCGCAGAGAGCGTAACTTCTGCGTCTCATGCTTCCCACGCGTCCAAGTATGACTTTCAATTTCCAATGCATTGACCATTCAAAGTTCATAATGACGCTAATATCGGATCAAGTGACTTACCAAATTTCCCTGAGCCGCCGAGAGCCTCTTCATCTTTCTCTTCTCCATCAGGGACTGGAGAATCATTTACCCCTACTCCGACTACACTGACAAATACAACCACTACTGCACATAAGAATGCATTCGATGACCCCGATGACGATTTCGCCGACCTCGAAGACGCTAAAGAGGGTTCAGCAGACGATGAGTTTGCTAACCTATCCAGATCAAATCTTGATGATTTCAACCCTGTGTTTGATAGCAGTCCGCCTCCAAGCCAGCCCAAGAGCGAATCGACTAATGTTTCAAATGCATTTGGTATTGACAGCAGCTATGATTTCGGCACAGTATCATCTGCATCGGGTACTACTGCTGGTGGCGCACCAACTAATAATACAAACACCTCCTTCTCCGGCCAAGCTCCCGCAGCACCAAACAACCAAGACTGGGAAGCTCTTTTCTCTAGTTTCGACTCGCCGAGTGACCCACCCGCAAAGACCAATGAAGATAACAAGAGTCCTGTTCAAAGTCCAAGCTCAGGTAGACCTAGTACCGCAGGAAGGGCACTGAGTGACGAAGGAAAGCATGACGACCCCATCGTTAAGAACCTTACTGGTATGGGCTACTCAAGGACGGACGCGGTGAATGCCTTAGAGAAGTACGATTATAATCTCGAGCGGGTAAGCTGATATTTCGACACTGTCTTGCGTGGAACTGGGGGGCACTAATTCACTACTTAGGCTGCAAACCACCTCGCTAACCAGTCCTAAACCTAGGTCTAACATGCTAGATACCAAATTTGAAGCAGAAGATGAAGATGGATGGTTGTTTTGATTCGTGAGATACCTCATTTGTATAGGCGCCGAGCGTGTGGGACCTTTGGAAGTTTATCAAACCGAACTTAAGCTAAGATGTGAGGCTCAGTATGGAGGAGCCAACAAGGCCTGGCAAGTTTGACAAAAGGGCCGATGACTAATGTATAGTTCTGTATGTAATTCTTTGTCGTGAATACCTATTTGCTGCCTCTACAGGTCAGATACAGTTTCTTATTAACGATCTACTTTAACCCTCATATTATACTTAATAGCATATCGAATAGCATATATCAGGGTAACTCCCGTGATTATTATCTATACAAATACCTAACTCATCAGATTACTCCATCCAATATTCCCTTTTTAGCGAGCAGCGACGTTGGAATAAGCCGGAGGAGGCACAGGTTCATGACGCAGTTGAGCCGGTGGCATCGCTGACTGTTCGTTTCCGCTTTTCATGCCCCTTTCTTCTTCGTCGATCTTCCTGTAGAAGCTGCCGCCCACCTTCTTTGTATCACGATCCGTCTTACTTCGTATCTTCCGGAAAGCCCATATAAATATCTGAATTCCGGTCGCATACCTGAAGGCCTTCCACGTCAAGCGGCCGAACAGACGTACGCCAGAGCGCGGGCGTTCACTTGAATGTACGCCGGTGTAATCTTTCGTCTAAAGTTAGTGTAGGTACATTCAAGATAGATTGAGTGGAATCAGTACCTGTCCGGAAGAAGTGCACGAGCAGTGATATATAGACAAACAACCACACGACGCTGAAGACGATGATGAGCCAAACCCACCAGGCGAGAGAACCTCCGCCTCCGCCTCCGCCGCCGCTACCACCCCCACCCTTATATTTGAATCCGCTACCACCCTTTGGGACACGAGTATCGAGGATACTATCCATAGGCTTTTTTATATATGCTTTTGGTCGCGACTATATGTGCTGATTGGGTATAATATAGAGTAGCAAGTGTAGCTCGTTTTAATTGATAAGTTATTGCGTTTGTTGTAGGGTTGAAATGAGATAGCAGATGAGGCTTGCAATGGAATCATGGCAAAAGAGGGGGTGCGTGGATGGCCGGTTATCTATAAATTATATCGATCCCATCGTGGCGGGAGTGAGCCTTGCAGTTCACCCAACCAGAAATCATATCGAGCAGCCACCAGTTTTAGGATTGGAGGTTTCATTCAGCCCTTGCTTTGCTGCATAGCCAATCCAGGTGAAATTATGATGAGCTGCTGCGCCTCGCAGAATGTAAGGCCATCAGTCAGCCATTTCTTGGCGGTGGGTTCAGCCACTTCGCGGTAATAGGAAGGAGGCTACGATCTCTTTGTCGAATTGGAAAATCCTATGGGTCTTCTCTGGGGGTTTGTAAGTCGTGGCATATTCAAGAATATTGGAACTCGTAAGGACAGACCATAGGCCAACGAGTCAGTAGATCAATTACCAAAATTAACAACATTTTATAATATTATAAAGCAACGTATAAGCCTTGGGGCGATTATGAGATCAGCAGAAAAGGAGTATGCAAGGCCGTCGAAGGGCGATGATATATATGAGGTCATTAAGTAATATTCAACCAAGTTGGTAGGTTAGCTATAATATGTTGTTATACGTCGAAGAGGCAATATCAAGTCGTATACTGTTGATCTTTTCATTCATTCGTTGCCAAGCCGGTTTATCATCTACTAAGCTCACTTCTCTTGAGATATACTAGGGAATGATCAACACGGCTGAAGAATAGTTTGATACCAGCTAATTAGCTAAATCTCATAGCTGAAGATAATTCTTTAGCATTGTAACCATCTTATTATTATTGTCGTCATCATCATCATCATCCTCATCGGTGCCACCTTTTGCTGCTCGCATTACCTCTTCCGTAATCTCAACATTATATTGTCCATTTAATATCAACGCCATTTTAGACGTCGCATCCCATCCGTTGCCACTCGCTACCGTTTTCAGCACTGCTTCAGTTATAGGGACGTATCGTCCGCACTCTAGAAGAGCCCTCATACTCCCCCCTGAAGATCGAGCAGCAGCGATAACAACGTCTTCCGTTATTTGGCAGTTCTCATCCCACTCTAGCAAGAACTCGAACATCTCCTGCGTATACGAATCGTTCCGGGCTGCAATTTTAAGAATGTCTTCGATGTCGAGATCGTTTTGATACTCCAGCAGGATTTTGGTTATGTGTCTACGTCGCCAATCGGTCTCCGCTGCTAGCTTTAACATGTCCTTCGTGATGCCAATGCGAGCTCTGTCTAGCAATTTGTTAAACTTGGTAGCAAAAGCGCTTGAGCCTATATGACGACCAAACAGATTCGGATTCCCAATTGCGGCCATGAGGACAGCTTCTGTGACCGGACATCTTCCGTCATAATTCAGCAGCATTGGGAAGATCTCCGTAACATGACGGTTCATGGCTACTCTCTTGAGAACTTCCGGGGTGATAGTAACCCTTCTTCCTGACTTTAGTAAGACTAATAATGTCGAGAAATCGTGGATAGCTTCTTTCACTACTACTTCCGAAACCTTCGAGTTGACGTTGCTGAGATCTAGCCATACCTTCAAGAGTTTTGAGTTACCATTAGCAATGGCTGCTTTAAGCATAGATTCGGATATTTTGATATTCGGATCGTGTTCCAAAAGTAGTGCGAAAACCTTTACGCCCCTTTTCTTATTTCTAGCTACAGCTTCCATGACACGATCTCCAATTGGTGTATTACCATCGTAGTATAGTAACGTTTCGATAAGTTCATCTCCGAACTCTGGGTTTCCAGCTGCCGCTTCTAGGACTGTGTCTTCAATATGTAAATCGAGAATCCCGGCCAAAAGTAGTGATACAAGTTCATTTCCAAGAGATTTATTAGCTGCTGCCGCCGCCACAACTCGCGGTGTGATTCGAATCCGGTCTACATGCTGTATGAGAAATTTGAGTATCTTGGTTCCACGGCCATTGTTTTGTGCTGCGGCTACCAGGTTGTCTTCACTTACGACAATGCTGGGATCGTGATTGAACAGCGCTTCGATGAGTTCGTCGCCGTGAAACTCATCGTTAACGACATCCGAAATGATAGCTTCGGGGATGGGGATATCCGGTCGGCGCTTTAGAATGTTAATGATGTCTTCTAATAGCCAACCGCTTTTTGCTGCGCTGACTAGGACCGCCTCCGTAATATTCACGCTGTTCCCTAAAGCCCGAAAGAGGTACTCAAAAATCATCGGACCTTTGCTCTTGTTTGACGCAACAGCACAGAGGATCTCTTCAGAGAGGACAATGTTCGCTTTAGTGTGCTTCACCAAAGTCTTCATTATTTGGTGCCCATCGACAGAGTTCCGAGCCGCACCGAGGAGCGCACTCTGAGTTATGGGAATATCCTCTTTATAGTGCAAGACTGTTGACATAGACTCTTCACGGCCGCTTGAAGCGAGGGTAACGATATCCTCGATCCCGGGTGGATGGTCTACTTGAGCGAGTAAATACTTTAGCATCTCGCTAGAACATTCCATCGCTGATCTATACGTCCCCAGGTCTGCTGGGAGTCTACCGTAGTGATTCTTCAGGGCTTTGAGTGCCTCAATCCCGAACCGCCTATTTCTCGTGGCGCACGTCGTTATGTCCGGTGTAATGACCATATTTTTATAATTCCGTAGGATGAGTGTTATCACCCGCCCGCTACTAGAAACTATGGCCGCTCTGACTAGCCTAGCAGTCACTTCAACCGGCTCCCTCCCGTTCAGGAGTTCCATTGCCACTTCATAGGAGTCATATATGCATGCGGCATTAAGACCCTTTCGTCTCAGGGCTTGTCGTGTGGTAAAGTCAGTAGCCTCTCGCGTCAAGGCAATCTCGAGAACATCGGTCATATTGAAAACACAAGTAGCAATGAAGGCATGAGCTGAATGCTTGGAAGAAGTAGCAAGTCTATCCTGTACTTCATAAAGGGATAGATAGTACCTCCCTATATTCCTCCTATCAAGCGCATTCAAAGGCTGTTCGCAAAAGCAGCAAAGTAAGTCACGAAATTCTTGGCGTTTGCGGTTGTCAGACCCGGCATGAGAACTATGGGAGAGTGCGGCTATATGAATATAGGGCCCTAGTAACTCAGAAAGTATTCCTCGGCGGTATATATACCATAGGCAAATCTCTGCGATGAAGCCATGGCATGTTTCGTAAACAAATTCGTCATTGCAGTACTCGGAATTCATGAGATACTCTTTGACGGAGTTATGAGAAAACCTTACAAATCCAGTATAGTCTGTAAATAATACCAAGTTGCTGCATAGTTGGATAATCCTGTTCGAGTTGATACTTTCGTGTCGCTCATAGGATCCCCTCGGTGGCATGCGCTCGTGGGAAAGGATTACCGCCTCGACCAGCTCTTCTGATGTTAAAGGTAGTAGAGAACATAAAACCCATTTGAGAGCGTATGTTATAATGTTGCGGGCATTTTGACGGCGCTTTTTTAATATGCGATCGTATGCATCGTTTAATTTCGACATTTGGTCTTTGGAATGTCCGGTTATGGACTGCCCCTTTTCTAGATTTCGTAGCTCATTCTCTACGTCCTCTTCTAATTCAAATGGAAAACTTTCGTCGAAGAATATTTCAACTTGTAATTCAACCCAACGGAATCTAGTTAGAACATCAGAAGAATGCCTTAGTAGATAGGTACGTATTAAAAATGAGTACTGACACCCCCTGTGCATACTGAGTTAACGCGCGTTTGAACCTATCCTTGAAACCCATATGAATCCAACCTGGAGGGGTATTATGTCGTGAGTTGATTTCCTTATTGATATAGTGTTCTAAGTCCATGCGTGTTGTGTTTTCCTCGATTGTCAGACGTTGAATATTTGTAAACATGTCAAGTTCCATATGAAGACGGCTGGACAGGAATAGCTTCACCTTATTCGAGGATCCTTCCTGTACATTTTTCAAGGTATCAAGTACACGGCGGGACGCCGGACATTCATCTAGCGCATCAATAATAATGACGATTTCCGAATGGGCGCGACAAAGTTCCAATATTAACTCGGAATCGTCGTTGTTAAGAATTAGCTGCTGAGCTCGGCCTCTAGAGTTATATCTGTCTGTAATCAGTCGCTGAACAGAGACGCCATTTGCCGAAAAAGCGAGTTGAAGAATAAGTGAGCGAAGCATAAAGTTGAAGTCATGATCTATAGAACAATAGACATAAACAACTTTTCGTGATCTTCGTAGGCGGTTATCTTTGTAGAACCACTCGATAACCTCGGAGCTGTATTAAAGTCCATTAGCATCACACCGTTCCAGCAACAGATGTGTCCCACCTCACGGATGTTTTGCCTGTGCCCACTACATGTCGAATATTAGCATATAGGCATACTAAACATCTGACCGTCTGGTAACTCACCTCCACCACGCAGCCAGAATGTTGACCGAGTACATTCTTGGACATCACTCCAGGCCATAAATTCGGGCGATTCAATGAGCCACTTTCCTATATTGTCATAGGCGCGGAGTTTATCTCTCGCTCGTTCGTGATCTACTCGGTGTTTGAAAATGTGCGTGGGGTTGTCAGATCCCATTATCCATTTAGCAATTGGCTCTATAGGATAACATGTTTAAGTCATGATTTCTCGTACAGAGGTACATAGATGGTCTAATTATGCTTACCGGAATGTTGTTGTAGGATTGATTTAACATTTTGTATAGCCGAGCATATTTTCACATAAAGATCGTCCTTTCTTGTCTTGCATTTATTTAGGCCGGAGTGGTCTGTATTAACTGGTATATGCTTCCCAAAGTCAAGAGTAGCTGATTGAGGCCCTACAATCTAGAGATAAAATTAGTCTTTATAGCTGAAAGAACACTGTAAATACATACCACACCAAGTGATACGCCGTAACGAAATGTTGGTAGTGTTTCATAGAATGAATACACCAGCAGTGGTTTCTGGTTAATGATGGATGTTACAGCAGCAGAAAAATCCCTCTTCAAGTCCAGGAGTTCTGGGCTACCGTGACTCAAGAGTTTCAACAATGTAGCATCGGACCCAGAGAGAATGGTTAGTCGAGCAAGAATCTCACCTATCCAAGATACGGTAGAGCCTTGATGAGGCGTTCCTAAGAAGATAATCCCTGCTGTATCGCGACTGATATCTCCGAAGCGCGAGTCTGAATGTGCTGAGTAGATAGCCTTTAGAGATGTAAGTAGAATTCACACAAGCCAGAGTACTTAGACTTAGACACATACGTATTTGATCAGAATCCCGCCAAAGCTATGGCCGATGAAGAGAATAGGAGGCGTTTTCTGCGAGTGATTGGTTAGATATTCTTTACTCTGAGAAAGGCGTGCGTAGGCTTAAACCTTTGTCTTCTCCCTGAACTCTGAGAGTGTCTCCAGAAATGTAAGAGCCTTCTGCGACGCTGTTGAGAGCGAGGCGTCCACGAACCAATCGGCATTGTAACTATAAGAGAGGATCCTAACGTTCTTAAAATCTTTCTTCAGGAAGTCATCATGCTCAAGCCAATTAATTTGTGCTTCATCTCCTTCTGGCGCGCCAGAAGAGTCAGATGGGGGGGCATTGGCCTTCCAGCTATAATAGGGATGTGCGCCCAGGCCATGTACAGCTACTATGCTTAATCCTACTGTTAGATCTACATACTCGATAACTGGCTAGTAACTCTACTTGGGCACTTACTCTAGATGTACTTCTTCGTAATCGGCAAAGACAGTGATTCTGTCAAGGCTTTCTCGCGGCTCACGACGTGACGTCACGTATCGCAAGAGATATGTATGCGCTCCTACGACGCATAAGATTGTGGAAAGAATGAAGAGAATTGGCCACCATACAAAAGAATATTGAGGATTAAAAAGCTCCGGCGATATCATATCGATGGGACTGACGAGGATACCAGGATGGATATAGTCGCGTGGTATTTATGAAAGTATATGAAGTCTGACATGGGCGAGGGAATTGGGCGTATATTAGAGGTTCTGGTTAGCGACTTCGTGCATATTACATTACCTACCTCTAGGTACCTATTGAAGATCCCGCCCCTTTTCGGCCCCCAAATAAATCATGGATGCTTCATCGTCTAGACCACCAAACCGAAGAAAAATACTATAACCTACGAATTTAGTAAAATATATAGTTATCGCATATTTGAAATTCTTGTATTATTTCAATGTAAGCTCGCGTACCCAAGTTAAACTATTGGTTCCCCTGGTACAAGTGGAAGTGGTATTGTTCTAGGAACTACTATAAGACCCCAACCTTGTTCGTCTACTAATATGCTATCATTTTTCTCTTTTGCATAACGGTGATATTCTGCGACACCAGCCTCATTCCCCGTAGCGCTGTTGTAAGAAAGCCATACCTCTCCATCCATAGTATCCAGACCCTCAGTGCCCTCCACAATTGTGCGATTCCAATGATAACTTGAGGTAACGTTTTGCCTTGTCTGTAAACTCTCAGAACCAACAGATGTTCCCGTTAAGAAAGATAGTATAGAAATACCATCTAGTAGCTTACTTCGGTCGGCCATACAAAATACAGACCCGGGATTCGAAGTTGCTCCAGAAGAGGCTACATCGTATGCGCTGAAAAGATTAAAGGGGTACGTGTGGTGCGAGACAACATTGGAAGTCGAGTCCGAATAACTCCCTGACGCAACCATAGCAAGCGACTGGTTGAACGCCAAGTCTGTCATGTTTTGAATATTAGAAAATGAAAGCCTCTGTGTCCAGGCTACCTCACGGGTGGTGTTCCCACTTTCGATGATTGAAGACACCGTTATATTCCGACTTGCTATCAAGGAGAAGTAAAGCGAGGTATTGGTCGCAGTGCCGTTATCGGAAATAGCAGTGCCAACAACGGGATGGAAGTCAAAGGATGGCGTTGTTATGCTGCTCTTGAAGTTCTGCATGATTGTCTGCTCTACCGTATCGTCGAGCCAGACAAAGACAGATCCCGAAACCCACCAATTCTCGCCTACGGGCCCAATGCCATCTTCTGCTGAAGTATCGAATCCCACAACGCGTACTTGGAAAGTATGAGACTGGCCGTCGGTTATCAATCCTAGCCAAGGAGAGATGTCGATCTCGAATGACGGTAGCTCAAAGGCATCGATGCCAACGATAGGCCTCCACGCCCCCGGGTCTACCCCGCCAGTGAAAAGGATCGGGAATGGCCAGGACACGCCCGCAAGTTCCCCGTCTATAAGTACCTGGACTTCGCGAAACGGACTATAGCCATACAACCACTCCTCGTTACCCGGGAACGTGTTAGCATACTCTGACGGTACATTGGTGAACCAGAATTCCTCTGCGCCATTTCCAGAGGCCATAACCGAAACGATAGCATTCTTGGCGTTTCGTGGAATAGTCAAGTCAACCGAGCCACTGTCGCTTGGGAGCGAGAATAGCGAAGTGGTGTTGTTTGATGAGGACTGAGCCGAAATGGGGTAGATGTGCTGTGCTGGGCGGAACCCTGCTGCGTACTTATCATCGTAGTATAGCGCTTCCAAAGTGACATTGAAAAAGCCCGTGTACCTATCTCCGTCGATTAGATTACCAAGATCGAGAATTATCTTCTGATTCTGGGCGAGAAGCGGATGCCATATGGTCATGTCCTTTTGGAATGACCAATGGATGCCTGATTGGGTTGGCATGGCAGTAGAAGTCCTCCAGACTTCGATATCGCCCAGCCATAGCGTGGCGAGCCTGTCATATTGGCGCCCGCTCGAAACAACGCTCAAATTGAAAATGGTGGTTGTGAAATTGCAACCACTAGGTGGTGAGTAGGCTCCTACATAAGGGGCTTCGTAACTATTGCCGAAATCATGTTCAAATAATAATTGACGGCATGCTGGTTTATCGAAAGTTGATCTAGGAGGTGGTGCGGCCTGGAAAACCTCAAGCACACTTTGGCAGAAGCCACCCCATGCGAACAAGACGGTGATGCAAGTGAATCTCATATCTGTCGGTACCTATTCAATCTACCTTATTTGATAAATCTAGAGGTATAGAACAAGATTTAAACTGAGCTGTGAGCATCTCGCTGATATAGATACTGAGCATGATGATAAGATGCTTGGTGAATAGCTCCAAAGAGGAATGTAACATTGGGGGGTGCGGAGCAGCACCGGGTATCTTTTAAGTAAGGTATATAAATCATACTGTAGCCGCATAACGCTGCAGCATACAGTTACATAAGTCCATATATATAATGATAGATGCGAATACCAAGCCGCATCTAGAGGCTTTTAACTTGTGGCCAATAAAAAAATGAGTTTCCCTTTTATTTAACTCTTATCGATTTTAAACCATCATGGAACTCAAACAGGGAGCTCGCTCCGTGGAATTGAATCGGCTTCATATGGTTTGCGCGGAATCTCGTTGTTTGGTACCTCGCGAGGTGGCATTGGCGTGTCTGGAGCTTCGTATCTCGGCGGCGCATACGGGCTCGCAAGTTCGCTAGGTTGTCCGTAGGTTGACGGACTTGATATAGCTTGTGGGGGTAACCCAGGAATCTGGTTTCCGTTATATTTTGACTCTGCATTGAGCTGGGCCATTCTCTCTTGGCGTCTCCTGCTATTTCGATTATACATCCAGAGGAGCAGGATTAGGCCAACTATAACAGCCAAAGCTATGAAGACGATGCCGACTATCCATCCGGTTGTGATTGCTGTGGCTGTTCTGTGATAGCTATCCGAATTGCTTTGAAAATCGCTTTCAACATCTGAGGTGCTTTGTAATGAACTTGAGTCTACTGAAGGAGTGGTTGGCGACATGATGTATAAGTTGAGATTTGGTGATAATTTTCTAAATTCTTGGATTTGCACACGATTTCGAGTAGAAGGAACATAAAATTAAAGTCAAGTAAGAAAAAGGAAAGCCAACTAGAATAACTCTTAATGATTTCATATGTATTCTTGCTGCCTTGCTATGAACTAGGTACTATGAACTTAGTTGTGGAGTTTGACGATCGCTTTGACGATCGCTAATCGCAATTGGATGCTGCGCCTCCTTAGCGGAATATTAGATAGTGATGATCTTACATATAAAGAGTTCGCCTAGACGCGCTGTTGCCATTGATAGGAATAGAAGGGGTTTAAACGGATCAAGATCCTTGACGGATCCGGTTCATGAGCCTTGTTTAAAGCCATGCGCTCTCTCAGCCGCTCGATGAAATCAATATCGTACATACCAACAGCCAGCTTCCGTGCCACTTACACGCAGCCAAAGAACCTAACCGCCCCCAAGTAAAAAATCATGCTATGACATACAAAACGCCTTGCTTAGCCGCATTGCAACTGTTAGTGTACTATATATCGCCCTATCTAGGTCTTAGGAGGGAGCTAGTAAGCTTGATATAGTCTATGATTTCATTCTAGAATATAGACTCTCATATGCCGTATCCCGTTATTAACCCCGCTTGCCGTTTGCCACGGGAGAGTTCGTGTTGAAGTGTTGAAGCGTGTAAATTCCCCCCCTATGGACATCTTCTATGTTCAGTTCCGTGAGGGATGCGAGTAAGACAATATAAGCATCGCCTTCCCCTCGTAATTGCAATATATCACCTTTCAGATTCCACCTCATCGTATTTTGTACCTGTAACCTGTGCAATACAATATTCAAGTGTCGCATGACAGCTATTCAGTATTAAGCATGCATGTTGCCCGACCAGACATGCAGGCTGCCTGCCTGCACTGCCATACACCCCCTCCAAATGTCGTGGAATTTGTATGTGATATGTGATATTGAAATCCAGCAGCCGTATTTCTTCAACATGTTATAAATCGAATGTATATGGCATAGCCTTAGGACTAGTACTTAGGGATCCATTACATTATATCTCACTAATATACATAACACTATTCAACCCGGTTTTTGCAGCCCATCCTTGGAACTATGAGTGGCTATAGCGATGATACTAGCAGGACTAGCTCGTCTACAGATGGCGTATTCCTTGATGCTTTCGGTAACCGAGCCGATCGAATCACTCTACGAGTTGGCGAACGTCGATTTACCACCTTTCGCGAAACTCTTATCCAAAGCGAGTATTTCGCAGCGCGTCTCTCTGGGAGGTGGAATGATGCCGACGAAGACGGCTCCTACTTCATCGATTCTGATCCGGTCCTCTTCGAACACATCCTTGGTTATCTTCGAAGCGGGAATTTCCCAGTCTTCTTCGATAGCAACACGCTTACCTTCGACCACGCCAAGTACTTATCCCTGCTAGGCGAGGCCCGATACTTTGGTATTCGGAAACTAATCGAATGGATCGAAAAGAAGAAATATCTAGACGTTGTTGAGATTACAAGATCAGTGATTGTTGATGATGATGTTACTAGTGCATCGATGCATTCTCATATGAGCGGAGTGCCAGGAGATAGCAAAGTCGACCTCTCAACTTCATGGGGCTTTAAAAAGATATATATTTGTCCAATGGGCTTCTCCTTTCATCATGGCAATCCGTCGCGATGTCCATGTGAAATGGCTAAGAGACGAGAAGAAGGCGATAAATTTAAAGATGAATTAGTCCTAAGAGCTGTTGTCACTATCACCACCGCAACATTCAATCCGGACCGCTGTCTTGGCCATGGGCTAGCTCCAAGCAATTGAGTGAGGTCAAGACTGGATTATATCGCACGGAATCATATTGTTAATGCTGTAAACAAGGCTAGCTACGATCAAATTACATGTTGCAAATATTATAATAACACCTGAATATCCATTTCCTTTCCCTTTTACATAGCGATAGAATATATGTGCATGCACTGTACATATAGTTGACGCAAAAGCAGCGCGACCGGTTGGCCCGTGCATGGCGCCCTTGTATTGATCTCATGCTTGATACTTCAGCTTCTAGCCTCATAAAACTTCGAATTCTAAAACTTCCACAGCGTCACTCAAGATATTATCGTTCAACCTCTTAGTCCTGCTGATTGATCTATCACCAAAATCCGCCTATATTCACCCAGCAGTTTATAATGGCCAGATCAGAAGAGGCGGAGGCCTTCTTTCACGTCGTGTACACCGCTGTGCAGCAGATTCCTTACGGAAAGGTCACAACTTACGGACACATTGCGAATCTAATTGGAACTCGTACGATATGCATTTACTAGTAATTCTAGGTATATTAATAGTTTAATAACCGAGTTTGTAGCCGAACGACCACGCCAAGTCGGCATTTGCCTCAAGCATCTTCCACAAGATGCAGACTCACGTTTCAACCATGACAACGTTCCATGGCAGAGGGTTATCAACGCCAAGGGCATGATCTCACCCAGGTATGCTATCTCATTCTCAAAGATGGTACATATGTTGACAGCCATACAGGTCACAACCCTCAGGGGCACGAAATCAGGCAGCTGCTCTACGAACCGAGGGCGTTAATGTTACTACTAGCGCACTGGGCGAACTTATGGTGGACTTCTCCGAATGTGGATGGTTCCCAAACGAATTACCTTCGGAAGCGGACGACGAGGAATGATTTAGCTTTTCGTCTTATTCTTCAACGATGAAGTTAGGATCACGGCAAAATTCGTAGCCAAAGTACTGGTAGCTAGTTGATACTTTATGATAGTGAGGTGTAATACGGCACTGCTCCTTCTCGATCTTTGAGAAGGGTATCTAGATGAGGTGCTAAATTAGCAGAAATTCCCTAACTGAATATAAAAGGCAGGGGTTAAGTTGACAGATATCAGATAGCGGTTGGACATAAGTGATTCCACATTTAATTCAGAACAGGTCTGTGAATTATGTGCTTTCATCATATAAGGAAAATGTTGATAGATTGGATATAAACGTACCATGGTCATAGAATCCTAGATGGGTTCTAAAGGAGACTTGTTGAACTAGTAGACTACGAGTCTCCAAGCTTACGCTTCTTTGAGGCGGGACCGAAGAACGAGTCCATAGTCCTTTGGCGTGAGTCAAATTTAGTGCTACCAATGCCACCTCTCGTCTTTTTCAGACCCTCGAGGTGATCAACATTATTGATAAACTCAATGGTTAGACGCATCGTCGGTCTATGCAGATTCGAATCGCCACTCGGAGCCGCTGAACGGACAGAGGACACGGCATCACTTGGGCGGTCCGGTTCCGACACACTATTGGCTATTTCAAGCCTAGCCTGAAGTACACCAGTGTTGCTCCAAGCCGCGGACTCCGACCAGTTGTCATGGTTTCCATTGCGCGCTGCAGAACCGGCTGGGCCAGGAAAGCGTTTAAGCAATCCTTTCAATAGAACACCGAGGATAATACCATGTGCTACTATAGCAACCGTGATCTTGTCGGACACATGAGTATCAACAATTGGGGTTAAATGGGAATCCAGAAATCGATCGACTCTGATTCTCATGGATTCGGGAGTTTCCGAGTCTGGTTGAATCAGACCATTGGGATTTCTGTAATTTTTGCCCTCAGATGACCCATAGTCCTTCTCTCGTAGCTCAGGGAGCTGTGTGACTTCCAGAGGAATACATGTGTCCGATGCACTACCGCTTGAAGAGTCTCGGGTATCAGCAATAGCTTTAGATATAGCATCGGCTGTCTCATAGGCTCTTTGAAGATTGGAGGTATATATGTACTTGATTGGGGAAGTAGTTTCGCAAGACTTCGCGAGGTGAGCACCCAATCTCTTTATTTGCAAAACACCATGATTTGTTAAGGGCGAATCGCGGGAGCCTGCACTTCGAAAAGGTTAGTTTCCGAAAGCCAGACACACTAGAGCAGGCGTTGCTTACTAGAGGCCAGCTACATTGTCAACAGACTCGCCATGCCTAATCAGCAAGATGCGCATTGCGGCACAACATCTTCTACAGGTTTGCGAGTGAAAAGATTGCTGGATTTATTGTTGAGAAATTGTTGGAGAAAATTTGCGACCTTGAGCTTTTTAAACATAAAGCTAAGGTGGATCAAAGAGTTGTTCCGGAATTACTCCGGGCTAGGTCAGGTCCCTTTCAAAAGTTTTTACCATAGGGAACCCCTGTCAAGATTGTCGCCAGCTGTCTGATACTTGGCCAGCAACTGTCAGTGATTTAAAGATGTATACATTACTATCCCTTAGGTTTACTACTAGATTTTACAGCCAAATATAATTTCAAAATAAACCAAAAACTATTATATTGAAAACATTTCTTTTATATTTATAATTTTCGTTTTTAAAGAATTTTAAATCTTAATTTAAGAACATTATATCCTATTGAACTAGTAGAGTAAAATAAGATACACATGTTAAATAGGTGAGCAGTTGTTGCCAAGCCTGGTCAAAGCTTACCCGGGGGGGGGGAGAGGAGTCTTCCTATGGTAAAAACTTTTGAAAGGGACATCTATACACAGGTACATATTTCTTACATATTCACATTCTCATCACATCTTCAATGATGGATATTATCATATCAAACCTGAGACAAATATGAACTAAATATTTCGAATTCAAGACACATCTTAATGAATGTATTCTACGAGTCCTGTATGCTCGTTCCTATCTAGAGAAAGATTTATACCTCCCGAACAACAGCCATGATCCATCGGGTACATATGAACCCCTCGCGTTTACCGTCTTGTTACCGGTAGAGTCTCAGTTTAGATTGCATTCTCCTTCTGGCGCTGCTCAAACACCTTCAAAGCCTCCTCTGCCGCTTTTACGCCAGATAGAGCCATGGCACTTCGAAAAAGTCAATTTATGTCCCTTCATTCTTTTTAAGGGATGGTAGTTATATTACTTACCCAAAGGTGGGACCCATACGGTTGGCTCCGTCAACCTCGCTGAGCTCCATACCGCCTACAATCAAGCCGGGCACGATTTCTCGGGTACCCTTGACGATGGCGTCTTCAGCAGTGTTCATATCTAGGCCGCGCATGCCGCCGAGCTTCTCGATAGCTTGCATGCTGACTAGTCGCTTGACGCTGAAAGCACCGAACGGTCCATCGTGACCAGTGGTGCTGATGATGACAGGCGCATTGATGGTGCTAGGGTCCATGCAGGATTGGTCGTCATGGTGCATTGAGACCAGGGTCCAGTTAGTGACAACACCAGCAATTCGGATATTGCCAGACTCGTCACGACGGGTGATGAGATCCTCGACAGCGGTGGCATTGAAAAGCTTGACGTTAGGGAAAGCCAAAACTTTCGACAATAGGGTCGACGTGAAGAGGGCAGCGTGCTTGACCACGACGTAAGCTCCCTCATCCTCGAATGGTACACCAATGTCGTTCAAGAACTTATCGGCCGGCTTGCGCATAACCATAGCACTGAAAAGCTGGCCTCCAAGCCAAGCACCACCACCTATACTAGACGTCAGCCTCGTTGGACGATATAGTAATACTGTATACAATAAACGTACCAGGAGAGACGCTAGCCTCAATAATCGCAATCTTCAGGTCAGGGCGAGCCTTGGCAAGGGTATAAGCCGTGCTAAGACCGCATGAGCCGGCACCGACGATGACAATGTCAGATTCGGCGTAAGTGTCAAGGTCCTTGAAGTATCGTCGATACATAGCACGAGCGACCTGTGACTCCCTGATGGGTTCGAAAGAGAATTCCTTCCACTTCCCGTCGAGGGCCTGAACAGCTCCGTTGGTGTGGAGTTTGCCATTGCCAATGGGGATGCCTCCCTTGTGAGGAAGAGTGGTAGGCTCTACGACTTCAACAGCAGATGGTGCCATTTTGATTAATGTTTAGGTAAGTTTTCTAATATGTGTTAGTACTCGCTCACGGGGTTTAAGGGGGAAACATCGAGAGCATGATCCTTTCGCTGGTATTATCCAGATCAAGTTTTCGGCCGTATAATCTCAGAACGAGCTCCACGTTTTACCCCGTCCTCCATGCATCTCCGTACCCTTTACGCGGAAACGATGGTTTCCGGATGGATATGGTTGAATGCACTTACAGACGGGACGCAGAGACCCGAACACCGGCTCATGGCTCATCTCAGATTCTTTACCTAATGATGAGGGGTTTTTGATCAAATGCAGTCATTTTAACTCTTGCTGGATAACCCATCTGAGGTCATGTCCTCTGGCGGGGTAGCCATCTTGACGCGTACCGAGTATCGGTCCTAGTCAAGTTAACAATTAGTACACGTCCTTGTCTAAAGAACAATAGGGATTTAGTTTCTACTACGAGGCGTACGGATGCTAGTGCAGATAATATCTGTATGAGTTGACTAAAGTCAGGTAAGTGTAGAAAGAAAAGAAGAATTCCTCTTAACTAGAAGATTCTACTCAACATCTTTATACTCATCGTGAAGCGGGGTAGCTCTCGGGTAGTGTCGTCATACTAACCGTATGCAACCAAGAGTAGGCTTTAGGTCTAGATATCTGCAGAGATATTAACCTCTCTCCATGCATCCCATCGCCGATTCTTGCCGGTCTACTACTGTGAGACATATTAATGATTGCTACTAGGGTGGGTCGTCGGGAGTTTATGCCGCTTAACGATTGGCACACATATCTCAATAGGGCTGATCGACCATCACTCTGGTGTCGCATTTCTCTAATTGTGATGAAAGGAATGTAGATCATATAGACGTATAAGGATTTACATATCAATGCTATCTACCTATAGATGAAGCTACTGCCGAATGTTACTATTCTGATTGGGCTGATCCCATATCTATCGAAGAGTAGAAGTAGAATGCGAATTTCTTTCATAACCCTCTTAATAAAAATATTATTCCCACAAGCGCCAATCAACCTCCTTCTTTTAGCAAACAACTGTGGACCTCCTCGCTTCCACTCAAGCTTTTCTCTTTTAGGGGGTCGATTTGGTAAAGTTTTGAGCTATATTTCTACTTTCATTAGTAAGAGCCAATGTGCCCCCACGAAAGTTTATATCGGCTCACGAGAACTTAACCTAGTATATTAAAGTATATATGGGACGACCGTTGGATGATACCTACGTGGACGGAACATACGAAGACCGATTAAGGAGTCAACGTACCTATCTGTACCGGAAATATCTACTTTTTCTGTTGAATAGGTAATATTTAGTAAAGGTCTGAGTAAGTTTAGTTTTCGATTTCTTAGAGACATCCACGTTTGTAGTTTATATAAGCAACATATACAAATTCTGCCAAGCAGTACGGGCCGTGTCACGGTTACTATAGTTGTCAGATCCTCTGTACATATAAGCGTAGCCTTGGAGTCTGCTGAAAAGATCTGTAGGTAGAACATCACTATTGATAGACACGATACCTTTAGTTTCAGCCTCATGATAGACAGTATAAGGATGTGAGACAATGCTTTTCCTTTTGGGGTTTTCTATAAGTGAACTTTAAGTGACTTTAGAGATATTTATCAAATAGGTATAAATTTGTAAACAGGTAAAGAGGATAATAATTCGTATATATGATTGTTTAAATACCTCGGTAAATTATTAATATTGTATTTTAAAGAAATAGTTAGGTTCTATATCGTAGAGCTTTTTGGTATGTTCCTTACGATAGGGGTTTTCGCAATTGCCTCTGGCGTCGAAGTGAATCGAGTTAGGCCAGTTAGGGGAAGTTAAAGGTTGACCCAGGGGAAAGGATTACAAGGGTAGTGAGCTCATAGGAGAGCTTGGGCCATATGAAAGCAGTAACGTTAAAGTGCCAGGTAAAATTTAATAAAGTGCCAACCCATCCACTTTTCCACGTGATTTAAGCCACCAAAGCCACAACGCCATAATGAAAATGGCCCGTTCACTTAACCAGTACAGGGTAATTTTTTACCACCTTTTATATATTATTATTAATAACTTTATGAAATCTCATCCAAATATTTTACAAAATATACCATTATTTAAATAAAAAATAATAAAAATTACAATCCAGGTTGCACGTGACTACGACTAGGATTGATCTTAATGCGGCTAAAAATGATTTTTTTTATTTTTTAATAACTTTATATATATAACATTTAAAATTTAATAAAAATTATTTTTACTTAAATGAAAAATTTGTAAGTTTAATAAAAAAATAAATAAAATTTTTATAATTTATTTCGCAAATTTATTTTTATTTTTATATTATATATAAAATATTAAATAATATATTTAATTTTTATTTTAATTTTTTAAAAATTTAATAATGAATTACGTAATTTTTTACTTTAAATAATAAATATTTTTATATATTATTCCTATATTTATTAGTAAAGTTATTTTCATATAACTAAAATCCAATAAATATTTTTTTATTTCATTATTTCATCATGGCGTTGTGGCTTTGTATGGCTTATGTCACGTGGAAAGTGGATGGGTTGGCACTTTATTAAATTTTACCTGGCACTTTAACGTTACTGATATGAAAGTCGCTAGAAGCTGCAGGGCTGCAGGGATCAGCAGTTTCCCCCTCTAGTGGGGGTGGTTTCTTGCCGCTATCACGCCGAAGCTTCCTTATACCCTGATACCTTTTTTTTTTTTTTTTTGTCTAAGCCTCATCTCAAATCCCCAACTTGCCGATAGAACAGCAATCGCATTCACGACGGCACGGCAATTTTGCCTGAAATGCAGTAATCCTATATTTAGGGCGATAGAAGCTCTGGGCAGTAATATTAAGACGACGACTTTTCCTTGAACTTTTTGCGGTTCTCCTCTACCACCAATAGCGAACTCGATAATTACCAATCTCCCAAAGATTATACCATTTCCCTAAATTCAACATGATGCGCGCCAATTTCCTGAAGCTTGCCCAAAGTGGCCGCAGTAACCTTGCCATCGCAGCACGTCGCGCCTCTGTTCTCAATGTCAATCAACGACTCACACCGATGCTCTTGTCTCGTGCCGCGTCCCATCAACCTGTTCCAATGCGCCTCTTCTCTACGTCCTCTCCCGTCGCACATCAGACAGCACCTAAAGTCGATATTACGCCTATTACTCAGGCCGAGTATCATGATTTGGCGGATGAATACCTCGACGCGGTGCTTACCAAGTTCGAGGAGCTTCAGGATGAGTACGGAGAGGTTGACGTTGAATATAGTGTAAGTTATTGTCTAGGTGGCTATCTGTATCTTAGTTTATTATGCTACGAGGAAACAATACTAACTACGTACATCTAGTCTGGCGTTATGACCGTTAAGATCCCTAACGTCGGTACCTATATAATCAATAAGCAGCCTCCTAATAAGCAAATATGGCTGTCGTCGCCTATCTCCGGTCCAAAGCGATACGATTACGTGCGATCTAGCGAGGCACAGAGTGAAAATCAGGATAGTAGCAAGGGAGAATGGGTCTACGCTCGAGATGGCTCGACCCTGAGCGACCTTCTATTAAAAGAGACAGGCGTTGTGGTCGAATTGGGATCCGAATAAATGGTTTAATATATTGACAGCTAGCTAGGCTAACATCTTTCACTTTCGGAGGGTAATTTGAAGACGATATGGTGTTTATTAGAGGGATGATGAGCAATGATTTGACACAGGAGTTCGAGCTAGGATTGTACCATACCACGATTTTGCATCATGCGGCGGAGTTTAGGGCCCATTGTGCTATACCACTCATCACGCACAATATGTGCATCGTATTATAGTTAACGAGAAATAAAGAAAAAAGCCATTGCTAATATACCACACATAATCCATTTCTCATCCCCCCTTTCGCTATGCGTTACCACCGTCTAGTCAAGTAGCTGACTAGTTGCAGCAATAAAGAGGGCATAGTAGCCTCTTAGGGTGCCTGTTGACAACACGGTCCCTTGTGTCGACCGCAAATCCCTTATCCCATTTCTTACTAAATATCCAACCACTCCAGCCCTCGCCGCAGTGAATCCGCAGTCGCTCGTAGAACTCCCACATCTCGGAAGCCGGAGCGGTATCTACGTTGTGGGTTTTGCAGTTGCACAAATAAGTAGCGGAATGAGCTGCCAATTCTATGTGTATGCTTTTGCCAAAAATTTGGCCGCCTCCGTTGCTCCAGTCGATCATGAGCTGGATTGCGTCCTTTATATCACTTGCCCTCATCCTCGAGCGCGTGCAACCCCAGTGGGATACGGGTATGACGTAGCCAGGATCTTCCCCAGAAGCGGAAGCAGGGTCGAATCCGAACGCCCCTAGATGGCTGGTATTTCCCTTGGTGGATATTGTGGACAGGTATATAGTATCATTTTGTGCTTCGTGTGTGTTCTCCATAGGTATCTGGGTGCCAAGGGCGTGAGAAGTGCCGAGAATTGTGGCTAGATGTAAGAAGATAGTTGAGCCCTTCATGGTGACTTATTTGATGTTTATATGTCGCTCAGGAGGTATGTGTGCTATCTGAGCTTGGGTATTGGTGTACTTTCGGTGTTTTGCCAGGTAGCGTATAAAGGGGTCGGAAGGTCGAGACATCTCTGGGGTTATGTGATTATATATATACTCAAATTCCTACTGAGATAAATGTCAAAGCTATTAAGTTGAGACACGCTCGGTCATATAGCACCAAGCTTAAAGGTAATGAAGCTTAGGTAGTTGATCAATGTTTTAAGGTTAGAAGTACGTCTGGTATATCGAGAGGCTACTTTATATAGACGCTCGGCCGATTTACACGATATAGAGTCCTTAGCTTGAGGAAACATTAGACTCAATCAAGGATAGGTTAGGCCGCAACCAAGATAGTCTAATAGAGTATGTATTTTACACTAGATATAATAACCTCGTTGAACTTTAGTTGTTTTATAACCGTCATAAACGAGCAAGTAAATACGCTGCCGAGAAGTAGGGTTGTAATTTTGTCTAGGAGTTAGGAACTAACCTTTAAGATTCCTCAGCTACAGTCGACACTTAACCACACAATCCTAGATCTACCATGTATATTCGACGTGCACTGTTAATAAACATTTAACTGATATAGTAAGCTATCGAGGATGCTATTAATACAGGCAATAATAAGTGTAGGGATATCAAACCTATAGATCACGTAATAATCTTCTACAGGCAACCGTCTAACACAGCTTATTTAGACGCATATAGACGCGACTATAAGGTCGGGTAGTTTCAAAGGCGCAGCAGCCCGAGACCCAATGCGACCCGCATACGATATGCAGCAAACGGATTGGCCACGCGACCCTCGCGTCTTCCTTCGCGTTATCGGTGTTATATTATCTCTTGCTTTGGACAGTTTCGGACCAACTCGGTGTGCAATAAATAGCGAGATTCTTTAGCTAATGTAAGGAGAAAGATAGAGTCGACTGTTTATATGTAGGATCGTTCTCTCCTACAGGGTTATCATAAAGAAGCTTCCTATAACGTCAAGTTTAATAATAGGATATTTAATAGATTCATAATTCAGCATCTTAGTTGACGCCTTTCACTATGGAAAAGAAACATCCAGTCATTTACTTTGGGACATCGACATTTGGCTCGTCCCATGTGCCCGCACTACAGGACGAGGCTAATGTCTCCAAGTTCCTCAATACTTTACAAGATGGTGGCATAACCCAGATTGATACAGCCGCTAGATATCCACCGGATAACCATGGCGCCTCAGAACGAATGCTTGGGCAAGTGAAAGCTTACTCGAAAGGGTTTACGATCAACACCAAGGTGTTATTTGCTGGACAGAACAGCGCTGGAAGTCTCAGCAAAGAAGCGGTACGGAAGAGTGTCGAAAATAGTTTAAAGAGCTTAGGCGTCGCGAAGATCGGGATCCTTTATGCTCATACCGCGGACCCGGCCACCCCCCTAGCGGAACAGGCAGCGGCGTTGAATGAGCAATACCAAAAAGGATTCTGTGAAAAAGTAAGTGAGGCACCAAACCATATTCTTTTTTATTTACTAACTGAATAATCTAGATTGGAATCTCTAACTTCCCACTCGATATGTTAAAGTCTTTCTTGGAAATATGCGAGAAGGAGGGCTATGCCAAGCCATCGGTGTATCAAGGACAATACAACCTGATCTGTCGTGGACCTGAGAAGGAGTTAATACCGTTCCTTCGAAAGCACAATATGACGTTCAATGCTTACTCGCCTCTCGGTGGCGGCTTCCTCACCGGAAAGCTGACGTTAGGGACCGCCGAGGGGACACGTCTGCGAAGCGCTTATGGAGCACACTTTGCCCGCTGGTACGACAGACCCGAGTTTCACGACGCCGTTAGGAAACTTCTAGAGGCGATTGAGCCCCTCGGGATAAAGCCTTCGGAAGCCGCCCTACGGTGGTTGGCTTACCATTCTGTCCTTGGGGAGAAAGATGGGATTATCTTGGGTGCTACTAAGGTGGAGCAGCTAAAGCAGAACATAGAAGACGTCAACAAGGGTCCTTTACCTCGTGAGATCGTAGAAGTTATCGATTCTATTGGGGAAACTATTGATGCATTAGGCGGGGGCGATTTCGAAGTAAGACCTACAGAACTACCGCCAAGGTAAGCTATCTACCGATGAGACCACTACTTGAAGTTATCTCATAGAATTTTAAGATGAACAGAAAATATGTATACTAGTTTAAAATTTATGTTTTACTAAATAAGAGGAATAGCCATATCACGTTAGTTAATTGGTTCTTAAATATTCTTCGCTCTTCACTATTTGCCGCTGGGTGCGATGGCAGAGCCACCCTTTGGTAACACTACTCAGAGAATAGATCGTCAATGGTAATTCTCGTAGCATTTCTGGCATGTATCTTCAGTTTGTCCATTTCCCCCATATAGTTTGCTTCGGTAGGCTCCACTGGAAAGTCCCAGGATTCGTACTCTCGCCACATTCGTTTCGTACGAGGAGATTCTGGATCTCCATACAGTTCACTAGAAGAGAGGTGTTAGAGCTAACAGCGTCTCAGCTTAATGGGGTTGGATTCTTAATTACTCCGTAGCATTGAAGGTCTTGCCCTCTCCTAAAGCAATGATCAAGGCGGGCCGTGCAATGTCGGCGATGATTTGCTTGATAGGTGCATTGGCGATGCCGGTAAATACCACAGTTTCATCATCAAGTTCCGCGAAGCCTCCAGCGCCAAATTGCCCTACTACTTCGAACCCGACTTTCCTCAAGACTTTCTTCGTTTCGTCAACATAATCAGGGTCTTGTGTTAGTATGCGTACCCTGTTCCCTGTGCTGGAACGGATCATAGATGCTATGGACAAGACAGCCCAATATCGCATCATTCTACCCTGTATAGCATTGGTCTCTAGCATCTGCCAAGTTGTGCCATGCTGTTCTCTCCACCATTCAGGCATTTTAAGGCTTATATCGCCAAGACCAAAACAAATGATCTTAGTTATTCTGTGCTCGAATAAGAACTTGTAAATTAACGACTGGAAGGACCTGAATGTCATGCTTCTATTCCAAGTTTGTTTATTCTCCAAGAAAAGATGCATTGGGTCCTCTATGAGCCCTCTGCTGTCTCTCGCTGACCGATTTTCCCAGTCGACAAGATATGAGCAACGATATGTTTCGGGGAAACCCTCGGGTTTGTTTACGAGTCTCCAATACTCCTGGAATTTAACAGTTGGAAACCTACGAGACCATAACTTATCAGCTCTGAGTCTCATGCCAAAGTTGCTATATGATGTCTCACCAAATTGGTCTCTGTACTCCGTACATAGGGTTTTTGATATAAACTATGCTACCATCAACACACCGGATAATAAACTTCTCAATGGCGCGAAAATGTGATAGCTGTTGTTCGATATCTATGAGATCACTTCTCCGCCAGAGCTTAGCCCCTGAAACGTATAAGTCTTCCATGTGCTGGCTACTTGTCATCCATTCTGAGCAATCGTGCTCAAGTAGGGGAGGTATTGGCAGCTCCTCGTCCTCGTGTGCATGTCCCAACATATTGGATTGACTATTGCTTTGGGATGTTTCCATTTCGTGGACCTGATAGGTACCTAGGTAGGTATAAGACGAATAATTGTAGTTTTGAGCAACACTCTAGCTTCATCTCTTAGGGGTTTAATAGCTATACATATATAAGTAATACTCTTTGTGTGATTATGATTGTCTCATCTTTTCATGGACATGATGCATCGCAGATACTCAAGTTATCACATATCTTAAAATCCACGTCAGCATAGGCAGTTGATATATCATAATATCTAGCCATTTATTCACCGATTCATATTGAAAATTGACTGAAACTAATCAATATGCATGCGTTTAAGGTGGTTTCCATATATTTGATCCCGGATATCGTAGGCGAAAAGAGTTCAGGTATTAATTGGGTTTATCAATAGTTATCCCACGTATTACCTTCCTTAAAGGATATAATGAGACAAAATAATAGCTATAGCATGTCATATCACCTACAGGTCTGCCTCATCATCCGCCTTGTAGTTGTATTAAGTATCAGGTATTCCTATCCCTGACACTACCCCCTTTTGTTGCGCATTTGGACAAGTCTGTCTACCACTACCCATCAAGAAAGTGACTCCGGGAGCTATTATTTTCAATCTAGAAGATAGGATTGAGAATCTCAACCCTCATCTCTAGCACTCTTATTCAGGCCTCGTTTCGATACGGGACACGAGCTGAACTCGTTTATTGATCTCCATTCTGTCACGACCCCTATACCAAAACGGCCCCGATCCAACTAGTGTCGTTGACTAGATTTAGGGAGATATATGATGACACCGTAACGGGAGCGGATGATAAGCCAAGACGGAAGAAACAGTAGAAGGGCTTAGGAGAGTTGGGGTTGGTGAAGTGAACTACGACTGGACGAAAGCTGGTTCAGAGGAAGCCATAAGGTTATTATAAAACGGATATAAAATATAAGGCCCTTGCATAATCGCTATAAACTTATCTGACTCGAATCCGACATGCTTAGGTGTGGATCCCTTAACTCTTCTTGTAAGGGTGAGGCTTAATAGGTACCGTTCTCTACTAACTGCGCGGGTACTGCCCGCTTTTACCCGCGCTCTATGTAGTGGCTTTGCAGTATGTGGGGTGTATCATCTTACTGCATACAGCTATAGGTAATATGTAGGTAGCTTTATATTAACGTATATGAGGCTCAGGGTTAGGTGACTCTGGGGCTTTGCTATAATGGTATGTAACGATACGAGTTTAGGGAACCGCAGAGAAGACAATCTTATAAAAAGATGCACTTTGAGATTCCACAATCGCTGATCAGGTATACGTGTAGACAATTCTTACACTGCCTACCAGGTATCATACAGGTCGTTTCTGTCTGTATCTTGGCGAGTTCATTGCCGAACACTAGCTTTGCTATCTCCTAGAAGCACTGTTATAACGGGCCTGCCATTCAACAAGCTGACGTTCCATGGACATTTCTGACTTTTGACTTGGCTCCCCAGTAGCGAAGAACTTCTCTACTATGTCCGTCTCCCTAATAGATACACTGATTCTATATTGTCTATCTGAGACCCGATCGGAAGATGGGCAAGATGAGCTTATAGTGTTAGTGGAAGAATTATAGGGGTTGGCTAGGTATGGATGAGGTATCACCTTGACTTATGTGAGTAGTTGGAAGTACGACTAGACATAGCGATAGGAATATGTGACGATGTACGCGAAGATAGCAGTGGGGCTATTTGTTATTAGATGTGAGATAATAGATACCGAGAAAGATGGGCTGGGTTCAATATAGGTGATGTAGCACAGGTGTGTATTGTGTATTGGTATAGTACCTAATGTACACGCGTGTGCAGAAGCACAACTGGGAGCTCTTAAAGTACGAATGAGCTGTTTTGAAGTAAGCAGACCTCAGTGCTGATGCTATCCGAATGAATGTCGAAATCTATCTTCCACACCGTCGCAAGCGTGAGTTTCGACCCATCTTATATTCATAAACATAATCACAGTCATGATTGAACGCGCGTTAAGTACGGGAGAATAGGGGGGGATAGGGTGGATGTCGCGTTAATAGGGAAAAGTAGAAAAAGCTGTAAGAGTTATAGAAGCTTATCTGTTAAAGGATTCTATGATCGTAATAAGGTAGAGCTCGAATCAAATAAAAATTGGTGGAGCTTCGGTCAATTCTAGCATGCGGGTATTCGGATGCGGAGTGGCAAATGAATGAAACATGGCGGGGGGGGGAAGAGGCGTCCGAAGTTGAAAAATTCGTGTTATAAGCCAACTGTGCTTTATAGCTGTTAACCAATAGAAGCGCGAGTGTAACCGAGTCGAAATATGGAATGGTGTTGGTACGTGTTGCGGTATTGAAACGGAATTTGTTGTTGACTATAGGTAACCGGCGTAGATTTGCGATACCTTCCACCCTTTAAGACGAAACTAACATGTATATAGCCGCCCGAAACTTAAGAATAAAATATACTTATTAATAAGTACCTAAGGCAATGTAAACTCCAGGCATATCATGTCGGCAAACCAACATCGATTTCTGGGGCTATAGACAATAGAGGTATTACAAGCACACAGCAAGTTGTAGACAGTGTGATGATAGCTACAAAAATGACAATGAAGAATACCATACCACTAAGGACCCTTGTCTTCGCCGAACCAAGATAGGCAGGTTGCCAAGCAAGGCTGTGGAGAGGAACAGAAGCTTGTTTTCTTCTTTCTTTTTCGACATCGAGTAGTGCCAGTTGGCATCTATGTATTATGCGCTTGTGGGATTCCATCATGAATAGCGGAGCGCGAACCTTAATAACGCCATGGATTTTGTCTCGTGTAAGCTCAAGTCGGCCTTGTCAGATTTGCGAACTTTGGGTGTCAATAAATAGGGTGGGCCATGGTCTGTAACGGGTCTGTATGTAATGCATATGGTTCTTTAAAGACACTCCGTTGTGACTGTGATAAAGGGTGATTGATTAGTCGAGGACAGCCTGGTCGAGGATGGATGAGAGAAAAAGTTGCATTTTCTTTACTACCATGTTGCCTTGACCCTGGATTAGGAGCGCGGCCCATGTAATTCATATATGTACATAACAGCGGATTACATGTGATGGAGGGGATAAAATCTGGGAGGAAAGAAGTTTGGCTTTATTGCCCTTTCTACACTTCTGCCTTAGGTAACCGTAACCCCCCATCCCCCCCCATCAGCGCTAAGCACCGTTGTGAAGCACAGCCCCAATAGTCATATAGCAGCGGGTGTTAGTAACGGGTGTTCCCTTGATTCTTCAGTAACAGCCACAATTCATACCCAGTAATCATAGCCACATTGGAAGCTGCGACCGTTCAGCGGCCCGCTGCGGTGAGTTCTTTTACTCCCTCCCCCTCTTACACCTGACTTTTGAGTAAGACACTTACAAGCGAGACTAATACATCACAAGATATCGTAACAGGGTATCAATTGATTAATGATTTAGGTAAATAATATTATGAGTTACTGCTTTATATCAATCATTCTTACTATTATGATAAATATTAACTCTTCCTAAATAGGGTCTTTCATTTTTTTTTTTTTTTTTTTTTTTTCAAAACTAATATCTTCATAATTATTAACTAGAGGTAAACCAAGCCTCACTCTCCGTCACGATAGGTTACGGTAAAGTGGTAGAAAAAAAAGAACATACAGGGGTACTTCTAGTGCTAACAGAACTTCTCGATCTTTTCGATTCGGGAATCGCCCAGCCTACATAAACCCTTGCTCCCCTGTGCCTCTCCCTCCCGCCTAAAGAACAGCCTAACCAACTGCCTTGTAGGTCATCGCGAAAGAAGCTTGCCAATTGGTTTAGCAGCCGGCATCCCCGTAATTTTATCACCAACGGGATCGTACAGGGATACAGCGGCCGCTACAGGTACTAAATATGCACTTCCGATCTAACCTCATCCTCATCCACCAACTCATGCACCAAGTTGACAGTCCCTATAAAAAGGCCCCACTAGTCCCCTTGAGCCGCGAGCCTCGTTCGCGATGGATTGGATCTCTCTTATTAACATCCTTCTCCTTTTCGAGAAGTATTTCTTTTTTAAATATTTCTTAGTTTAACTTCTCAGAGGACCTTTTTTCTTTAGTTATTCCTAAAAGTTCTTATCAGATAGGTGTTGTGTTGTGTTAGTCGCCGCAATGAATTCAGCTTCCCCTACTACTAGCACATCCACAAATAGAGGTGGTCGTCCTAAAGATTGGACCGAACCCCGAGCTCGAAGACTCGTGCGACTATATATCTATACAAGGTTACCATTTGAACTTATATTAAAACTTCTAGAAGACGGCGTTTGGAAACCTGGGTATGTTTTCCCTGTCCGCTATTCTACATTAAATCTCATTGCTTACTTTACTATCTTATAGCAAGGTATGTAAGAAGAACACCCTACCTCGGATGCGATTTCTCTTTCGCAGTGGTCACTTAATGTGCCACTCTATCATACTATCATACTCCTTCCCTTTCAAGATACCCTAGTTCACGAGCTAGTAGACAACATCGGAATTAATTAAGCCTCAACTATTTGTCCGCGATGCTAACAAGCTCATCTAGGATGCTGCCAATAAAGTCAAGAACTCACTCCTCGGAAATGACCCTCGGTGGATAAGACCAAAGGATGAGGATGACGAGAGAAGACGTATCACAGGTCTCAAGAATAGCCGACGCGGGGCGAAGTTCCGCCAGAGGGTATCGACATCACATCTTACCAATGAACATCTAAACATCTATGGCTCTGGTTGGCACGACGATGACAGCTTAACCCTTGCTCAATCAAACCAACCCTCCTTTGAGAATATTAAACAAGAGCCAAGTCACTACGGCTCCGAAGTTGGTGCCAATCGTTTCTCTTGGACTCCTAGTGGTCCAAACGCATCTCGCCGGGATACTAGTCTAACCAGTTCTACCGAAACTAGTATGACCAATAGCTTTCAGGAGAAGCTTTCTACTGTGTCTCGAGACCAAGCGAAGGGTGCCTGGCGTGTTTTGAAACGGTTTACCTTCCCTAATGATCCTGACATTCACCGAGGAACTTCTTTTTCCCCTGTGTTTCCCCATGGGCCGTCGAATTTCTCTCCTCATGATGAACCAGCTGCCCGTGGTTCGTCCAGCGCGAAATACGCTCTCCCTGGTGACTTCCTAAATGCGGACTTATTTAATAGAGAAAGCATATGCGGGGTTGGGTTTCCATCTCACGAGACCGAGACCTGCTGGTGCCGGATCATCAAAGAGTTGAGATCGCCTTATGAGATATGGCCAATCACTAATGACAATCTCACTATCCAAGACATCTCTTCCAATCAAATTAGAGATCCCTTTGGCAATACAATATTTCATTGGTTTGCTAGTGCAACTAGCGACCGAGATTATTTCCTCAATATCATCACTCAGGCACTCCGCCACAACTTGCTGATTCATGCTACAAACACAGCCGGGCAGACATTTCTTCATCTTTTACACCCCTCTTGGTTTGAAGATGAAGTATCATTGGAGTGGCTTCTCAACATGCTTAAGGACGCCAATTTTAATATTTTGGCAACTGATGTTTACGGTCGCAGCTTTTTCCACTTGCTTCAAAATAGGAGGGGGAACTTGATTCGCGTACCGGCTCACTTATTCGACTGGGAATTACTTAGGCGACGGGATGCATTCGGAGTTAAGCCAATGGAATCTCAGGCAAAACAATCGGAGCCTCATATTGTACAAAACATGACCCGTGCCAATCCCTTGAACGCCAGAAATTCAAACAATATGGAATTTCTACCAACATTTCTCGAAATACCCTCGGAGCGCGGAGATGATGCTCGAATTCGATCTCAAGCCGAGCTTCTACGAATAGTCGTAGATGCTATTAAGGTCGACGGTGTCAACTCAACTAGCCAGAACTCTTTATCGGAAGATATGCACGGACGTAATGCACTCCATGCTCTTGCAGAAGTCGAGCTTGACATTGAGCGGGTCCAACATCCCACCGATGATAACCAACGACACAAGAAAAGGAAATACAAAGAGGAAGAGGGCGGCGAGCCAAGGCCAGAAAGTAGTCACAATAGCAAGCGATTAGAGTTCCTCGAAGGGATTCTTTCTACTAGTGTTGATGTTAACCATTACGACAATCGAGGACAAACGCCATTGATGGCATTTATCGCGCTGAGGCCGGAAGACTCCAGATTGGATAAAGAAGATATGGAGAGATCAATCCGGAAGCTCTTCGAAGCGGGTGCAAATCTCGAGAAGCGTAATGGCGAGGGTAAAACTGCCCTTCACGTCGCGGCCTGCTCCGGGAAAAAGGTCGCCTTAAAGGAGCTTCTTCAACTGGGAGCCAATCCTTATGTTCGTGACGCATGTGGCTTAAGTGTCCTCGCTGCAATCGACGAACTATGGGCCCATACCGAAAGAGACGGCATCATTACGGCACGACTAGAAGCGTGTCGAGGTGTTTTTACAAGCATGGTTCAGCCGGATGCCCAGGAGCCCAGTGTCGTACAGGAATGGGGGGTAAGAAGACCAGTATTAACTAGACCGTGACAGTAACCAGCTGGCGATTGCTAGCCTTGGAAATGGGATGTTGATGCGAAGGTACGAGAGACGATGTATGATCAGTCACAGCACAGCGTCGATTCTTTTTCTGCAAAGGAGTTTTTCAGGTCTCGATACCCTTGTATATTTTAACGGAGTTTGGTGGTCGGAGGTACAGTTCGCCTTTGATAGGCTGAAATATAACGGGAAATCGGATTAGGTATCTAACATAGAATTAAAGAAAAGATTGCTCTGCTGTGTACCCCAGGGGAAAAAAATTCGATCATGTCTGCGCCGCTGGGCTGTGGTCACTTCCGTCTAAGATCATGTAAGATGAATATTATATACGCTCGTCACTCTTCGCGTCTACATGTAGGCTTAGAATTATATACGGAAGACTATAGGTTATTCTTTTACCGCACAGAAAAATCACGCATATGTAGTGCGACGATAGTGTCATGTAAAGCCACATAGCTGTATCTAAGGTAACCTGTAGACCCATGTAGGCAGATGATTAGACTTGACTCCGATCTGCTAGATGATAGGTACCCGTGTACCTGGGCTCCCTCCTAATTTCCATATTAGGCATGTGGGACACCCAAGGCGGCGTCAACTATTGGCCTCTCTTTACCTAGCCTGAGGTTTAAGTTCTCATCCACCATGTGTTCTAAATATAATGGGGCACTGTACGTAATAAATACACCGCGAGTTATATCCAGGATGAGATTGGCTAATGTTGGGCTAGTTGATGCTATATCCAAATCCGGAATTGATGAATGAGTAAACATTTTAGATGTGGCTTTGTTTGATACAAAGCCGTCGCATGTTTCTCTCATCTTGGTGATTTGTCTACCCGATGTGAGCAATCTGCCATCTTACCATGGGGTTTACCTAGCATTACCGGTTGCTTATTCTCACCGGGGTGTAATATCTAACATCACACAGGTACCCCGATATATGGTCTTACTAGCAACAAGGAATAAAATGCAGCTTTAACAGGTAGGTATCAAGTGACTCTCTATATCATTCAAAAAGTAGGTACATAGCAACAGCAAGGAACACGGGTGAACATAATTAATACCTAATGTACCTAAGATAAGAGACATAATTAATTCTACGTTAAACTACCCCAGCGAGGACATCATATGACAGACAGCCCCTGATAAAACCTCCAATGCGTCATGACAAGTATGTATATAATCTTGTCGTAAATAGTTTCCTTAGGTATCTCCTTAAACTTAGGTGGTCCCCCCTGAGACGGGAAGCTGATGGCTAGTTTGGCACTGAGCTCGTCTTCTAGACGATATTGAGCTTCATTGCTGTACGACTCTCCTGGCCGGGGCGGTCCCATAAGCCTCTCCTTAGCGAGCGCTCTGGCGCGGTCCTCACGCCGTCGCTCGGCTCTCTCGTCGAAGAAAACCGTCCTGCTCGGCTTCCGGGGCTCAACCCAGTAAACCGGAGTTGGTTTGGCAGCTTTCGCGGCCTCTGGGGCTTGTTTGGCCGCTGCGGCGTTTCCGGAACCCTCAGGCGCCTCCGAATCTCCCCCTGCTTGGCTATTCGAGGCCTCGGCCTCACGTTTGGCCTGGGCTTTAATTTGCCAGTCTAGCTGGTCTCGGAGAATCCACCACTTGTCGATGTTCTCGTTTCTGGCGTCGACGAACCTCATCAGCCAACTTCTCCTACTAGTAGCCGTACGAGAGTTATTAATGGCCCTTTCGTCAGCCGCGTTCCAGGCCTGCTCGTGTAGTATCCAGTCGTCAAGACGATCTCTAAGTGCCTTGTTCATCACATCAGACGACGGTTCTGGCGTTGCTGATAGGACTAATTTCATGTAAAGCGACCGGACAAATTTGAGAGTATAAGCAGTCACCCTTGCTTCCTTTAACTTAGAAGGGCTAGTGATAATTTCGCTCTTCTCGTGTATTTCAGCTCGAAGTCGGGGTATGTCATTATCCATCTGTTGGAGAAGTTTCTCTCGTCGTTCTTGAGAGGTCGGGGGTGCTTCGGGTCTGTAATAATTTCTACGGCATAGCCTCAATCTCTTAGAGAACTCAGGTGCGTAACTGTTTAAAGTGTCCTCCCGATTCTCAACAGTGGGGTTGACAAGTCTCTGGTGCACAGGCCTCTCAAATACATCCATAAAGGCTGCGTCGCTATAGACATCTTCGATATCGGCGTTGACATTCTCCATAGTTATGGTGTAGTTTTCAAGCAAACGTGACTTCTTGGGGCCTGGCTGGCTTGATTCAGACGACGACAGATGTCTTTTTTTGGGCTCCTCCTGGGCCTGCTTCTTCCTCTCCTCTTCTTCAGGGGTAAGCTTCCCGCCAAGCTTCAGCTTCAGATCCAGTACTCCTGGCCGTTGCCCTAACCCGTATAACCATTCATCCGCGTCGAATGGGTAATCAATGTACGTTGGGCGCCCGCCCTCGCGAAACAATTCTTTGTGTATCTGTATAGAAACCATAGGCATACGAAGACCGAGCAGTGCCTGATCGAGGATCTCCTGTGAGAAGAAAATAAGTTCACGGCGATCTGCATCATTCCGAAGTTCTTTCGTTTCAAGACCAATGAATTCGTCATAGGCCCTCATAAATCTTTTATGCTCGGGTAGGGTGTCACCGTTCCACGATTGCGCTGCTGGGGGTGCGATGTCACTAGCCAAGAATGTCATTCTCGTAATATGCTTCGAAATATTTGTATTTAAAGAGGTAAAAGGATGTGAAGAGAAGTTTTCGAGGCGAGTCCATAGCTTATAATGGAAGCTCCTGAACTTGAGCAGATCTTCGGAATTGTCCCGTACGAAGTCGTAACAGACGTCAAGAAATTTAACACCTCTATCGAAAAGCTCACGCTCGGCACCAGTAATATCCTTAGACATTCCTCTGGAGATATCGCCGAGTAATTCTATAAGACTCGAATAAAGAGAGATGAAGTACGGCGCAGAATGGTGAAAGCCGGCGGTCTCGAAGTCGGTAAAGCCATACAATCCTGCAGCCTCGATCCGCTCGAACCGAGTGGTGAATGAATCTGCTGTAGGTTCTGCCTTAGGTTGTTCAACAGGTTCTTCGACCTCGGGCTCATCTACATCCATTTCTACCGCAGGCTCTTCCGCAGGTCCCACCGCAGGCTCTGATGCAGGTTCTGAACTAGGATCGGAAGACATGGCTGATTTGGATTCGACTTAGGTATTACTGAACTCCTTTGAGTGGTAGTGATAATTTTGTAGAATCAGTATCGTCCGTACCAAATCTTAGGTAGGCAGTTGTTGGATACTAAGTTTTATTAACAGTAGGGTGTGATTAAATGGAAAGAAATCTAAACTGTTGGATAAGTCGAGTTCATATTAAATGAAAGAAGTTGGGGAGCCCACAATTTCGAGGCATGTAAACATAACAAAACCGCAAACATTTTTTTAACAAAGACCAACAATCGTGAGTCAGGCAAAAAAGTATTTGGATTTTTAGGGGGGTGGGGTCGATATTTGACGCCGAATCCGTCTGCCTTTGTCTTTCAACGCTCTGCACAACAGCAATGGCATCACTTACTACCATAAGCGGGTTTTCCTATCCCGGTGAGGCATTCTGCTTGCAGAGATTTGCTTGCAATGCCACACCCAAATCAAGTTGCTCTCTATTTTCCTTTTTTTTAGTATCTAACTTGAAATTGTCTTTTTTACTCGATTTCCCCCTCTCTTTTAAAATGCTACGGTATTCTATAACAATCTTTAGTTTCATATATCTTAACGCCTAATAATTACCTAAGAAATTAAATCTTATATTATAATACGGGAACAATGGCCGAGGGATTCCAGCAAGATGGTTATCAGGACCCTTTCGAGGTAAGAGACTCAGGGGTCAAGGGGATGGGTTGTTTTGCAACGAGAGATATCAAGGCCGGCGAACGTGTTCTTGTGGAACGGTGCCTCCTTTGGCAAATAGATGATCTAAATGTTTATGAAAGAACCAACAGTCTACTCCAGTCTTATTTAGCACTGAGTGAAGAAGATAAGGGAAGAATTCTGGATTTACACGCAGAAACAAATCCCTACATTAGGGTTCGAGACCGAGCAGCATTTGAACATAGCGGTCATCTAATAACAGAAGATCAAGTTGACGAGTGTGTCACCGTCAGGCTTGTACATGCTGCCAACAACTTCGAGATAGATTCTGCTAAGACAGCTCCGGACGGGACACAACTTCCCTCTCGATCTGGCGTCTTTATTAAAGCAAGCAGATTTAACCACTCCTGCGATCCTAACTGCTGGTACACTACAACCTCGTGGACGGGTTATTTTATTTGTACACCAATGCGGCCAATTAAACAAGGAGAGGAAATCACAATCAGCTATATACCTAATCAAGCGACTAGAGAAATTCGGCAGGCTTCATTGTTGAAGTACTGGAAATTCGTATGCGGATGTAATAGATGCGAAGGATGGGATCTCGACTACGACGTCCAACTCGAGGAAGCATACAAGCTGCAGAATCCTAACGCCGATGTAGAAAGAATAGTACCAGGTTTTGTACAAGGTGGCAGAGAGGCAGAGGAGCGTCGTATACTTCGGCGTCTTGAGCTTCTTCAAGTGCTACGTTGGCCTCCGGAGCTATATTTTGGGTAAGTCGTATTCATATTGGCAGTTATATTTACCAATACTTACAATTTGAAAAGGTACATAGATGCCGCGGAGTATTTCGTTCAGCTCAATTTAGAGATCCGAAGGCAAGATTTGAATCAGGCCATAATCTACTCTGAAAGAGCTGTGGGTTATCTAGACATTGCGGCCGTATTAGGGGAACAAATTTGGGAGCCTGGTGAGATAATATGGCAAGATTGTATAGATTATGCACAAAAGATCAGGTTAAGAATGGCTGAAATGAGGGCAACTTTAAATCGTGCCGGAACCTAATCTTATAGTTGGATGTATATATTATAAGGATGTATTGTTAATCATTGGGGGATTTTCCATGGCCACTAAAAGCCAATTAATAGATATCTACTAAAGGTAGCCTATTATGAAAGTCTTTAATTACGAAACTGTTTTAATAACTTGAGTTGTATGAGGTGTTGTGTGATACTTGAGTTTCACTATTGCTTCATACAGCGTTAAATAGGAGCTGAGATACCATGGAAATGGATTTGACAACTTTAGGACGAGGTTAGTAATATTATAAAACATCCCTTGCATACGTAGAAATCTACTGTAAATTTTTAGGGTGAGCCATGTTAGCAACGATGGTATAATGGGTTTATCACATATAGGGCGTAATTGCTTGTTAGTAATCACGGCGTTGTCTTTATAACAAAGTCATATTTAGCTATTTATTTCCTTGGTAGTCTAATATGTTTCTCTGCGAGCTTTATGCGTCAATCATATGCATGGACATTTGGCCACTGCTGTTCTCTACTAGAAAACGTCATGATTTGGTGGCTTTATGCTAGTATTTCTCCAAACTGTAAGCGCTAAGTGTTATAATATTGGAACCTAGTAGAAATTTAAGACATTTACTTTTTCCAATCCTTTACAAAGCTTTTTCTAATGTAATATATAATGATTCACTCAACTCAAGCATTAAGTCTAAAAGTTGCTAATTCTGCAAAACAACATCATGAGTTATAATGACCACGACAATATTATACTAACTACCTAGATAAATAAATAAATAGAAACTATGTTGTAAAGTTAGCTCGGATTATGTCTAAACCCGGTCTATCGGCAAGGCAAAATTAAACTCAACATGGCCGGGGAAATAAATGGGTCAAAGTCCGATATTCTTTCGGTTGTCTGCAGGTTGCCGCAATCCGGTGCGGGACGAAAATAGTCGCTAAAGCAGGGATCATCGTAGTGACGGTGAATAAACACGTCCCCCCCTAGCAAGTCCCATTTTCGTCACTAATCAAACATGATATCGGGTGGTTTCACGGCTACCCGGAAGTAATATTAAATATTTTGAAATTCTCAAAATGCATGTGCCGGGACTGTAATTCTACCCATCGGATCCGATAGGCTTGATCTTCGTTGTACAAAACCATAGATCGTAACGAGATTATGTAAGATGGTTCAACAAGACCCGAGAAGGGATAGCGTAAGATATTAAAGGGTGGTAGGGTTTGTGTTGACTTGCATGAGAAGGTGACTACTGTTGTGTATGGTATGTACGTTGCACATGTACGTAGAATAGATTAGAAGCCGCTTTTCCTCGATGAACTACTTTCCTTCGCCTTTCCTTCGCCTTTCCTTCTCTCTTTCCTCTCTAAGTTGCCCTTCACGTTGTCCGAATTTTGTTAGCTAAAACCTAAAAAACCAATTTAGGTATGCACTTAAATGTCACGCTAAGCGGTCCCCGATCCCCGAATGGTACTTGTGTCGTTTCTCCGCCTTACCTTCCATGTGATGGTGACAGCCCTGCGAGGCTTTCCTATCTTAGATCCCTGGAGTCTCTCGCTTGTCCCGCTAGATAGGTCGGGATGTATCCATAGAAAAAAGGAGATCCACCAAGGTACATATGTAACCTAACCTTAGATACATATACTTAGATGAACATCTTTCTACTTCTTGATAGAACTATTCTTATATATTCTTAGGTAGAGATACGATAGTATATCATCACCTTTTTTAAATTTTTAAATTGTCAATATGAAGAATTTAAAACCTTGCTAATCTCATCTCATTTTATTTATTGGTCCTTCTCATCTTGCAGACATCCCCTTTTTCCATTAGGTAACCAACCACTGTATACCAAAAACAGTGCGTAATTGATAACTATACTGTTAATTTGCACGGATCAGTGCACGGTCTCGGCCTGTGCCGGACAGCCGGGTTAGCGCGTTGCCTTGTGCCGGAAAACCGATCAAACCAGTCCAGGGAATTTCTTCAAACCGTCATACTTGGCATTGAAGAAACCCGACCTGTCGCATTGAAGACGATTAACCCTTTTTACAATCCTATCTTTCAAAGGAGAGTCCATTCGGCGGAAGATGACGAGCCATTCATTCATTCCATGATTGAACACACTCTTTACTTCCTTTCAGCTACGCTGTCTAACCTGTCTAACTTCGCATGATGAGCACGTCTCCAAGTATCGAACTCACCAGCACCAGCAGCACAAGCTCGAGGCGCGGCCAGAGCCAAGCCGAGAACAGTCGCCGCTATGCGCCGCGGCGGACAGGAAGCGCAGGAAACGCAGAAGAGTCTGGGCTAGAGTCCCTACCGCTTGAGCTGCAGTACCTTATCATCTCTCATTTGGACTTGACGAGCTTGATTACCCTACGAGAGACATGTCCGTTGTATCGCCAAGTCATCACGGTTGACGTTGTCGGTAAGCAGTTCGCTGCCCCGGACGGTGGACACGATCCCGTCCTGCAGAGCTGCTGCACTGAATGTCTGTGTATGCCGGGACTTGATCGCCTAATCATCGATACGACGCGTCCAAGCCACACGTGGCGGTCTATCTGTTTCCGATGCTGGCGTTATCGGATGAGCCGTGAGAACCAGCGCAAGCACTGGCCGCTGGTTCAAATGGTTAACGGCGATTGTGGTTATATATGCCACTTTTGCACATGGCCGGTGCACAGCGGCGCCTCCAGCAGTCGGATCAAAAACATGCATGCCCCTTGCCGGGTGAGGCGACTCGTCGTAGTTATATCATGGCTAATCATGGCCATCATACAATTCGGCCTCGGTATGCTGGCTGCTGTGCTAGCGTGGACCATGTTCCGGAATACGTCAGCAGTTTTAATACCTGCTACCGTATGTTTATCCTCACTTTCTCTTCGACATTCCATTATTCTAACGCGACTCTTAGATCGATTTCTGTCTAGCGGTGATAGCAGTAATGATATTTGTGGTCCGTGTAGGCACCACGAACGAAGTCACGTACACGCGTGCGCTGGCTGTAGAGCTAATAATCACGTTCATCCGCATCCCTCCCGTGACCTACACCGCACGCGAAACCGTTATTTCTGAGACGACTCAGGGAGGCCCACTCCCTAAATTCGGGTTCGGCGTCTTTTTAATTAACCTGTGAGTCCCCTTACTCGTCTAACGAGGGTTATGATGCTAAATGTACTTCACTAGAATATTCCGGTTTTTAGACACGGTTGGCTACACATTGCTGAACTGCGGTTATGACCCACGGAATATCTTCCTAGGGCCAATGCCCTTGAGAAAGAAACTGCTCTATGGGTTTTGCACTTTCATGGTGTGGTTTGCGTTTATACCATTTTGAAGACTAAATAGTTATAATAGGTGGCGAATGCCTCAGGCTTGCCACATGAACGATAATAGCAGCACTAGATGCTGCAATGCTAGCGATTTTGCTATCACTTTGAGCTTATGCCATTTTACATCTTCCTCATTTCCCTACGATGAGTACCATGACCCTAAGGGGTAGTTAGATTAGCAAATAGGGACCGAAACATTTTGAGCCATACGACCTAGCGGTCTTGATGATCGTGCTCGTATCATGCATGTCGTTGCTTGATACTATGATAGTGCCTTACATAGGATATGTCCTTAATATTCAGATTCATTATATTACATTAGCAATCGCTCAGTGAACATTAAGTGCGCTAATCCTACGTAAATGAGATTTCATCTGCCTAGGTAATACAGATATATGTCTTGAATCGACCACGATAGGCACATCAGAGATAAACCACGTTTATTTTCAACTGAGATGGGCATGGATTAAACAAGATGCTGTCTGATGTAGTGGATATTTTACCCCTGTATGTCGATGCGAATCCCCAATATATGGTATACTACAGGTAAATGAATCCTTTCCCCCTCATCATAAGAGAAGAGCTGATTATTATCTTCTTAACATATTCTGTTCTCTAAGATCAGATTTTCGGGAGAGCAGCTTTTGGCTTATGACACCAAGGCCAGTGTAAGATTTGGATGATTCTGAGCTTGGAAGGATTATTCAACTGGACTAGTGTAAGAGATCTAGATAAAGGGGCTACATGTAGGTGTGCCCTTGGTCTCGGTTAGTTAAGTTCGTAGTTCTTCATGCGATACGTGTATTATTCTCTTGCCATTATGTTACATTGCACATATGTTGGATCTGACGCATGGAGGTATATAAATGGCGTTTAGACGTGAGTGACCTGTGTATACCCGACCGAGATCATCATTCTATCCATATAAGATCGCATATTTTAAGCGAGGGAGTCGATACGTATTGATAGATATATCGTTTCGGCTGTAGATGAAAAGAGAAATCCAGGCCGCGGAGTCGAGACCGTAAGTTGTCGTACATGTTACTATATGAACTAAGCACTTTATGCGCATAACTTTATAGAATAGCAAAGTTATTTCCCTGCTTCTTACTCCACCTTATGATATGTACATAGTTGATAGAAGATAACAATACTTCGTAGGGAAGAGAATAGGAGTCATATATATTGTTATTGATATTACCTTAACTATTTGCATGTTCAAAGCACCTCCGAATATACAGTTGTTAGGTTAGGTAGGCTTTGCAAGACAGGTCAAAATATAGTCATGTAGATTACAATTAAATCTAAATGTCTAGAGGTAAAGCGAATTCATCATCATCGTCATCTAGGCTAGGTGTTTGGTTCCTCACTACTGTCTACCCTATTGGGGGTTCAGTCTTGTCTCGCTCCAAACCTCCATCAACCGAGCAGCTCGTAGAGCAATGTCCCTCGCTTCTTTGGTACTTGTTTTCTCCGCCTCTTCTCTAAATCTCCTAGTCCAGAATGACCAGCGGTCCGATCGTAATCCGGGTTCCCCATGGAAAAGCGATCCGCCTTTAAGTAATCGGCGGTCCTCGTTGGAAAGCTTTGGATCCGGATCCGCAGCCAGCCTTTCGATCATTACTGGGCCGAAGAACTCGATATAAATCGCTGCAGTTATCAAGTCTCTATCCAGTGCACTGCTCTTTGGTGGGTTCTTTTCCTCCTCAAGCGCATCGCGTAACATCCATATGGGCTGGTTTGCAAAATGGATCACCCCGGCGCCCATGAGCTTGGCAGAGAAAGCGTGGAACCGTATCCAAGCTTGATCGATACGTAGCTGTTCCTCTTTGACCTTTGATTGAGCAGGTCCATTAAGATATTCCCTAAAGGCGGCTGCGAGAACTGGAAGATCGGTCCACAGCCGGGACTAACCCGCTCATTAGCTCTATAACTTAGATGCAATTGGTAGAAATGAGACTTGTTTAACCTACTTGCCATACAGTGATTCCAGTATCGGACAGTAGCGTTAACTCCCTCATGAGCTTGACTAGTTTATCTTGAGCAGCATATTCATACGGGATCTGTTCTGCGATGGAAATGATGCCTCCCCATAAATCATAAAAGAAGCCATCGTCCAAAGTTTTGCTGTCGCCCTTTGGCTCAGGTGGAAGCTTTGATATAGTGGCAGCTACTTGCGCTGCAGAGACAGAGCTGTCTAGTTGGAGATAGTCATTGAGAATGTTGAAGACGGCTTCGTCGATGAGTACATCCCCCTTGATATCTTTCCGCTGCAGTTCGACCTTATTTGCCATTCTGTAATGGTAAGGTAGGATGTGTTGATATTAAGAAACTTTGAAAGTTCAATATGGTAATATGGTTGGGTTGTGGTTATAGGCAGTTGCTGTTTGTAGGTAATTAAAACCAAAAGATATGCATCAACTGCGATGAATGAATGAGATGCTCAGAACCAGCACGTGTCTGCGTATTAGATTTCTTAGCGGACAACTACTTTACATCATGATACCTTCTAAAATAGTCCGGCTTAGCCTAAAGAGGAAGGTGATGAATGATATTGAGTTGATGCGATATACTATGTTACAAAATCCACCAATATTCATGTTTTTTTTATGTTGGCAAGATTGGAAATGCCAAAATACCAAAATACCAAAATGCTAAAATGCTAGAAACGCTAAAAGATTCCTCCGTCCGATGCAGTTCCGTCTGGACCTATGTACCTAATAAGGTATGAATGAATTGCGATTCCTCCTATCAGCGCCACCAGCTATGCAAGAAAAAAAAACTAAAAACAAACTCTCAATCATAAATGATAATAATACGATAGGAAAGACACCAAAATCATAATGCATCATATAACTAGGTCATAATTCCGAGCATTTTCACTCTTCATCACTTCTGTTTCGGTAGCGTGTCTAGCCCCATAGAGCTCAAGATTGACGTCATGCGCATGCGAGATTCATTTTCGGAGAGTGGTGTTGGAGATTGCGGCGGTCTTAGGTGTTGGTCTTCAGCGTGGAGGTGTGGGTTCAAGAATCGCTGCAAGTTGTAATTCACGTCGAGGGGAACATTAATATTGGGTCTCTGGGTTATTTCGGGAGCAGCGTCTTGACTAAGTAGATGATGAATATGAGCAAAGCCTCAACTTATTGGCTTGAAATAGCTTAAATTGAGGCACATATAGAAGAATGTACCTTAGGTAAGGCACATAAAGTATACTCACTTTAAGTACTGAACAGCACGTGCGGAACCATCGACTTGGCCGTTATTTGCCATGATGCAATTTCCAATTAGAAACGCAGGGAAACCAATTGAGCTTTCCAGCTTTCCAGCTTTCCAGCTTTCCAGCACTATGGTTTAGGCCTCGTTTAGCGTTCGGCTGCAGCCGCTGGCAGGTGGGAAAGTTGGACCCTGCACAAAACGCGAATTGAATTGATGTGGGGTAGATTAGGTAAGGTAAGATAGGCGTTGCAGATAAAGAAAGTGATGATAATTCTTTCGTCGTATTTTGTGAAACTCTTTCCACAGCTGAACAAAACACAGCATCAACAACAGGGAATAAAACGAGGAAACCGGCCAACAACTGCGTAGTGAATCAAGAAGATATCACATAACAGGTTATTGATCGACACATGAGTAACTGAGCCTGTCGATCGAGGGCAACTTGGAGGGCCAAACCTGAGATTTATGTAAAATTCAAGAATGCAATCTTAGGATCAACCTTCATCTTGCCCAACTCCCCAGGCTGCCTACGCGATGCGCCGCGTGGTACATCCGTGGTCCAACCATCGACAAGGTATTCCAACCTTAACCCCCCACGAGGTAATGCAAGGCGTAACGGGGGAGTACAAGTCTACCGGGAAGGAGGACACTATCCCCTGACGTGTATTTTCGGGGATTACATGATGTCATTACGATTCCCCTAAGTCTACCGTCTATGTCGAAGGTGAGAGGGAGACAGCGTAAAACATCAGCTTGCGCCAGTAGCGGGCGGTTAGAAGCATGAGGCTGATGGACTCGTAAGATTTTTTTTCTCAGGGACCAGATTCACTTCCACAGAATTTTGGCCCCCACCAGTCCACCATTGCTGATCTCCTACCCGTTTGGAGACGCAAGCCGACAACCCGATCCAGTCAACTAAACAATTATGGGCTGATTTTCTTCTTCTCTCTTTGTTTCTTCAGATTCTATCTGACTGGCAGGAGCTGATTGCTACGTATGAGGAAAAGCCGATCGGGCAAACTTGGAACCCAACTATCATGAACAGCATCTCAACCCGTGTCGCTCCGTCCCTAGTGACCTAGTATTTTGGCCCTCGTGATCACAACTTCAAGACGATCATGGCCTATTTTCATCAGAATATTGATTTAATAAGACCATTATACTACTATCAAATATGAGTATCTCGTCAAAAGGCGATGGTGGCAACGTTCCACCATGGTGATCGCTTGGCCGCCTTCTTCAAAAGACCCCCACGGAATAACGAGCCTCTTTAGAACAATCGAAACTCACCGAACGACAATGACGTTAAATTCTTAGAAACGTCACGATGCAGAAATCTCCTATTGTAAAGCAATGACGTACGTATGGGCATGGAGCTAATTGTTGAGCTAGGATATGAAGGTAGCGGTATTGATTAGCATTGGATCTCGCTTTACGGCAAAGACTCTCTAATTCCGAAGTCTAGAACATCGAGGTTACGTGGGAATGGTCCGCGGTCAAGCAATTAATTAAAGGTCTAAAGTCTAGACTCTTTCTTCAAGTTGTACAGAAATTTGGCATTCGCAAGAATGGGAAAGCAAAATGGAAAAAATTCCTTGGCCACTACGTCATCCAGCTGAGAGGGCGAAGGGCTGGATGAGCGCAAAGCACGGCGGCTTACCCCTGGACCCTGAATGACTGGCGTATGCAAGGCAACGGACCCTTAAATTAGTCAACTACCTATGTAATGGGGAATGGTCCCAGGAAACATGGAGTTTTGGGAAATCTCGATGCTCCGCAATCGCAAAGACATGCATTCAAATACATAATCGACTTAGCGGGCATGGGCTCGTATTCCCTCCGGTATACCCCTCCGATTATGAACCAATCAACTACGAATAAATATTTTGCTGATCCTTTAGCGAATCAGGCCATTGCTGCCTGCGAATCAAATAGTAGGCAAATAATAAAAGTCGAATTCAGGCGGACCATAAGGCGGACGATTTTAGCTACGTATGGTATTAGATCATTGAGATCCAAATTCGCCTACGGAAATAAAGGAAAATATAACACCGGCTACTAATACTTACATCAATAGATCCCCGGATCCCTACCCATGTATCCGAAATAAGGCATGGTACATATCTACAAGGAAGGACGCCTTACCACAAGATCTCAGGTCTAGACTGTTCGCATTTACTAGGGTGCAAAGCCACAAGCATCCATCAAACAGCTGTCGTGACCCTCCCAAACTAGAAAGCTTTGACTCTCAAAAGGAATGGCTCCCATGGTGGTCTTATTCTGATGTCAACATGCATTTCGAATTGAATATTGACTTTAAAGATTTCGACCTGCAACTCATGCATGAGTCATTGTAATCTATCGCCAAAGCATTGAACGAGCTGGACGACGCAACAAGGCGTCCAAGGCTATCATTTCTCGAAAACCTCGCTGTTATGTACAATTCAGGGCCCGTCTAGTTTCTTCATGACGGGCACTGCCGACGAGATGTATGTACGAATGAATTCTCTCATTTCCATCCTCTCTCGAGGTTGAATGTTAGGAGTTATGTCACCCCTTGCCTAATATCATTCAAAGGGTTCCAAACGTCCATGAACTCTCCCATGAGTATTTCTGGCCTGGTCCGGTAATCTGCTCCTCGACTCGTCCCCATTCAGGGCTTTATGCATGTCATATTAGCTCACATCATTCACAACAACTGACGTTTATATATTTCGCCTTTAGAAGCGGGGAAGAATTGGAGTGCATCGGATGACGGAAGAGAGGGGCCAATCTTACTGATTAATGCCATCCACATAATCTTGAGCCTCGATAGCGACGCAAGAACTCCTTCCCACCTTTTTGATGGTCTTAGTACCTTGCGTACTCTTCAAGTCAGCGGTCCCATCCATCCAATTGCACGAATACAGCACAACTCCAAGCTGATCGGTGCGTAGATCGGCGGTGATGCCAGAAAAGGCACTAGCCAAACTGACGACAACGGCATCCTTTGGCGCACCGTCGATCAAAAAGTAGCCGTTATAACCCTCACAAGCGCCGCCACCGCCGCAGTTCCCAGAAAACTTAGGGTCACTTCGCGCATGGCCCAGGAATAGGCCAGAGCGGCTGAAGAAATCGTTGATGCTGTTAGGCTCCGCAGTTCCAATCTTGCCCGTAGGCAAGGCGCCGTCGTCCGCGACCAAGTACCGCTTCGAGTACGGTAAGTATAGAGTGTGGTTCCAAATCTGGTCCGTGTCTGGGTTCTTGAAGGCATCCAGATTGAAGTAGGTGTGCTGGGTTAGCATGAGCGCTTTACAGGCCAAGTTAGCAATGTAGGCACACCAAAGGCTACGTCATAAAAGAAAGAAACGTACGAGTCCTAGCCTCAGGCGACGTCGCCTCCATCTTGATCTTCCATGTACCCCCTTTGACGCTATACGTCACTTGGCCGTGGACAAGACCAAACATTCCTTGGGACGAGTTCGACGCATCCTTGACGGTGAAGGTGATGGAGTCCTCGGTGGCATCAGTCACGTTCCACACGCGGTACGACCAGTTGTTCGTGCCGCTATGTAACGTGTTGCTCCCATCGTTTATCTGGGTAGTGTACGTTGTATTGTCGATCGTGTACTTGCCCTTCCCAATGCGATTGACATAACGGCCAGGGATACTGTTATACACTGGATGTCCTGGGTCCTTAGCTAGAATCAAAGGTTAGTTTTCTCTCTCTATCTCTCTCCTTCAAGGATGGTGTATTCTGGGGGTTTAATTACGATAATATTCTATGTCCTCGTATCCGAGCACTACGTCAACATCTTCTCCATTCTTATCTTTGACGAAGAGGTTAGTGAGCGTAGCTCCATATGGAATGAACTAGAGTGTGTATAAGCGTTAGTCTATCTATCAGCTTCATTAGGATACTATCGCCGAACCTGCGCCTTTATTCCCGATGAAGATATCGTGTACTTCCCGTCCTTCCCAGGTTTCGGAGCTTGGGCAACGGCAGATGTCGCTGCCGCCAAGACCTGCAGAGCTAGTATAAAGCACCGCATCTCTTCAATTGGTTCCCGTGGAGCGAGTTTGGAAAGTAGGTATCACAAGCTCAGCTTCGAAGTAGGAGGAACGGAGTGGACAATAAGCACAAGCACAGGCACACAAGACAATCCTCGAGGAACACTTGGCTTATTACTACCACAACCTGGTATTCCGATATAGCCCCTCCCTCCCAATATTCCCTTAAATAGTTATCCGCGGGGGAAGGGCAGCATACTGACTAGCGCCATTAGCAAGAGCGCGCGCGTAAGCACAGCACTTTTAGGATCGTACCATACCGAGAGAGGCGATTCGGGATTAGTCTGGGGTACATAGTGGAAGGATGGGGGGGGTAAATAGCCTGATATGGCAGCAACCAGTAATCTCACGATGTTTCCGGCTTCCCCTTGGGGAAATAGTTGGAACAACAACTAGCATATTCGGGGTAAATTCAACCTTATACAAAAATATGTGCGTCTGGCGGCTCAAATGTGCTCTACATTGAGCCATGGGCGCTTATGTCTTAGGCGCCTTGGCATATCTGGCTTAGAGGCAAACATAAATTCATATAAATTCATATACGCCGCGGAGCTCCCAACGGGCTTCGCGGCACTCGCTATAGTATCAATAAGCCATAAAAAACTAGACCAGGTTTAAACCTTGAACTACCCCCAGTTGTAGACGAAGATATAGAGATGTGACTGTGTTTAGATTACTCTAAGCGAAGCTCTTTGTCTTGGGACTTTGAATCCAACCACGAGGCTTATTTAGTAAACTTGTTGTAATCGCATATAGATATCGGTATGAAGACGTGATTTCTTAGTACCTATTCACGTACCCATACGTAATTTTCTGTCATGATGAATCCTTAAGTACCTTGTTGCGGCTACATCTACAATTGAAAATACAAGCAACTCATGAGAGTTGCCGCCAAAGCTTTACAATGCATTCTACGAATCGTTAAGAATCTTCGGGTTTGTTTAGGAAGCTGTGAGCTGAGTAGGATTATTCGACTCCTCGTGTCTTGTATCGTCATTAGTATACATAGACAAAGGAGAGAGACCCCCCGGCTAACAATCAATTATTTCGCAAACAGACAGCTTTGTTAATCTAAGTTCTTTTACATTGAGAATTAAATGGAATGCTACGGGTTCGCTTTATATAAAGCTACTTGATGTTTCCGGTTATATCTGTATTTCGAAGCCAATTATACATGACAGGTCCGAATAAAAGCAATTATTTGTTCTAATAAGTGCCAGACATACACTAAGCATCGCAGACCCCTAGCATCATAGTATATCACGCAAATATTTGTCCATACGTATTATCCTTAGGAATACGAATTATCAATATGACGGAGAGGGGAACCGAAGCGGAGGCTACAGGGCCAACTCTGAATATTCACCACCCCATCATCCAAAGTGTAGCCCGAGAACGGACGAGACACAATGCGGAATTGCGCGCTGTCCAACTACAGATTGACAAATTGGAAACAGAGCAGGATCAATTATGGGTAGAAAACGAGCAGCTCAAAACTCTACTTAACCACTTACCCGACGATAATTCTTTAGACGAGTATGTTGCACGTATCGGCGACCTAGAAAAGCAGAATGATGCCCTCGAAGATAAAATCTACAAATTACAGGGCCTGTCCTCTGACGCTGCTAAGGGGTTCCGGGCTGAATATATTCCTACGCACCCTCGTAATAGTATGGAACTGGAGGAACTTAGCCTGGTAAGTACGGTCGGTCTCTTATTCTCTACGATAAAGCTTACTCACAATATATTTATAGGAGTATAGAGATTTCGTAGATCAAATTATAAATCTCATATATGAGTGGGTGTCACCCCTATTAGCGGACGACAAACACGCCGTGGAGGTTGTCCAAGCCGCCCTACGAGACGAGACCGCCAAGGATTTTATCACTTGGATGGAAGCGTACCCGGACATTGCTAGGCTCTCGTCTTTTTACTTGTCAACTGAATACGTATGCTTAGCCGTCATCATGCGATGGCTAGAGACGGCAGTCTTCTCGACGGAAGTATGCGGCGTCGCCCCGGAGACTTCCAACACGCTAGAGCACGTTGAAGACTCCCTTTCCCACCACGTCAACCCACTGCCGCGGCACATCGAGGTTAGGAAATGGCGGCAAAACACAAACTACGCTCTAATGCAGCATCCCGAATACCGACCCACGCGTCTCGACCACGAGGAAACACTAGCGAGTGCCCTGCAGTACCTATTCCGCTTCCTACCCGGCGTCAACACAGAAGGCATGCTCGAGCGTATCTGCGACACGATAGTGGTCCCGGCGATCGAGATCAACGACGTATTCGCCACCTCGGTCGACCATTTCGAACTCCACAGCTGGAACTTCCTCCCGGGGACCAGCGTAACCGAAACCGTATCGACCGAGGAGCTCTACGAGCACCGGGAATGGTTCGAGCTCGAGGACCCGCTCGACAATACTAACAAGATTGATATTGAGGGCAAGAGCCTCGAAGAGACTACGCGGAGGCTTGATCCCGTCTGCTCTGTCATCCCGGCTATCGTGATGAGGAATGCGGAGGACCGCGAGAATGTTACGCTGTGCGCTAAGGCGTATGTTGTTGCTGCGTGGGGACTGCCGAAGACGAGGGAGCGGAAGTGGAATGAGCAGGAGTCGGGGTTTTTGAATGGCTTGTTGTCGGAGTAATCAGCTTCGAGATGTTTTAATAATTATTATTAGGGAAGAGGGTGTGATGCAGTTCGTCAACAGGAGAAACTATATCGGATAGGACTGATACCTAGGGCTACAGGTTAAATTGTCTTCTAGTTTATTGAGAGTTGCTGGAAGGGGTTGAAACGGCACTTTCTGTTTTCCCTGGAATCGAGTTTCTGTGTATCAGTCTGATCATTCTGCATCCCAAATTTAAGACAGGGTAGTTTAGCGAATTGCATAATATTCTATACATACATGTTATTAAGATAATAAACTTAGAGGTCGCGACTTGCAACTAGCTCGCCATCGGTCACGCATTTTTCAACCCGGGCGTTGTAGTCAAGGCCATCTATATACTCTTTAACCTCACTGTGATTCTAGTCTAGAAGAGTAGCTACGGTCTAGTTAGTAAAAATGCATGTTAGTATCCTGTTTCATAAACGAACCCCTTAAACTCCTTTTCAACGGAGTACATACTAAAAAGCCAAAAAATACATGCAACTACCACCGCTACGATCTGACTTGCGAATTTCATTTTGAAAATAAAGATAGGGGTTAGCCCAGTGACGAGTGAGGGATGACTGGGTCTTTCGAATTTGAATCTGCGATGGTCTTGGTGTCTGAAGATGAACTGTCTTTAAGAGAATACCGTCGCTTTTAAGTGGATATATACATACTTTACCCTTCTACAAAAGAATGAGAACAAGCCCTATGATTGCTCTCGGGATTTCCCCTATAATATAGCGGCATATTGGAACATCGTCAACGAGATTATGCATGTTGATATTATGAACTATAGAAATATAAGAGCAATATTTCAAGCATTAGCGATGAACTCAACGATACTGCTTTTCATTAACAATATACTTCATAAAAAAGACCCTCAGCATACATTAAACAAGACAGAATCACGTTACTTGAACTGCAAAGATGCGAGGCGGCATTGTCTTAAACTAACTCTTATTTGTCCAATGCTAAACACAAGACACGAGCTTGAGAATAATTAAGGTTATACATTTACTGGCCTTTGGTGACAGACAGCTAACGTTAACCAATACACAAAAGAGACAGAATGGCTATTCCATCACATCTTTTTTTTTCTTCACTGACAACGTAACATAGCAGAACATTTAGTAAATGCCTGGCAAAAGAGTATCATCTCTAGTTGTCTTAATACCTGAAGGAAAATTAAGAGTGAGACTAGAGGGGCCAAGAGAGAATGTAGGAAAAGCAAAGAGCGAAAATCCGGGACTCTTCATAGAGTAAAACGCCATACAGGTCCATAAACAGATAGGCCAAGATATAAAGCAAAGCCCATATACACAGGTAGAGGCAAAAGATATAGAGACAACTCGCCCTTCCTTAACAAGGCCTTCAACAGGCAGGAAATCTTGGTACATGTCGCCACCGACTCCGTACATGCAACAAGTTAGGAACACACAAAATTTTAGCGGGTACCGCCGAGGGCACTAATTCTAGCACCGGATGGGCGGTGGATGAGGCTTGAGGCGTGTTTACCAACCAGGCCGGGCTCCTGTGATATCGTCTCGCTCTCGCTTCGCTCAGCCAAGTCATCTTCGTCATCCTCGACAATCTTAGTGGGAATGTCGTTGTGGATGCTGTACTGCTGGCTCGATCGCTCGGGGGTCGTCATAGTCGATGCCATAGACATGGCTGTACTGCTTCGGTTTGGAATCAAGTCCGGGGTCGGGGGAATACTAGACGCACGCCCAGAAGGGTGTAGATGGCTGTCATCGCCAACTTCAGAAGCAGCCGAGTGACCATCGTCACTGTGGAGCGAAGATAGGTTGCTTGCCCGTCGGGGTGACCTGGATGACTCGATTTCGGCATCTTGAGCTAGCTGGAGACCCTCAACAGCGGCCTGACACTGCTCTGCAATATTCCTAATAATGTGAGAGATGGCATCAGTCTTGTCTTTGAGATGTCGGTCAGCTACGTCGGTAAAGCTGGCGGTAGAGAGGCGTTTGCTTCCTCGGCTAGGGTTCTTCAACATATGACCTTTTAACCGATACTTATTAGCAATGAAACCTGAGAGTTAAAAAGTTGTTGTAACATACCATCTTGCTGCTCTTCCTCCTCGTCGAAGCCCTCTTCAATCTCACCGGCCAAGTCGTCGCGTGTAGTTAGCGACTGAACTAAGTGCTCCATGTGGTGGGATTGTCCACCAATCAAGCTGCGCAGGTGTAAGACAACACGACGTGCTTCGTCACGTTGTCGCACAATAGTGACATTAGTGTGCTGAAGGGCGGCCAATTCCTTCTTGTTTCGCTTACGCTCCCTCTCAAGCTCTTCGGCGATCTCCTGTTGAAGAACAAGCGCTTCGAGGGCGTCGTCTCGCTGCTTCTCAGTGCCAGTAAGGCGAACTGAAAGACGGGCGTTGTCGTCCTTCTGTTGGTCAATGAGGCCACCGAGTCTCCTGTTCTCCCTCTTATGAGTCTCAATCTTGGTTTTCAAGTCTTGAGTCTCTTTAGTAAGCGTCTCAGCAAATGCCTGGAATTTGAGGAACTGTATTGTGTTAGTTATCAATTTTTTATCACTTGCTGGGAAAACCTTACCTGCTGCTTCCAGCTCTCCAACTCTTCCACAAGGTAGTTATTCCGCTTCGTAACTTTGCTAAGCTCTGTGTCCATACGACCCTTAAGGTTGATGAAATCTTGCCATGCTTCTAGGGCGTCACGAGAATATTGGTTGCGTTCTCGAACAATCTCGTTCAGATGTCGCATCGAAACCTTCGTCATTAAGGGCTTCTTGACGGAGCCACCAAATACAGCCTTCAGACCCGTGTTACGACCCTGGAGAAATAGTTAGTACTACAATTAAGTTTAGCCTGGAGGTTAAAGCACATACCATCTTCTCACAGACGTGGTCCATTACGGCCATTACAGCATCCTGGTTCCACCACTCGGGATCTTGAATAGACTCGACTTCACCGCGCATGACAATAATTTGACCAGCGGGCACCAACTTTCCACCACCATAAGCGGAACGCAAATGTTGAGGAACGCCAGAAGGCGTGACATCACCATTTAAAGCTTGTGTTAGTCGCGTCACAAACTTGTTGCGCTGGTTTGCGTTGAGGGCAGTCGGGGGGCTAGATGTCAATACAAAGTTGCGATCTAAATCAACAACAAGGGCATCATTCGGGGCAGTGAAAAGAGACCTGCATTCCGCGGTAACACCCAGGATGTACGGGCCCGGCTCCTCTACTAACTCCTTAGCGTGGCGAGCATGAACAACCGGTACATAAAGGCCGCTCCATTCATAGACTCGAACACAGAAACGAATAGCTTCAGCAGCCATTGTCAACATCGCGGGATAATGGCTGACAAATATGATGCGCCTAGTAGGGGATATAGCCGCTTCGATGACACCAACAATGTTTGGGACTGAAAGACAAGTCCACAAAGGCCACATAGCGAAGTTTTGGAAACCTGTAGGGGACGAAGGGAACTGGTAGCAGAGAGCGTAATCCTTCATGTCTATGCGGACCAGGTCATTCAATCTCGGCGCGGGAAAACTGAGAATTCGCGATACCTCTTCGGCGTGGAAGAGATTGGTGGCCTTGTTCCAGTGAATCCACATCCCTCGCAAGTAGTCGCCAAGAAGGTTGTACAAGGGGTATCGAGAGAGGAACGACAAACAGTAGGGAATCCAGTAAGTCTCATCTGCATTGTCGTAATAATCCGTCTCGGTTCGTTTCCTCAGGTCCCTAATGGTCTCTGCTCGCTTCTCGTCCGCCCTCGACCATACACGCAGGCAAATGCCATAGAGAGTGTGAGATGAATCCTGCTGGAGAACAAACGCATGGTGAACACAGTGGGGTTGACTGCGGCCAGTACAAATTTCGACATCGTGCGGGAAACAAGCCTAATCCAATTAGAATTTAATTAAGTTATTTTTATGGGAAAACATACCCTCATAGCAGCGTGTAAGGCTCGAGCAACATCGTTGTCCTGTTCAAGGCGAGGACTGCTGCCGAGAATCTCTGGGAGCCAAAACTGTCCAACTGCACCCTTCATGTGGCCAATCTTTCCTTGAGTCGGGGCGGGAGCCTTAACCCATTGAGAAGGCTCTCGGCCGACACCACAAACCATATAGGCATGAGTTAGAGTCTTCGGTGTTCGCTGTTGAGGCTTTGAATTGAGCGTAGAAGGAATTGGCTGCGTGATACGAGAGTGAAGAGACGAAGTCCTGCTCGGAATAATCAAATTGGTATCGCCTTGGTCGCGCGTACTCGGTCGAGCGTCACGGTCGCTAGTACGCGGGCGCGTAAAAGATGAGTGTGTATTAAGTGAAGGCGCCATGATGGATAATTATGTACGTTTCCTCGTTTGATTCGTTTGTCGCTATCCTGTGGAAAGATCAAAATAAGAGAATAATGCAACAGTAACTAGATGGACCAAGTTACTGCTCAACCAAATCTAGGCAATCATGAATAGATTATGGCATGAAACTGCTCCCGTCAGAGACCCTCCCTTGATATTTGTTTCCGATCAGGTAGACCAGAAACAAAGCCACCAAGCTGCTCAGCGACGGTAACGACAACGACGATGAGCTGTGCAGCTTTGCTGTCAGAATGGGAGACAGAATACAGTCTTGCTGCAACTGCTTAAGTGGGGGGGAGGGAAAAGCAGAAAGGGAAGGCTTTGAAAGGACGACGCTCTCTAGAAGAGAGAAAAAGGAGAGACGAGATGTGAGGCAAGAGGGCCTTTGGTGGTAGAAAAGGGTTTCTCGGAGACAGAGTACGAGAAAGGGATATTTCCCCCGAATGAAGCAGCCAAAAAGTCAATGCGCACGCTCGAATTGTCTCTATTTTTTTTAATGACCCCCTGGTACAAAAGAATAATGAACGACGGCCTAGGATTACACCGGGATGAATTGGGACAGTGACGAAGTGTGACAGGGCCGACAAGGACCAAACGAAGTCAGCTTCAAGAACAGTCGTGTTACAATTTGCTAGGGACGGGGAAATAAGAAGTGGGCATCTACTGCAATCTACTGCAAAAGATGTGCAAGATGACTGGCGTACCTAGGGGATCGGCACTCAAAGAAGGAAAGAAGGGTACTATGTAACGAATACTCTATTATAGGTGGGGGGACACTAATACAATTAGTGCCTGAGTTCATTTTTGCCCTAAAATTGCTGGAAGTCGCACCTTTGGAGATATCATGCAGGCCGCGAATGCAACGATAGCCTCGTACTCAGTACATTTGACACCTAATTCAACAGGGGGTTGGAGCTATCCCCAGACTAGCTCTCTTATTAGCGCGACATTATGCTAGGGGTCCCTGGCAGCTTCAAAATTTCGAAAGCCCCACTAGATTTTACATCCTAACGAATAACAAACGAATAACAGGTCTACTTGTATAACAAAAGTGGAACAGAGTGGGAGAACTAGAGCTGGTTTAGCCTTGAAAAAGGGGCCGTTATTGTAAAAAGCCACACCGAAAACCATCGTCAGACGGTTCGCCGTACGCCAAAAACAACATGACAATCGAATTAAGCTCACCCGCATCGAGATAACCGCCAGATTTTAGGTTTGCATACCTAGTACGTATGCAACGAATACCTAGCAAAAGGTTTAAGAGGATAATTGGAACTTTGAATTGGTAAAACAAGAATAAACTATGATTCGAAATAGTTGCTGGGATTCGTCTTTATCGGTAGTCCGCAATATGGCTCAACACAGTGTGAACGAAATTAGATATTAACTAGTAGATATATCTAAGTCACTTAAGCAACTAACCTCCTCGTAAGAAAAATTAAAGAAAAAAAAAACAACATTTGGTGGCGGTGGTTTTCGGCGATTGATTCTACATAACAATAACATTATGAAGACTTACATATCTATATCTAAATGTAATAAGGGTATGCTTGTTAAGTATCGTACTCTTGTTTCTTGTGAGATGATATCTAGGGTTATATTGCATCCGATAGCCTACCTTACTTGAGTAACGTTTCAAATTGAAAGAAATTCCGCGAGAAGGCGTAGAAGTATTATTGTTCTACAGCAGTAGAACATGCATAATACATATGATTTTTCTTGCCTCTTGATTCACTTTCTGCAAGGTGGCTGGCACCATTGACTCGGTTATCTCAACTTGTCACCGACATGAGGCCTCATGCGGTCAACAAGATCTCTAAATTGATGTGATGATAAGGCGTTTAGCCTATCTAACATACATGTATGTAGATATATAAAGACAAATCACAAGAAAATGTCATCATTAAAGAGCGCACAGTACGAGGTAATAATTCGTAAGACATACATACATACATACATACATACATACATACATACATACATACACACATACATTAGGTACCTAACATAACTACCTCATATTCAGACTTACCATCATAGAAATCTCTATTCGGTTGTTTTCTTCGCTAACTGCGTGGTTTACTAGACGATTTAGTCAACTGACTCTCATGAAAACTTCCAAACTAGGTAATTCTTCATTTCCCATCTCCTATGTTATACATTGGAACTTATGCACGCTATGGCCCACCGCAATGGTTCATCCCTTCAAGCTTCAAGCCCCTCCATCTAGCGCAGACAATTTTAACCTCATGATCCTTTCGAGCTTTATATCAATTCTTCATTTATCTGCTCGATTACCCACAAGACATGTTTCTCGTCGTTTTCTATGAATCAAGATAGACCCGGGGCAATGGATTGATTTACTCCTCTCTTGAAAACCCCCTGGCAGTCCTGGATCTTTTCGCCATTCGGAGAAGGGTAGCCCTTGAAACGCGCCAGCTATTGCATAATACTGGTTCCAATGATGTTCCAAGTGAACTCGATCGACTCGCGGGGTGGACGTCTTCCCGCATTGAGATAGCTGCAGATGCAGAGCGGGAAGCAACACCACTTCTATCCACAAGCCGAATAATCAATACATAAAAGGATTCAGACCCATAATGAAATTGATGCCGGTATCATGTTTAACATACGTGCTTCAATCCCATCAATGGACGGCTCTAGGCGCAATGTTTCGGTTCCATCAGGCCTCGATTGGGCCAAGACACATCGTGCTGCAAAGCATTGTGATAGTTATCAAAGCTATTCTACCAATCGGCTCAGTTGCAACTTGCAGAGGCCATTGGTTGATCCCCCTCGCTATTGGTAAGTTGGTCGACTACTGCACAGAATGCTGCCAGGGGATCAAAGGGGGTCCTTAACACGTCTATTATTACAGCGTCCTCCCCAGTTTGCAACTCTACCCTGTCTTTCCAGCGTATGATGATTTAAATCACATAATCATTATGATAAGATAGTATCCTACCATTACCCAACTCGTCTTTTTTCATTTTACATGCTAGCTCCCATAATTAATTTAAGCCTTTTATATATTACGCGTCCGTACATATAGGCCATACACATCAATAGGTAGTACGTCAACAAAACAAAAGGTCTAATTCTTAGGAATCAACTCTTCAAACGATACCTACATATTTTCAGACAGCTCTCTATCCACATAATAGTCTATAACGATCCACACAATTTATATGGTAGCGAAAGCTTACGGCAGACTCCCCAGAGATGCTCGCCGCATTAAATTGAACCGTCGATCCCACGTGTTTCAATCCACAATGATATAGGGCCCCCAAGCAGTCGGTACTACACTAGTAAATTGAATTGGATTATCAATGCTAATTGCTAGTATGGCTCTTCTCGACAGCCTTAAAATACTGTATATGTATCATTGTATATCCAGGTGAGTCGAGACGTTGATGAGATGCTTACCAGAACTGTCAACACGCCGAGCAGTTTTTACATCACTTAGGTCTAGTCCAGTACTTTTAGCACAATTAACAACTGCACTAGCCCGCTTCAGATCTTGGTTTACCCCTGGCTACGGTTACATTCGCCTAACGCGAGCTACTAGACGGGATTAGTATGCGATCCGAGCTCATGGCTACATACCCCAATACCTACCTACCTCGGATTCTTCCCTGTTCCACGTGATTATTCTCTCTAGATCAAGGCGAGCTCTCAGCTCAGGCGATCCGAACCAAACGTCCACGTCAGTAGCTCTACGATATTATTTCACTCCATATACAAACAAACATCCTCCCCCATCCCTTCATCAAGGATCTTCCTTATTCAACCCTATATATCCAGTGCTTAGTCACGACGAACCTATGTATATAGCAGTGTTTCTATTTGATTACTTACACCTACATTAAAAGCCAACGAGTACTCTTCTAATTTGTATAGCTTGACTAGAGCACTCACATTAAGGTGTCAAAATTGCCTCTTCACCAACACTCTTTCCCCGGACTTTAAAACAATAAATTATGCGTCGGTATCCCCTCCGTTGACTCCGCTAACTTTTCGGCCCTCCCCGTAGGACTCTTAGTCGGCTGTCCTTCGAACTATAAAATTTTACGCCGTGTATGAAATTCTTTTTCGCTAGTTATACGAACCCTTATAAATTAGCTTATGCATCCCCGTCCCCTCGAGGCCCGTCCCACGAATACCACCTTGAACACAATCAGGGTCAATGCGATAGTATTTCAGCTTTAGTGACAGCCTTTGCTTCCTGTCCTTTTGCTTACGTGTCTAACCCCATAACTCTTGTCCAAATAACGACAATAACCAGCAAGCCGATGCATCAAGAGCCAGAACATCTTCGCATGACTACTAGACGTTTTCGTTCAATCCCATATATCACTCTTAGTTGTTCGTATTCGCTTCTCTCGGCTATCTCCAACCTCGGAAAATACATCTGACCATTACTACCTATGTGGTATAAACATCACGAAATTCGTAAGGCCTAGACCCCAGTCGAACCACGATATGCTAAATTAATTATACTAGCAGCATCAATACAGGGGGTAAGGTTCCAGCACATACCCGATGCTTCCGACTAGAGACGGGCTCTACGGCAAGTGTAGTTGGCGTACTCGTGCGTTATAGGTAGATAAACAGCCTTTACCATATGAACGTGTAGCTTCGCATATATTCTACGTAAACATAAGACCGTCATTTCCCAAATAAACATACAAACATGGCTTTCCCCAATATACCCTTTGCACATCGTAGAGAATTATCATGTCTAAGTCAATGATCACTTAGCATTCTCACTAAAATCAATCTCCTCCCACATTCCCACGAGTCTCACGAGACGATATTGAGTGTCACATATCTTGCCACTTACTAACCTGAAATATAACACGAGATCTATAGAGGGACTGGTGCTAAGATATAGCCCATATTAACCCCAAAGAGAATTTTCCACAATAACGAACTACCTAACACATGCCATTACGGTCAAAAACACGGGTTGAAGTTTC